TCCCCCATCCGCTAGACCCCCTATCCCCCACCCTACATCCCCTACCTCCCTTTCAGACCGCCCTACATCCCCTACTTCCCTCCCAATATCCTCAACCCCCCACCCCCTAACCCCTAACCACCAACCCCTATCCTCTATCCCCCTACCCCCACCCCCTATTTGCTAGCTATTCTCATACCGATTCATATGAATGGCATGTTTCTCCGAGTGATAAGTCTTAAATATCTGACTCAACACCGGTGAGACTTCTGGATCATTGATCCAAATACTAGTAGACGATGGTGTCTCCAATATCGATAAATACGCCATCATCATCTTTGGATTTGTCAAGCTCAACTGTATATGTGGATTCCTCATAATAGCCTGATATATGGGTCCCCCCTCCTCCAGGCCCTCGTCCAAATCCTGTAAGCTCCGCCTCCGGGCCCCCAGCAACCACTCACAGGCATTGTTTTGATTATTCCCTGTGATCTTGAGGGTTTCCACGACTTTCTTCTCCTCGAATCCCATTTCAACCAGGCTCTCCTTGATCCTGGAGCTGGGCCTGAACTCCAGTCGTTTGTACTGACTGAAACTCTGGAGTAGGATGCCCACTAGGGTCACGAGGTTCTCCTTCTGGCCCTCCGGTGTTTTAACTTTGAAAAAGTCTGAGAAGCCGGATTTGAAGGATTTCCGTCGCTCCGACGAGGGGCCTGACCCACCGGGCCCCGCTTGTGGGTCCTCTGGTGGGTCCTCCAGGAGTGGGGGAAACCCTAGCTCTTCCTCTTCTTCCCCCTCCTCCTCCTGATGGTCTATCAACCAATCCAGGGCCTCGGAGGTGTTCATTTTCTTGAGTTTCAGGGCCTTAAGCACCTGCTTTTCAGGGAATCCAATGTCCATCAGATATTTGATAGTTTTCGGGTCGTTCGGGGGTTGGGACCTGAGCTCCAATTTCTCCCGGATGATTTCGGAGAGCTTTGGGGCCTCAGGGGAGTGACTGAGAATTCTCGCGGACGCCTGGACGAGGGTTATCAGGATCTTTCGAATTTCCGTTTGGAAGTCGGCGGGACAGTCCGTGGAGGGGGAGGGTCTCGGAGGGACTGGTGATGGGAGGTGGGCTGTTGCTTTAGATATCGCCTCGAGGGTCGGGCCCTTCAGAACGTCCTCCGGAGGGTCTTTTGGGGGTGAAGGACGGATTTCGGTCAGGAGGAGGTTGTCGGAAGGTTTTATCTCTTCTTCGGAGAGTTGTTTCGTGTCGAGGAGGGGCTTTAGGTCATGTGGGTGGATTAGGCGGAGGGTAGAGGGGGGATGGGAGCCATCGGCCCCGTAGAAGTGCCTTGTCGCGATTGACTTGAGTTTCTCGATCGTGTAGTCCGGTTTTGATGGTATTTGGAGGATTTCGCCTTCTAGGCTAAAATTTGAAATTTCGATTTTTAGAAATTGATGAGGTGGGGGGAGGGGAGGGGGGTGTTGAGGTCGAAGGGGAAAATTTCGAGTTGTAAACTCGATATGATGGGTCGTTTTGAATCGATTAGTTTTCGAGATATCANACAAGGGAAGGTATATAAGGACTGCCCCCACACATCGGAGCTCAGAATCGGAGCTCATAGCCCTGAAGATGCAGACTGCAATGTTTGCGAAACGTCGGCGCAATGCTGAAACTCAACGCGGCATCCATCCGGAAGCCAACCACGTCGTCGAGATATCAAACATTTTATTGCCAGGGGGGGGAATTGGTTTTTGAGGTCATCTCGGGGCCTTTTCAGTCCCTTATCAGCTGTTTTGAAACTCGTTTTGGAAACTCGACATGATGGGTCATTTTGAATCGATTAGTTTTCGAAATATCGAACATTTTATTGAGAGGGAGAGGATTGTTTTTGAGGTTATCTCGAGGCCTTGTCAGCAATTTTAAATCTCGTTTTGTAAACTCGACATACCGTGGAGGTAGGAGTATCGGGACAGGAAGGAGTATCTGGACACCAAGCGCACTTCTGTTAATAATTCTTGATTTTAGGCACTTATTTAACCTCAAATCGCCGCCCATTAAAAGTTAATGGAACGAAAGATATTTTTTTTAGTTATTAAACAACGGTTTTTTACTCTCAGGGGTAAATTGATATTTAAAATTAATTTTTTTCGGCGGTCAATCGTATCGCGATGCCTCCAGCGACCGTTGCGTAACTGAAAAGGTTGGAGATGCTCGTCAGTGTATTGTCGTGAAAACAGGAAAATGCAAGTAAACATTACAATGTAGCTTATTTAAATAGGAACATAATTATGTAAAATAAGTTTGGAGACCTTCAAAACACTAAAATACCCGCAAATAAGAAAAATCACGTGTCCAGGTACTGCATCAGTTGCAAAGCAATCTGATGCAGTAGACGGACACTTGTTTTGTACCCATTGTAATCTCAATTTAAACTTTTGCTGTCTGACATTTTGACATTTCTTGTTGAATGTGAGTGGTGAATCGATATCACCTGTGTTAATCCATTAATTGTATATTGTAGGGGGAAAATAAAAAAGCCAGTTGAAAGAAAATACACCGGAGGATTTGCAAAATGCATTGAAGGCATTAAAAAGCGGTCGATCTCTCAGAAAAGTGGGTGAACAATATGGTATTCCAAAGACAACATTGTTTGCAAAATTCAGAGGATTTTCAAACCCTTCAATTGTTAGGAAAGGACCAGCATGTATTATTGGTGAAACAACTGAGGGCCGACTCGTCAAGTGGATTTTTTGTATGGCAGAGAGAGGCCTTCCAGTCTCTAAGACACAATTACAGGATAGTGTGCAATTGCTCGTTAAAAGCATGAAACAAAGCACAGTCTTTACAAACAATCGACCAGGACGTTACTGGTTCAAGGGTTTTCGCCAGCGTCATCCTGAATTGTGCGAGAGATTATCCCAAAATATGTTATGTACTCGATCCTCGATTACTGAAGAGGATATTCGAGGGTGGTTTCACAGGACCAGGATCGATGAGTCAGCATTTCGTCTATATCCTCAGGGAAATTCTGTACTGGCAAAAATTGGAGAAAGATCAGTTTACAACTTCGTGCAAAACGATGAGGAGTGTTTAACAACACTTTTTTGTGGCAATGCAGCTGGACAAATAGTGGAGCCGATGGTGATGTTTAATTACACGAGAATTCCTGCCAGAGTTGCTAGTCTCATGCCGCCTCAATGGGGTATTGGTCGCTCAGAAAGTGGATGGATGACTGGGATTTCCTTCTATGAGTGGACAGCGAATATTTTTTATCCATGGCTCGTCAGACATGAGATTGAGTTCCCGGTTATTTTATTCTTAGATAGACATGTTTCTCACTTGACGTTGGAGCTCAATGATTTTTGTAGGGAGAATAGAATTGAGATAATTCCCCTTCATCCCAATGCCACTCACATTTTGCAGCCAATGGATGTTGGTGTTTTTCATCCATTAAAAGCCATTTGGAAGAGAGTGGTACCAGAATGGAAGTTGGAAAACAATAGGCAACGTATCAAGAGGGATCAATTTGGAATGATCCTGAAACGTGCTGTTGATGTGATGAAATGGGAAACAATCCTTCCCAATGCATTCAAAGCCACAGGACTTCATCCTTTCTCATCAGAAGGCGTCAACTTTGGGAAATATTTCAAGACGTCGTCTTCTCAGAGCACTGAGGCTGCTTCGGTTTCTGCTTCCAAGAAAAATGTCAATGCGTCCCTCTTGGAATCTATCGAGAATAATATCAAGGGGGATCTACTTCGCGAGTTTCAACTAGTCGCTGACGGTGAGGAATGGACAGGAGACATCAGTCATAAAAGTCTCTTTGATTTTTGGAGCAAGATCAAATCACACAGTTCAGTTGGAAGTGAGACTGCTCCGGAACGTTCTACAGCCTCAATTAGTGGGCAGACACTAGCCAACTACTCTCATCCACAAGAGGTATCAACTTGTGCGTCCATCGATTAATCATAACACGTTTACTTTTTTTTGTATAATTATTTGCGATTTGTTTTTTATTTCTTCTCCAATTGCATGACATGTGGTTCGGCATTCTCAATTGCAGGACCATGCCAGGAGAATCCTCACCGAAAAGTCTAGCTCCAACTGTACCCCTCAAAAGGCAAATGAAGATTTTAGCTCCACCAGTCCCCTTCAAGAGCAAATTGACGATTTCAACCCCACCAGTCCCCTTCAAGAGCAAATTAAAGATTGTAGCTGCACCAATGCCCTTCAAGATCAAACTGAAGAACCTCCATCTGTTGAGAACGAATTTGACGTATTGAAAATGTTTGACAAAGTACACAACACAAATGACAGTCTCGTATTTGACGTTTTGGAAGATGGGGAGTTAATGCTTGTCAAAGCTACATCATCAGGGGATGATGATGGGACAGCTGTCAACAGCAATCTCGATCAGAATGAAAACTTCACATCACCCAACGCTAATCTGCCAAACTGTTGTAAAACATATTTTCAAGGTAATTCAGTGGTGCAAGAAGAAGAAGCAGAGAAGCAAAGAAAGACCACTGAATCACCATTTGCAATGAAGTGTTTGGCTAAAAATCAATCCGCACTGAGGAATATCCGTTCACCTGCTGTCAGTGAGGTCCAGGAAGAGATGCCGGAATCATCATCTTCTGCTCAGGCTCCGTTAACGAAGGAATCTCCATCAAAGAATATTCCTTCGCTATTCAAGGGCACGCGTTTTTGGCCATCATCTCCCAAGAAACCGGTGAAAAAAAACAGGTGTAAGGACCTGTTACCAGGAATGCTTACCACAGAAGTAAAACTGAGAAGGAAAAACAACTTAAAGAAGAGCAAGAGAAAAAACGACAACAAAGGATTCTCAATCGAAAAGCGAAAAATTTAGCAAAAGAAACTGCGAGAATCGCTCGTGTGATTAAGAAAGAGAAGAAAATTGAGGAAAAGTCGAAAAAACAGAAGAGCCCCACAGTTTTGGTGAAGAGGGGAAGAAAGAGGAAGAATTTTGAGGAATCAGTGTAGAAACAGGTGCCAATTGTTGCCAAAGACATAAAGCAAGAGATATTGGAGGATTCGGAAGTAAGGAGAACATTAAAAAGTCCTCCAACAAAGCGTTTTTCAAAGAAGACTATTAAAAAAATAAATCGCAAATAATTATGTTACATTAATTTTCACAAATTTTTATATGGAGTTCTGTTTTGCAACTATTTATCCAATGAATGTTCAAACTTATCAAATTGTATCAATTATTTGACAGTACGCGTACAAAAAACCATACTGTCCAGATACTGCACCCTCACTTGTCCGGATACTGCATCCAGGTGCATTTTGGTGTCCAGATACTACTGCTTCAGAGACTTAATATATTTATGCCAATATTAATTTAATTATAAATAATTTCCACAACTATTTGACTTCCTTTTGTTCGAAACATGATCAGAATCACTTTCCATTCGTTCAATTTATTTATTTCCGACTTGGCTTATGAAATTAACGTGTTTTGCCGTCGAAAAATTCTTAGATGTCCCGATACTCCTATCTCCACGATAATGGGTCGTTTCGAATCGATTAGTTTTCGAGATATCGAACATTTTTTTGAGAAGAGGGGGAAATTGTTTTTTAGATTAAAAAACGGTCTGATCGGGGTCTGATCGGGGCCTTATCAGCTGTTTGGAATCTCGTTTTGTAAACTCGACATGATGGAACGTTTTGGATCGATTAGTGTTCGAGATATCGAACATTTTATCGAGCGGGGGGAGGAATTGTTTTTTGAGGTTATCTCTGGGCCTGATCGGGGCCTTATCGACTTCGGGAGGTCGCCAGCCTATTTTTGGATCGGAAATTTACCCAACTTTACGATAAAAATGTAGAAATGTGAGTAAGGGGTGGAAAAGGCCAAATCTCGAAGGTGATTGACGGCTTACCTTATCACATTGACGTTGAATGTATCCGCTGAGGTAGAAGGGGCAATAAACACAGTCGTGTCACTCTTTCTTTCACTTCCAGGCGTAGAAAGAGCCGAGGACCCCCTTTCGGTTGTCCTTGAGCTCTTTCTGCTATGCCAGGCCTCCGCTATCTGCTCTCGCACCCATGGGATCATCAATCTCACCTGAAATCAACTTCAACAATTAAAATAAAAAGCAAAAAAATCGGCAAATTCCAAAAACTGACGAAAAATCGATTAAAACCCATCAAAATACCCAACTAAACATTACCCACCCCTTACCGATGATCTCCAAAACATCAACAAACCCTCATAAAAAAATATGAAACATCATAGAACCTAAAAAAACCGCCAGAGAAGTTGTGGAAATCCAAAATCATCGACAAATTTCCTGCAATTAATTTTGTCATCACTCCCCTTATCAATTATAGGTTATCCCCCTCATAAATAAACAATAAAAATCGACCTTTCCCCAAAAATAATTGTCCTCAAACAATTTAAAAGGAACAATTCCCAAAAAAAAAATCGAAACTAATTTTTTCAACAGAATAAACGATTTACCCACCTTTTTTATGACTTTCGGAGTGATTTTGACGTAGAATTCTCTCGCTGGCCATCTGCCAGTCAATTTCTGACGTATCTCCCGTCCCCATTAACAGCTGATGCCATAAAACTCGTGATCCTGTCCATACTATCAATAATAAAACACGAAAACATTGGGTGAATCACCAAAATTCTCCTTTCAACTTCTGATTTAATTGTTTTGGGGGATGAGTTGACGTGCTGATGATTTTTCGGTGGACAGGGGGTCAAACTGGGGTAGAATTGCGCAGGCTTTTTGGGGGGAGCATAACCTCAAATACGTGACAGGTCAATAGATGAGGTCAAGGGGGTTCACTTCGCGGTCCAGTTGGGGTCTATTCGGTCTATTGTTTTAAGGTTTGTTGTGATTTTTTTTTCTCTTTTCGGAGATGATGAATGAGGAGGCTGGGTGCGGGGAGCTCCAGCAGCTGGTGCAGGAGGAGGAGGGCGACGAGCCCTTGAGTCGCGGGGGAGAGGCCACTCCACCCTCGACACCTGCCAGATCGCACAGGGCCAGCAAGACTGAGGGAAATGCCTCGCAGAATTCTGTGAGTTTTTTAGTGAGAGTATGACATGGAAATTTAATAAAAATACGATTTTAGAAGGGGATTTCAAGTTTTTTTTTCGTCAATTAACATCATTATTTTCAATATTTTTTGTTTATTCCATTTGTTATCTGTTGTATTTATTCAGCCACGTGTTTTGACTGCACAGTGTCTCATGACAGATTTTTTTCCTTGGATGGTATTGAAGAGGATGCTTTTTGAAGTGGAAAGTTTCCCTTTTTTGGAAAATAATTTCGAGCGCGATAGGGCAGCAAGAAGGTTTTGATTGATATTCGATTAACAATAGTATTTTATGGGATACATTTTATTGACTTTTTTTTCCTTGCCATTTATACCCTATTCGAATTTTTACGTGTACTGAGAGAAATATCGTCATAATATCACAAAACTAATTTCTTGTGCCAAATATCTCATCTAGAGGTATTGAGGATAAATTTCTCATCTAGAGACATTGAGGATAAATTTCTTGGGATAGGAATTCCGGATAAGGCGTCAGACAATGTCAAATTTGGGCGAAGTGTTCATGACTTGAACGTGAACATTTCATGATAAAGTGAGAATTTCTTGCCACAAGAAATCAGTTTTTTCGGCTTAGAAAATGAGACAATGACCAACGATATTAAAAATTTAGATTCAGTGAATCATGAATTTTCTATTTTCTATGTTTTTGGGGCCGTCGAACTTCCAGGTTTTACGGGCCGTTATCTCTTTTAATTGGGACGTTTCGTTTATTACATGTCTAAAAACTTATAATTAGTGCAAAAAAATTATGCGTCAGACAATGTCAGATTTCGGCGAAGTGTTCATGACACTTCGCCGAAACGTGAACATTTCATGATATAGTGAGAATTTCTTGCCACAAGAAATCAGTTTTTTCGTGTTAGGAGATGAGAAAATGACCAACAATATTGAAAATTTCGATTCAGTGAATCATGAATTTTCTAGTTTCTATGTTTTTGAGACCGTCTAACTTCCAGGTTTTATGGGCTATTATACCTTTTAATCGGGACCTTTCGTTTATTATATGTCTAAAAACGAACAATTAGTGCAAAAAAATTAACTGTCTATTGATCGTTCACTCCGCACACGCTTAAGATGTTAAAAATAGTCCCGGCCCTCCAATTTTTGAACTATAGAGGTTTTTTTTTTTCAAAATTTTTGAAAAAATGTGTACAATAACAACTACGAATTATCTTTTTGAAATTCAACTACTACACAGCTAATTTTGTTTTGTTTAATATAAACATTTTTTTGCCATTCATGTAAAATAGGAAACAAAATTATACTTATATAATATGTAAAATTGAAACGCGAATCCAACAATCGAAGCTAATAATATGAATAAAAATATACAGAGATAAATATCCATATGCAACACAAATAAATTAAAAATAGTAGTGTTCACGTAGTATGAGGTCAGCAAGGTAGTTCATCAAGCACTTGTTGTCTATAATAATTTATTCGACAGTTGATGAGATAATTTGATATGTAGCAACAAGTGTTGTGGGGCAGCAATGCCCAGACCTCCCCCATCATCAGCAAAGCTAGTTCTGGGCAGGGAACGGCTAGTCAGGGCTCGATGGTATCAGGAAGGGCCCACAACTCCTCCTCAGGGCATGGGGGCAATTACTCCAGGCATGTTTACCTGAATGAAAAGGAGAAACACAAACCGACTAGGCCGGATCCACCCAGGAGAGGGCAGCACAGAGGTATCCATTGGTTTCCGTGAAATTAGAAATGATTTTATTTAATCATTTTATTTTTTTATTAAATTTAGTTTGTCTTATTCATTTAATTATCCAGCACTGTGGTTTATACTAATTTGATATTATGATTTTTTATGATTTATTAAGAGGCTCAGGAGTGAATCCATGCAACTCATGAATTCTCAGCCGAAAAGGGATGAAAAAATCTGGAGGATAGCTTGAAAAAATTGCTCATTCTTTAGGAACTTGATGAAATTATTTGAAGGTGATCTGGAAAAGATTAATAATTTTAATAAATGTTTGAAAGTACGATATGGTGCCACCATTTTGGTTAGATAGATCTTCAAAGATGGCGGCGCCTTCACCTCGCATTTTTGAACGTTTCTTAAAATTATTTATTCTCCTCAGATCACCCTCAACTCACTTCATCCGGTTTCTGTGAAATGAGAAATTTTTTTAGGCCGTCTTTCATATTTTTGCAGCCCCTTTTTGACTAGGAATTCATGATGCAAAGTTTTCATCTATTTCAGTAGTTTTTTTTTCACTCCTGAGGCCTCGTAAGGTTGAATTATTTAATTTATTTTGTTTTATTTTCCTTTATTTTTTTTCTGCACTTTTTTTTTGAACAATAGTGGTCACAGCACCTCCATGCAGGCATCATTGCTTTTTGTCAGAGGTACCTGACGTCAGGAGAATGGAGCAAGCACTATTGCAGCTGTTGAAGGATTTTCACAGTGGAAATCTTCAGGCTTTTGGTAAATACAGAAGACAATTTTGATTTTTCCTTCATAATTTCTATAAAATTGATGTTCGAAGCTGAAAAAATTGACTTTAATCATGAGTAATATTATCTCAAATCATGGAATAATCCAGGAAAAGACTGCAGTATGGAGCAGATGATAGAAATTCGTGAGCAGCAGGAGAAGCTCGCAAGATTGCACTTTGAATTGGGTCAGCGTCAGGATGGAGTTGGGAATGAGACTGCGGGTCTTAGGCAGTCCAGTGCCAACATGAGGCATCTTCTTCACAAGCTCCAGCAGCTGAGTGTCTGCATTGAGAAGCTCCACAGTAAATAAATCCTTTCTCGGTGACAGATGAACTAAATATTGACGATTAAATATTTTATTTATAATAATAAGTAATAAATTGATTACTAAAATCCAGTCTTTATTCTTTCATCTCTAGAAAAATACAACCCATTTCCATTTTTAGATACTAGACAGTTTTTGTATAATTCTAAAAAACATTCAAAATTATTTACAATTCGTAACAATCAATAATTCGTCATTTTATACTAATTTCATTGCACTAAAAACGAGAATTAATTGTAACAAAATTGATTATTTGGATTTTAATTGCTCTTATTATGAGATAAATTAGTCATAAGATGATACAACAGAAACAAATAACGTCAAATAAATCTGTAAATTGTTTAAACAATATTTTTCACTTTTTTAGGAAGAAAAAATTATTCTAAATATTTTTCATTTGTTTGATTATTGATAGTAAATTGATGTAGTGGGACAAGACGAATGAGATTTCAAAAGAAGAATAAAACTTTCATTTCCTCCTCAATACATTCTCCGACAGAGGGCAGGAGAGTAAAAAAATGTGCTGAAATGCACTTGAATCATCCAAAAAATTCTCCTCACTCCTTCAGTTATAACCCCATAAAATTATCACATGAAAATTCTTCCCATCGACAAGAAATAATTTTTACAAATTATTGAAAGTGTGACTCAGGCATCACATCTGGGCGTCGCCATCTTAAAAGTTCCTTAGGGAAGAGATAGCCAATATGGCGTCGTCTAAACCTGATCATCATCTCAAGTTTTCAAAGCTTTCTTAAAATTATTTATCCCTTTCATATCACTCTCAATTTTTTTCATCACATTCTCGCGATCGGAAGGTTTTTTATTTGATAATTTTTTTTCCATTTTTTCCATATTTCCCCTCTCACACCGCCTCAGAATCTAACTAGTGAATCCAAGACCAAGTGCCTCAGCAGCCTTCGCCCTGACCTCTCCCTCCTTGTCCCTCAATAGCTGAAGCATCCTCTGGACATCCTCGGCCCTGGGTTTTCCAAATAACCCCAGGATGAGAACAGCCATAGCCCTCGTGGATGGGACCTCCGACCTGGAGTAACCCCTCACGACCGCATTCCTGAGTTCCTCAGCCCTCTGAGGTAGTTCCCCCACCAAACACGCGACCAAATCCTTCAGGAACCCCTCGACATTAAGTTGAACGCCAGGAGCCAGATGGCCCCTCAAAACCTGGGTCAACCCCTCACTCTGGAGGAGATTGGCAGCCTCGAAGAGGGCCTCCCTGGCGGCCTTAGCCACCAGAGAATTGTTGTCCCCGAGCTTGATGGTGAGGCAGGGCAGACACCCCAGGAGGTGATCGCTGACGTCATCGTCAGGACCCTTGACAGATTTGATCCATCCTTTGGCTAAGGCCCCGAGAGCGGAGATGGCTGCCAGCCTCATTTCCCAATTCTCCTTCTCAACAAAAGGTTTTAAAGCTAGAACTACTCTAGGACTCACCGGTTTCTCCGTCTTCAGGGAGAGGAGGAGGGAGAGACCTCTGAGGGACTCTAGGACGACGTCAGAGACTCCATCTCCAGAAGACGGCTCCTCTAAACCGTCCAGGAGGGCCCCGGTGCAGTTGTCGAAGTACTCATCCACCTACAGGTGTTCAATAAATAATCAATAAATAATCAGCAATTGATGGACGCCTCTGGCGGGGAAGTTCTCCCCATTCATGACCATGAAATGCGCGCGCACTTTCTCTCCGATGTGCAGGGAGGGGTAACTGCGGAGATATAGTCCTCGCCACAAAAGAATGATCGTGGCTGGGTACCCCCACTCTCCCGAATTTAGCCTCGACTCGATGTCCCCCACCACTCAGATCCAAGATCATTCTTTCCTGGCGGCGACGATATGCACCGCTCAGGTAGACCCCTGCGCATGAGAGAGATGCGCGTGAGGGATTGTGATAAGTTAACCCCTCCCAGATGATGGAAAGACGTTGAGGAAAAAAATGAAAGAAAAATTTTCGGTAGAAATGTAATGGGCTACAACGCATGCTTTCTCTCCACCCACCTGTCTAGGCTCCAGATACGCGATCCTAGTCAATCCAATGGTCGCCAGCTTGCGCACCAGTTCGCAAGAGTCGGCCTTGGCCTCATGAAGAGTGTTGATGATGGCGTCCATCCAGACCTCCCCGCAATTCACCCTCCCGATGAGTTCCGCATAGAACGCCACGGCCACCGCTCGCTGCGCGGCAATCTGGCTGGTGATCATCTTCCCCAGGGTCTGAGCAACATTCACCAGGACCTCGTTTCTGTTCCCAAGACATCGGATGACGGATCTGACAGTGGACACAAGGTTCTCGTCCGCCTGGCTCTCGGAGGCCGTGGAGACCTCGTTCAGAAGGCTGGAGGCCACATGAATATTCACGACGGTCAAGACGTTAGTGAGGACGGAGTAGACCTCTCCATGAGGATCAAGCTTACAGGCCTCCCTGTTCGGTACGAACCCGAACTTCGTCGAAACAACGGATATCGGGGCATCCACATGCAGCCATCCCGCGAGATATCGCAACAAGACTGCCAGAACCTCCGCGAGCCGTTTCTCGATCAACTCTTCAGCATTTGGAGACTGGAGGAGATGCCGAAGGGCGACGACGGCCGCCAAGGACGGGAAAGAGGCAGTGGACGCCATCGTGGAGTGCTTCCCCTCCTTGCTGCCAGCGGACTCCGCCAGGAGTTGATTGTTCTCCAGTCGATTCAGCAGGAAGTCCAGGGTCCTGGGTCCAAACTCATCAGCTCCAAGCTTCCTCCAGCACTCCTCAGTCCCCCGGTCCAAGGGAAGCGGCTGATGCAACAGATGCTCGAAGACTTCCTCCGGATGATGAATCGTCAAGACTTTGATCGCTTCCGCGGAAGTCTGTCGACAGCTGGAGTTCTCCATCTGCCTGATCTGGGTGATGATGTTGTCGACCAGGTACAGATCCGACCGAGGGATGTCCGCTCCGCGGATCTTAAACAGTTGAATTAGAGATACACCTGCAGCCACACTCTCCCCTCGAAACAGCAGTCCTTCGATGAGACCTTCTGCAAGACTAGGAACTTCTCCCGATGAGATCCGCTCACAAGCCGCTGTGGCTAGTGCCTTCACCCCTTCATAAAGAGTATTAGCGTCGTCCGAAATAAGGATCTTTTTCGAGTCGCTCAAGTCCTGATTGAGATTATTGTCGGGTAGAGTGGAGCGATGTCTGGCATTGATACCAAGGGCTAGTGCGACGCAATCCACCACGAGGGGCCTCAGGACTCTCTCGCCATCAGCCGACCACGACAGGATTCTCCCGAGAAGCCGTCCAGGCTCTAGCTTGCCACCGGGATAGGTGTACTTCAACGCGTCATGATACGACCGCAAGCTGAACCGCAGAACAAGTAAAGTCGTTCGTCTTTCGACAGCTGCCTTCGACTGCATCCAGGGAACGAGGACATCAACAAGTTCCGCGAGGGCGTCTGCCGAGTCCCCGATGACCTCCCCACAGATGACGCCCAACCCGTCGGTGACCCGCTGCATCCCTTCGACCTGAAGGATGAGATCGATTTCGGAACTGGCGCCTATCACCTTATCGAGGACAGTTCCAAGAAGGACTGATCGTTCTTCGGGGTTGAGGGCTGGTGGGACTCTCAGGAGGGAGATCATGGCGTCGAGGAGGTTCGGGTATAGCTGCAAGGGTCGATACCCGCTATGAGACTGCAGGAGATTGAGAAGAGAAGCTAGACAGCTGGCTCTCGCCTTCAATCCTACAGAGTTGGCAAGCCGATTCGGATGGACTGCCCCACCGATCTGCTCTAGAGCGATCAACCCGGCCTCCTTCGTTGTGGTTTCTCGAGAATCATTCAGGTGTTTGATGACCCACGGCAGAATGTGACGTTCGATATGTGGGAAGAGAACAAGCGAGTCCGATCGCTTGGCAATCTCTGCGTAACATCTGAGGAGAGAAGCTTTCGAAGCTTCAGCAGAAGCCGCGGCTTTGTTATCGCGAACAAGGCCTAGGAGACGTGTCGGGTGCTTTCGCGAGTCCTCCACCTCACACGCAGCTTCCATGAGCGAGAGGAGGACAGCTAGATGTCGTTTGGAAGCAATTCCCACGGACCGCGGGTACTCAACTATGAAGGGATGAGACCTCGCTGAGTGGATGAGCATCGTAAAGTGCTCCGGGTCGTCGGTAACTGCCGCCAGGTACAAAGCGACTTTGGGAGAGCACTCCAGGACCAGCTCCTTCGACAATTTCGACGCCCAGTCCTTTCCTTCTAGCTCCACAGACTTCTCGAGAAACTCCACCATCTGCTCCTCCCAAATCATCAATTTGGTCTGATGGTTCTGGGGCTGCTCTTCATCCTCGAGGAGCCTCGAGATGTCCAGGAGCCGGCTATCCCATTCAGGCTTCAACTGATGTCCTAGTAATGGTGCCGAGGATCGTAGGAATATCACAACAGCCAGTCGATTCTTCTCTTCTCCACACAACTCCAAACATTTCGCCAGGATCTTCGTACCCGAGAACTCCTTGAAGGCATTCCCTGAGTCGGCTCGGATGATCTTCACAGCAAGGGCTGACAAGGATCTCAGAATAGGGATGGCCGAGGCTATGAACGTTGGGTCCAGGAGGGATCGGAGGAGTGCTGGCCACAGCCAAGCCTCGACCCCATCGACAGTCGTTGCGAGGAGGAATAAAGCTTCCTCGTAGGCCTGTGGCTCCTCATTAGCGATTCCACACCTGAGGACTATGTACTTGATGAAGGCAGCTCTTTGTGAAGGAAGGAGAGGAAGAGTCGGATGAGCAGCCAAGGCTACGATGGCTCCGACCATCTGCTTGGCATTGCCTTCGCTCAATGAATTCTGGAGACTCAACGCGATCCTCTGAAGGGAGGCGTCATCGTCTGATGGTAGAGTGTTGATCAAGTGTCTGAGGACGACTAGCGATCTAGCTCGACAGGTCCCCGAGGGGTTCTTAAGATGCTGGAGGATTCTGTCGAGGCCTTCCTCGGGATAGAGCACTACGAGACTTCTGAAGCACTGCAGAACCTCGTAATGAGTTAGCAGGGCATCTCTGAACGCTTCGAATGGCGTCACGCTCACAAGATCGAACAGAATCGTCTGCAACTGCTCGAGGAAGGGTCTCAGGACCTCTTTGTTCTCCACCAAAGTATTATTCAGTAATATCGCGAGACCCCGCGTGACCGCGAGCCGACAATTCGGGTACTTGCAGAGTTGCAGAAGCATGGGCGTGAGTTTGGCAGCCATCTGTCCGCCATCTTGTTCAGGGAGGAGAGTCAAAATGGGGCAAAGGGCGCTGACAGCTGCCTCCAAAAGTTTCATGTTCCGCGAGGTCTTCATCCAAGTGTTCGCGAGGATGTCGAAGGACTTGGACATCTCCTCGGTGAAGACGTCCTTGGAGATCGCGGGGTCCGGGGCCTCATCGAGGTTCATTATGTAATCGTTGATGGCCTCTGCGAATTTACCGAGGAGAAAGCAGAAGGCGAGCTTCTGGGAGTCCTCGTGGATCTGCGGGAGGAGCGGGAGGACTATGGAGAGGGTGAGCTTGATGAAGGGAACCATGCCGAAGGGATTGCAGGAGGCGATCAGACCCATTGCGCGAACAACGGAGGGAGAGGGGATAAGGCCCTGTTGGAATTTGAAGAGGAGGCTTCCCATGGACTGGGTGCAGTGGAGGCGACTGAGGGAGACTAGGAGCTCGAAGGACTCTTGCTCTGACTCCTGGGTCAGGTGGGAGACCGAGAGCTCAGCGACGGATGTCGCGAGATCCTCAGGGAGGGGGGAGGAGGAATCGCGGAGGGTTTCCGACATTGTGCGGAGGACGGCGGAGGTGTGCGCGGGGGGAAGCTTGCGGTGAAGCTCCAGGAAGTAGACCGCGGCGTGGATGAGGGTGGAGGGCGAGTGATGGGAGATACTGCGGAGGGCAGAGAGAATTGAGGCTTGCGCGGCAGGGGAGCGGTCTTCGAGGGAGTCGAGGAGGGCTCCTATCACCGCTGAAAGAGAATTAGACGGATTTGAGGGGGTGATTTTTTATTTATTGCTGGGGTATAAAGCATTATCTTATGGACACGGTCGACCTCATACCGATACGGAGACCTGTCGACCATTAATCCTTGAGTAGTCGCATCTCTTCACCGAACGTTATTGGTCGTACGGTGGGCGCTTCGCAGCCCTGTGTATTTTACAATTGTTTTTGTAAAAAAAAAAGTTGTAAAAAATTGTTTATCTGTAGTTTACCGGTAATTTTGAACCTTCAAGGAAAATTAAATAGGGATATCAAATAATAATAGTGGACAGATAATTCTATAATTCAATTTCATTAGACATGGGAATTTTCTGCGAATCGAGTTTTCAGAAGATTTTGATAATTGATTGGTGCGAGTATGGACCAAAAAAATTGATAATGCGTTCGGTTTAATTGAGAATAGGAATACAAATTTTCATAAATTTTTCAGTTACGAGGTTTTCATGAGAAAAAAAACGAAAAGCTGCGGCGAATCCCCCATAGCGCGATCACTCAAGGGTTAAGAGGCCTCGGGGGTAAAGGTGAATGCCCATGGAAGACAATGAGATCACAAGATTTTCCCGCCATCTTTATTTGCTCGATTATGATTGGTTACACGGATGGGTCTCCGTATGGATTCTGTTCTATGGGCATTCACCCTAAAAAAAAATACTAAACTGCGGGAAAAATTTTGCGCTATGAATTTTCAACCAAAAGGGCATGAATAAATTTGAATAATGGCTTAAAAAATTTGTTTATTTTATAGAAACCGCATGAAGCGAGTGGAGGGTGATCCGACGAGGATGAATAATTTTAAGAAATGATTGAAAATAAAAGTATTTATCCTTTTCAGATCACCTTTGACTCGTTTCATCGAGGTCCTGGAAAAGGAATAAATTGTTCAAGCTATCTTCAGACTCTTTCATCTCCAACTGGATAGACCGATAGTGGCGCCACTGTAGCATATTTTACATTCTTCGGACGCAAAGTGAACACTTTACAGCCAAGGTCCGTAAAATTGGCGTTTCGCCCGCAATAGTGTCCGTAAAACGCCACTTTACACAAGTGCATCAGTAAACACACCACATTCTCCGCAAAATAATTGAAAAGCCGGTGAAGAAAAATTGTAAAAAATCAAATAAAAATATTTCCTCACCCGACAATTCGTTGCTCGCACTGTTTTCCATTTCCTCCTTCATCGTCAGCTCCAAAAATATCTCATTCAACCGTTTCGACAATGAAAATACTCATTACCTCTTCCTCAACGTTCAATTATCGCGATCATTAATACGTCTTCGATAAACAGCAACATCTGGCTCTACTACCAACACCAAAATGCCCGGTCAAATGTATAAAATGTTCGATAATCGAGCATTTTACGTACCTCAAATGTCTATTGTTTTTTTAATTTTTTTCTTTATATTTTTGATGAAAAAATGAAGTGCAAAAGTGATTTTGGAACTGTTTCAGGTTAGTTCGTGTTATCTGTCAAGTCAACTTCCCCCCCCCCCGAGTTTTCACGATATCTTCGTCATTTCTTCCCCTCCCAGCTGCCAAAGTAGGAGAAGTTGCGAGTGGGGGGAGGGGTGGGCGGCCATGTAAATGCAATGCAAACTGCCAGTCATTCGTCAGCGTCAGACACGAGCATTTTCGAGGATTTATCAACGGCAATTCCAATTGTTTTTGTATTTAGATTGATAATTTAAGATTTGAAGGGTTAATATGTGCCTTGTACGTGTTGTGAATGATGACAGGGGGTTTCATGGGGAATTGTCGAGTGCTGGGACTAAACTCGTAGTTGTTGACTTCACAGCTACTTGGTGAGTGATTTCTAGGTTAGATAGAGAAATTACGAGCATTGTTGGGGGGGACGATGATGTGCCAGGGGAAAGGATTAGAGGATTATCCTGGGGGGGGCGGGGGGGAAATTATGCCGAATTTTTTTTAGTGAAAATAACAATCTTTTTTAGTTTTTGGGGAGATGTTTTTTTTTGTTGCGTTGATGATTTTTTTTTGAGGAAACATTATTGGAGTGTGGAATGGGTGATTTCTGATAAGGATATTTATGACTCTATTTCAAGAATGTTTTTTAGTGGGAAAAATATCTTTGATTTTATCACTTGAATTTTGCTGAAAAAAACGTATTCATTTAAAAAAATATCGAATTTTTTAAAGGCGTATTCCTACCCAAATAATTGGTTTTTAAAAATTGGAAATTGATTTTGTGGAGATGAAAATGGATTTCCTTATTTTAAAAATCTGATTTTCAATAAATTGATTTATCATTTTTTAAAAATCAACATTATTCACAATGAAATTTATTTCAAGCTCAAGAACTGAGTATTTCTCAATACTCATAACGATATGTTGAGAATATTTAATTTTTCCATTCTTAAAATGCAATTTTGATAATGAAAAAATGGTCATTTTTTAATTTTTGGAAAATAATTTCATTTTAACACACCATTTTCTCCTTTTTAAATCAATTCTGTTGAAAAAAATGGATTTTACAATTTTTTAAATTCTATTGAGAAAAATCAATGTCCCAATTTCTTAAATTCAATTTCGTTCCCAAACATTGAATTTTCACTCATGACAATTTCATTTTCATAAAATCATCTTTCCTCAAAAAAATTATTCAATCATTTTGATTATTATTTCCAGGTGTGGTCCTTGCCAGAGAATAGCCCCAGTATTTGAGCAGTTATCAACAAAATATCCAAATGCAGTCTTCCTGAAAGTTGACGTAGACAAATGTGCAGAGACAGCAGCTAGCCAGGGTGTGAGTGCCATGCCGACCTTCGTATTCTACCGAAATCGAACGAAACTCGGCATGTGCCAGGGTGCCAATCCCGAGGCCCTCGAGAACAAGATCATCGAGTATTACGGTGGTGGTGATGGTGACGACGAGGGACCTGTTGCTGGACATGTACGAGAACCCAAAGATAACGCTTATTACCACATACTCGGCATGATATTACTAGCAATCATCCTGTACATGTGGAATAAGAATGAACAGGCTTAATTATCAATAATCAATTTTCTCAATTACTGACATGTGTTATTACTCGACTAATAAACAACAATTTTAACTGAAAAATCAGTTTTGGTGATTATTTCCGGAAATAAAACGAGAAAAATCCCGTTTTTTTTTCAATTAGTCAATTTTTTATCAGTATTCATCAAAGATTTTCGTTAATTATCTCATTAACTTGATGAATGAATAGTAATTTTTGATTTTGAATTCTTCTATTCGGTGAAAAAATCGGAAAATTGGGAAATGAAGAAGCAAAAGTTTTGGAAATGAAGTTTTAAATAATATTTTCAGATGGATTTGAACACTTTCATCATGAAGGGTCAGTGCGAGTGTCTGAACGAGTCTGATGACCACTGCCTGGAGCACTGTCTAACTGCTGAGGGTGGATACCTGGAGAGCGACTGTGACGAGCAGCTGATAATGTCGATAACGTTCAGACAGGCAGTGAAGGTTCACTCCCTGAAGTTCAAGGGGCCCAGTGACAAGGGACCGAAGAACATCAAGATTTTTATCAATCAGCCGAGGACCATCGACTTCGACATGGCTGACTCCAACACCAGTGTTCAAGATCTTGAGTGAGACTTTTTTGTTTTTCAATCATATCTCAAAAACCACTGAATTTACTGAAAAATACGACGAAACATTTTTTTTGGAAATTCAATTCTCGACAAAAAAGGTCTGATGTACTATACTTTTTCATGATTCCAGTGGTTTTGGAGATATTTTGAAGAGAAAATTTTTCATTCATTTTTTCAAGTAAATTTCCTGAATTAATTCAAATTTAATTGAAATTAATTCAATTATTGGATTCACAGAGACTTGATAATTCAACTGTTTTATTGAACAAAAATTAATTTATTTGAATTAATTTAAGTTAATTTTTCAAATTGATGTTAACAAATTCATTAGAGAATGGAATAAAAATCGAAAATTGCGAATTTCTCGGGAAGTATTAGGTGTACCTAAAAATGTGAGAAGACATTTTTTGTTGGAAATTTAATTCTGTACAAAAAAAGGTCTGATGGTATCTTTGCGTAAATCCAGTGGTTTTGGAGATATTTGCAAAAGAAAACGTTTAATTAAAAAAAAATACTGAAAAATTGACGTTTTCATTCTCCCAAGGAAATGAATGGCCTTAAAAACAAATGTTTTCCTTTCAGACTTTCAGCCAAAGACGTCGAGGAGGGCAATCCAGTCCCCCTTCGTTACGTGAAATTCCAGAATGTTCTGAACCTCCAGATCTTCGTCAAGGACAATCAGGGAGGGACTGAGACCACCCAGATCGATCATCTCTCGATCATTGGTTCCCCAATCTGCACCACCAACATGGGAGACTTCAAGAGAGTAGCTGGAAAAAAGGGGGAGAGCCACTGACACTCCCTTTCCATTATCACAATTTTCAATACTATTAATTAAATATTATTTGTGCATCGAAACAGTCTCTTTTATTTATCCCTGACCCTCCCTCCCCTGGTCCACTCAATCTGGAAATGGCTTAATTTGTGAGAAACGAAGAAAAAAAAGATTTCACCCAAAATTGTTACCAAAATAGAAAATTCCCCTGAACAACATATGTAAATGAAAAAAAAACACCATTATTATTTAAAAAGTCCAGCATTTCTCTCCTAATTTATTCCCGATAAATTCCAACATCAATCCTTAAATAATAAATTTATAATATTCGTCTACTCAAAGACATTCACATAATCAAAAAAGAAATCAATCCTTAATTAATCATAAAAATACTATTTACAATAAAGATGGTATAATTCTGTTTAGACAACCTAACTTCAAAATTGGACTTTCATCAAATTGGTAGAGTCGAATTGAAAAACGCCTGGCGGATCTCGAAGAGCATTCCCTAGGCTTCAAAATGAGACATTACTCAGGAGAATCCGATCATTATTGCAGGAGGTATCGAGGATTTACGATTGGTCTTGAGTGTAATTAAAAAATTCTAGGGTTTTGTTGTCTTGTTTCCATATAAAAATGGAAATTTCTGGGGTTTCTCGTGCGAAATAACGGTTCCCCTCTTGTTCACTCAATCAGCAGAATATAAAATGTTACGAAATATTGTCTCATCACAGAATGGATCGTTGAAGTTTGCTTGAATCTCAGGAAATGGCTTTTGCTATTCTCCAGATGCCACCACATCTGCAGGTACGAGTCCAACGTTGGTCCCAGGCTCTTATCGCTGCTGTTCTCGTCATATTCTGAACCTGAGCTTTCCCCCCACACCTGCAAAAACGTCCAAACTATCAATTATCCCCCGCAAGTGATCAATTTAAAAACAATTGATGAATTAAACATCGAAAAGAGAAAACTCTCAGACTAATTTCTGAATATTTCCAAGAGGGAGAGTTTTGACGAAAAATGTCAAAAGACACTTTTTCTAGAGAATTAAATTCCCCGCAAAAAATGTCTTGTGATATTTTCCCCTAAACCCACCCCCTCTCCAATAAACCTCAAAACAAATTAGACAAACTGTTTTTTTTACTTGAAAGACTATCAAATAATTGTGGAAAATTACCTCGTGCATTGTTTGAATGTCGATGGATCCTTCCCAAGGTAAATATGTCTGATCTTATCAACAACCTGGCTGGAGTGCATGCACCCCTCGACGGGATTCAACTCAGGAATGAAAAATAATTGATCAGGAGTTATTCCGTATTCAAACTGCAGTGGGAGATTCTGCCAGTGGAGAATAGGCGTTGCAATAGCTGTGAATCCATTCGCCTGATGCAATTGTGGAATTATTATCTGATTCGGTAATAAACAGCAATCATCTGTGGAAAAACATTAAAAAGTCAGTCAATACCTCAAAATTTTTGTTTTTCCTTAAAAAAGGGAAAATTCAATTCAAAAAGTCATTACTGTATTCAATTGGTCAATTGAGTTGTCCATTAACGATCAAATAATTTTTTAATCAGTGGATTCAATTTATTATTCGAGGATTTTTAAACAATATCGAGAATATTTATAGATTTTAAATTCATAATCAATTAAATAAATTCACAATTCATTCTTTATTTCGAGTTGATTAATTCATTATTCATAATCAATGTTTTAAGCAGTAAAAAAAGTCTTGGATCGATGAAAAAATATTAAAATACTGTTTTTTAAATATTGAAATTGATTTCTGTATTTTTTAAATTTTTTATTAATGAGCATTTTTTTGGATTTCTTCCTTTTGTTCAGGTATTTGAGCAAGAGTTGTCTCTGATTTCGACAGTCTCCTGCTGTCTGGTGCTCCCAGAAGATCCTTGAACGCTGCAGATCCCATTGTGTATCGCCTTGTGTCAATTTTCTTAGCCCTCAAGATTTTCTCCTCTTCAGTTAAATTCATGCCGATTTCATCTAAATTCGTCTTCCTCCTGCTGGCGACTTCAACATAAGTTGCTCTTTGCTGCGATGAATGTGGCATCCGGGGTTTTATTTCAGGAAACTCCGAGGATTTTTTGTCGATGAGTTTTTTCTGAGTTGAAACAATCTTCAGTTCTTTTATTTTCATCAATTTTTTATTCTCATCTCCAGTTGATTCATCATCATTTTTTTCTTCAGATAAATAATCAACTTTTGGGGATTTTGAGTCATGAGAGTCTTCAGATTTTTCGGCAATTGGTATTTTTAGAGATTTATCCTCAAGTTTTTCATCTTTATCTCCAGATAACTCACTTTTCCGTGCATGGAATCCATAAAAATCGTCTGATTTTTGTTTAATCTTCATTTCTTCAATGAGATCACTCTCCAATTTATTCACTCTCATCAGTTTCTTCTTCTTATCTTCACATTTTCCAACCACTTCTTCGTCATCATCATCTTTATCTTGAGATGAACTCCTCACTCTTTTTTCTTCACCAAAATCCCTAGATTTTTCATTACTCTTCATCTCCTCAAGCGAATCAACTTGTAATCTCCCAGTTTTCTCCAATTTTCTACTCTTCCCTCCACTCTCTTCCACTTCTTCATCATCATCTTCATCTTTTCCTTGAGATAAACTCCTCTTTGATTTCGATTCCCTAAAATCCCCTGACTTTTGCTTGCTCTTCATTTCTTCAATCAAATCAGCCTCCAATTTTCCAATCCCCCTCAACTTTCCTCCATCATCTTCACTCCTTTGAATCCCCTCTTCACTTTTGCGAACCATTTCTTCATCCTCTTCATCTCTTCCTTCAGATAAACTTCTTCCCTTTAGTTTCGGTTCCCCAAAATCCCCTGATTTTTGCTTGCTCTTCATTTCTTCAATCAAATCACCCTCCAATTTACCAACTCCCCTCAACGTTCCACCATCATCTTCCCTCTTCTTTTGAATCTTCCCCTCATCCTCATCATCTCTCCCTCTCCCCAGCTTCTCATCATCATACCTAAAGACATTTCCACTTCGTCTCGTCCCCTTCATCTCCTCCTCCCTCTCAGCATTCTTGATCAAATCAATGAAGAAGAGATCCCTAGGAGTCATCGGAGTGCCACAAGTTCTCCCTCCCCCAGGCGACGGCGTCTCCACAGTAACAATCCTCAGATATTCTTTGATGGAGCTCCTGTTGATCTCCCGTGACACCCTCGACAGATTGTCCTCACTCTTCTCCTCAGCCTCATTTCCCTCATCGATCTTCCCCTCCTTGTCTATCACCAGAGGTAGAGGGTGCCTCCTCAGGGTCACGGGGTCACTCTCCTCCTCAATCGAGTCCAATGTCTTCATCTTCTTGCTCCTCTCCAGGGCTATTGCCTCCGGATTCTCGCGTCTTTTCCCTCTCTTCAATTTTCTTCTCCTCCAGAAGACGAGGAAGACAATCATGATGATGAGGTAGAGGACTAGTGCCACTGTCCAGAACAACTGGGGCCAGTACTGAGGCCAGTCCTTCGTGTAAATCGTCCGGTAGAGCATCCCGAAGACCAGGGGACACACGATGATCCAGTGGAATACGAAAATTCCGAAGCAGATGGGGAAGAAAAATGAACATTTCGAGGTTTTTTCCATGCTTGATTGAGAGGCAAAACTCTCGGAGTATTTTCGCTTTGCAAAGGCATTCTTTATTCTCGATTTTTCGGACATTTTTTAAATTAAAAATAGTACTCAGGGATTTAAATGATAATTTTTCAATTAATTACACTTTTCTTTTGGTTTTAAGAATTTTTTTATGGTTAAAAAAAGGCAATTTGGGGTCCAAATTATTTAAGAAGAATTGAGAATATTGTTCAGATCATATTTTTACACATTAATTACACTTTTTTTCGTTTCAACAATTTTTTTATGATTAAAAAATTCAATTTAGGGTTCGAATTATTTAATAAGAATTGAGAAAATAGTTTGGATATTATTTTTGAGTTTTAAAACATTTTGTAAATCTTGAAAAATTTGTTTAAGGAGTTTTTCAAGTCTTCAAGTCATAGAGAATATTATTTTAGCGAGTGCAAAAATTAATTTGGCTGTTGAAATGATTGTTCTTAATTTCTCAAGCACTTCATAAATGTTGAAAAAATTCATTCATGAATATTTTCCGATGTTTTCCACATTGTTTCGATTGAACGGATTGTTTAAACACTTGAGAAATTTATTCTAGTTGGGCATAATTGTTTATTTACAGATATTGATAATGCTTATTGTATGGACTCGTATTAAAATTGGGAGTACAAGTTATGAGGAACGTTTCAGAACTGATTGAAAACCCATGGAAACCAGAAGGAAGTGGTGAGTCTTATCAAATCCTGTCGGATTGCCTCATGTTTATTAATAAAACGAAGCAAAGCTGACTCCCTAAAGGAAAAATCTAATGGAATGATAGAGGATCGGTACTTTTGGTCCAAAAAAATATTCATTCTAAATTTTTTTTTATTTCTGCTTTTAGTGCGGTCAATCTTTACTGCAGTATCCAATATTGGATACATCAGGAGTAAAGGAACGTAATAAGACTAAATTTTCTCATTTTCCTTCAAACAAATCACAGTTTAATGTGCGGAAAACCTTTTGACATGAATTTTCAAGATGGTAAAACAATGGAGATAACGTTCGAAAGATAATCCACCCGGGCCTTACGGTGTTTCGGCCAAAAAGTCAAAATAATGAAAAAAAATGGAAAATTCACGGGAGAAAATTCTGAGTATGCTGCATCATTGAGAATTTTTCCACATTTCTTTCCGATCTCAGTCTCAAGAAAAAAAAATGAAATTTAGATGTTTTTGTAACCCTTCCAGCTATAATCTCCGAGGTGACCCCACTCTCAATTAGGGAAATTTCCATGGCACCCAAAAAAATAATGAACTATTGAAGAAAACACTATTGAGTGATAAATCAAATCTTTCTTGACAACACGTATAAGTTTCAGATTTTTTTCAGATTTCATAAGAAAGTTATTTGAACAAATGATTCGGAAAATGATGAGTTTCGGGGCAATTACGCGCTCACGCGCAGGCGCGTGGTTCGAATGTCAGCGACCGTCATGGGAAAGATATGGGTTGGACCATGGAACTGAGAGAGAGAGAAAACACTCGACAGGTTTACCAACTCGAGACGCATTTTAATATTATTTCAATAATTAGAAAAACATCCAATAAAAATTATTTGACACTCGTAGATGATGAGAAAAAAATCAATCAATCTGATAAATAAAATCAATATCCAAAAACTGTTCAAATGCACACTTAAATAGTTACTTGAAAATTGGAAAATTTCGTGCTCAGCGATTGAATCAGGGCTCGAGAACAATAAGACTCCCCTTCCGTTTCACCCCCCTGTGATCTACAGACGAAACACCTTAAACGTTAATCTGCATTTTATTCGATATCCTGAAGATCCCCAAATCATACCACCAAACTTTCCCAATAAATAATCTACATTTCTGCGTAAACAAAATGGCGTGTTATGTCAAAACACCCTAGTCAAGCGAGTTGCCATGGCATAAAATACTACATTTTGTCATCAGGCCTAAAAAACATTTTTCTTGCGAATAAATTGTCAAAAAGATACACTCACCAATGAGTCCATCATCAATCTGCTGCCCAGCATCCCCATTCCCCTGCACCAATTTCGACAGCAGCCGAAAAAGAAGCGCCAGAACATCAACATTATCAACAGTCCTCTGAAAAGCAGGAAGACACGTAGGTCTCAAAAGCCCCCAGATCCTGATGATGACCAGCAGTTCCCTGACAATGTTCAGGGCCTTGTGATCCTTCAGGAGTTCATATCCTCCGGGCTTCATCTGCATCCTCTGTTCAGGAAGTCTCGCCAGGAGATTCAACGCGAGATCAGCAACCCACTGGATCAGCTGATGAAGACTCTGCAAGGTGCTCGGCTCCACCGTAAACTCTTTAGGATCGAGATGCAACAGCACTTTATCAACATCAGTGACACTGAGATTGACGTCGCTGATGACAGCACTGAGGCTCTCAGCGGGTCCTTTGTCATGGCTGATGAGGTCGCTGGGTCTGAGCAGTCCTTTGAAGGCAGTAGCCACTGAGTGGATCATCAACAGGGCACTGAGATCAGCAGCCCTGCCCTGGCCATTCCCCAGCATTCTGTACAACGACGTCTTTATGCAGAGGAACTGAATGTAGTGGTACTGCTGAGTGGCTGGACTCTGTCTGTTGTAGGATGCATCGAGCCTCTCGCACAAGGTCTCGATCATCGAGGTCCTCATGCAAAAGAGGAGGTCCAACCAGTCCAGACCGGTCACCAAACAGTACTCCAACATGGTGCAGGCGTAGTTGAGGGTTATTTGGCTGCCTCCGTCTGGGAGGAGCTTGTAGACGTAGAAATTACCCTGGGTGTCCACTGCCATCATGACGAAGCCTAACCAGGATAGGTCGACGTGGGAAATGGTGACGGATCCTGAGGGGATATCAAATCGAAGGAGAACAGTTTTAGAACAACGAGGAAAGCTTTGTGTTATGAGCTCTCAGCCAAAAGGGGATAAAGAAATCTGAAGAATAGGTTGAAAAATATGTTCACTCTCTAGGAATTGAATGAAACCAGTTGAAGGTGATTTGAAGAGGATAAATAATTTCAAGAAATGATCGAAAATGCGTGGTTGAGAGGCGTGAGCGCCGCCATCTTGCTTGGATATTCCCTCCCTCTGTCGCGAGTGACTTCAAAGATGGCGGCGCCTCCACCCTGCATTTTTAAACACTTCTTAAAATTATTTATACGCTTCAAATTATCCTCAACTCAGTTCGTTCGGTTTCCACAAAATGAACAATTTTTTAAAGTCATTTTTCAGATTTTTCTATCCCATGTCAGTTTTTTTTACTCCTGACGCCTCATATCACGAACCTTTCGAGTACTTGGCCGCAGGCTCCCCATGCCCCCACCCCCTGGACAACGACGAGGAGTTGATTTCCTTGAGACCCTCTCTGCTGAGACAATGAACCGAGGAGTCAGCTAGGGTGACGATGACAAAACTAGGTGGTGGCAGGGTCGTCACGAGGGAGACCTTGGTGGTGCCGATGGCAGTGACAGCCGCAGGACACCTGTACTGGGACTGATGCTGCCAAACGACAGTCTTAAAAGGCTCGGAGGACTTCAACTGGAAGAGCTTGTGGACGGGCTGGGTCTTCTCCCGGAGTTCCCAGACGTCTACGAACCCCTCGCCCTCGCCGGAAGCCGCGACCACGAGGGAATCCGCGTCCTCTCGGACCACGAACTTCAGGTGAGTGATGTCCGTACAGTTCTCCCGGAGTTGACCGTCCTGGAGGAAGAAGCTGGGGAGGGCGAGGGATTTGATCGAACACTTGTCGTCCTTCTTGGTGACGAGGACTCGGTAGCAACGGATGGGAAAGGCTGTGGTGCCACTGGAGACGGCCACTAGGAAGTGGCCGTTCTTCCCGTAGCAGAGATCCACCGAGGAGATCCTCTGGCGGATAGAGGAGAGACTCTCGGTCGCTATGCAGATTGGGGAGGTGATGTCGCGGGTGATGAGGATCGCACCGATCATTCCTGGGGGGAGGGAAGTAGAGGTTCAAATGGTGGGGTCTGAGGAGGTGTCAAGGGTCAGAACACCGTGAGAAGCGGACGTTCCGGGAACGTCGTTCCCTTTGAAACGCTTTGGGAGTACAAAGAATTACTGAAATGCGGGAATTCTCAAGCAAAAATGGACGGAAAAATATGAAAAATGGACCGAAACCTTTGTTCATTTCATAGAAATCGGATAAAGCGGGTTGGGGGTGATCTGAAGGGGATAAATAATGTTAAGAAATGTTTAAAAATTCGAGGTGGAGGCGCCGCCATCTTTCAAACTCCTCGCAGCAGGGGGAGGGGGATCCAAACAAGATGGCGGCACCTCCATCTCGCATTTTTAAGCATTTTTAAAATTATTTGTCCGCTTCAGATCACCTTCGACTCGATTCATCCAGCTCCTAGAGAATGAACAAATTTTCAAGCTATCCTGATTTTTTTTGTCCTTTCGGCTGAGAATCGATGGCGCAGAGTTTTCTCCGCATTTGAAGGAAAAAATAATTTTTGGACTATTGATAATGCTTCTTGTATAATTTTCATAAAATTTTCTTCATTGAAAAAATGTTGGAACTGTGAAGTGATGTGTAGTATGATATTATTTTGTTGTGATTAGTTTAATTGTAATTTGATATCAATTTACTGAATTTGCCGATTTACATGTTCTTATTTAATGGAAAATTGACTGTATTGTTGTTCCTATTTTTTTGATTTTCCATGAAATGAATTCTCATGCCAAAAGTAAATATTTAATGATGTCGAGGACTGTGTTGATAATTATGTTGAATTTGTTTGTGTTAACATTTACGTGTGTCATTTTTATGTAATCCACCAGTCGACAATCTAGTTCTATGTTATTGTTATGAATGTCCATTTTTTCCCTTTAGAATACATTCCAAGCGATATGCATTCGTTCCTTGTTCTGAACATTTCCTCTGAAGTTAGTATTACTTGTGTTTCATCATTATTCTGTTCTTCCGTTTTTATTGTAATGAAATTTTATTTCTGAAGTCCCTATTTATGTTGATAAACGTCTTGTCTTAAGAGGATACGTCAGTGAAATTTAAGTCTTCACTGGGTCTTGGGACCCATTGAATAGTTTGTGATATATGACGGAATGTGGGAATAACTAGGGAAAATTGCTTTAGCTATTTTAGCTTTTTTTAAAATGTTCTTTACACTCTAAAGAACGAAGTTAAGCATCCGTTTTACTTTATCATGCAATAGATCATGAATAAATGAATTTTGAATTTCATAAATTTTTCGCGTCTCTAGAGTAGAGTAAAATTTATGAAATTCAAAATTCATTTATTCATGATCTATTGCGGGAATAAAGAAAAACGGAAAAATTTTACCGACGTATTCTCTCAATACCCATGCGCGTTTCATTATGAAAAAAAAAATTGCTCCTACCTGTAGAAGACACCACCAGCACCCCTTCAGCAGCTGTCCCCCCGAACTGCCTCACCGAGGGTGCGAACAGCAAATTCGTGAATTTATCAGAATAATGAATGCTATCTTTCTTATCAGTGACTAACGCAGTCTTCTTTCCATTGTGGAACCAAGCAGCCCCCAGAATGTGCTCCCCGGGGAAGGTGGTGGACCCCAGGAGACTCCACTCATTCAGAATGTGATCCTTGAACATCCAGAGCTGAACCGTACCAGAACGATCAGCCACCACCAGCTTGTCCCCAGGTAAATCCCACTCCAGAGCTGTTATCGGAGACGATCGGTTCGACGTGACCTTGTGGGGGTTCCAGGGCATGTTCAGGTCGCACACGTAAACGTGGGAGCCCCAGGTCTTGCCCACGGGGTCGTCGAACAGAACTGTTGTCGTGAAGGCTGCGATGTTCCTGGAGGAGAGGGAGCAGAGGCAGTGACCCTCCAGGAGAGTCTCGTTCGAGGGGAAGAACCTCGACGAGGACTTCCGGTTTATCGTGTACAGAAGGTCCATTCTGCAGGAATTTATTACTGAATTGTTGATGAAAAAAAATTGTCTTGGAGATGAAGGAGAGCTCGTCAGAGGGCAAAATACTCAGGACTTTTATTTCTCAAAAATTGAAAATTGAAATTTTTTGTTTCATTTCTTGAGGATGAGGGGATGCACGTGAGTCAATTAATTAAATAGTCAGGAGATTTATTTTTTATGAAATTGAAGAGGTAGAAATTTCCTCGACGAATTAATCGAATTCCAGGATTTTTTTGAGGTTATGATTGCGTTTGGAGACCTTAGACACTTGAAAACACTGGATTTTATTTTTTTAGAGGATTTAAACACTTCACTCTTGATAGGCTATCGATAATGTTCGCTTTTGGGGCTCATCATTGATTACTTTATAAAGTCCACTCTCCAGGAATTTATTACTGAATTGTTGATGAAAAAAAATCTGGTCAAGGGGCAAAATACTCGACTTTTATTTCTCAAAAATTGAAAATTGAAATTTTTTGTTTCATTTCTTGAGGATGAGGGGATGCACCTGAGTCAATTAATTAAATAGTCAGGAGATTTATTTTTTATGAAATTGAAGAGGTAGAAATATTTTCTCGAGGAATTCATCGAATTCCAGGATTTTTTGAGGTTATGATTGCGTTTGGAGGCTTCAGAACCCTTTAGACACTTGAAAACACTGGATTTTATTTTTTTAGAGGATTTAAACACTTCACTCTTGATAAGCTATCAATAATGTTCACTCTTGGGGCTCATGATCGATTACTTTCTGGGCTTTTCAGTGTTTCTTGTGGAGCATTTCGACAGAGATCTCTGATTTCGAGAGGTTCTGTGTGTTGACAGTTTTTTTAAAGGCTGTTTTGATGATTGGAAAGTTGCCTCGAGGGCTCGAGCCAATGATTGGTCCGACCCCGTCGACCACCCTTGTAACGTCATTAGGTTTAAAAAATTCAACTTTCGATAATCAATTATTAATCAATGAGCAATATTTATAATGTTCATAAATAAAAAATTAATCATTCAAGCCGGAACACGAGTTTAAAAAATGAAAAAAAAATTACAATTAGGGAGTTTTTCGGCCAATTCACGAACTAATGGCGCCAGGGTGCCGCCATCGGCTTTCCAACATGGCGGCTCCCATGATCGAAATAAAATGGACACTTTTGACTTTTTTAAAAATATTCGTAACTCAGAAACAGATTTATCAATTGAGCTCAGTCTAAGCTCATCACAAAGAGGAATCATTATTTTTCAATTTAAAAATAAAATTATTCCATTTCATGAATAATTCAACACGTCATAAATATTTCAAAAAAAGTCAAAAGTGTCCGTTTTACCCTACCCTCCCCTAAACATTTGAATGGTGTGTGCTCAAGGGACCCCCGAATTGATATAAGTCAGTTAACGATGGTTTACTCTTGCTCTTCCCCTAATTGCAAGAACAAATCAGTAGCGAAGCGGTAAACCGGGTTAAGTCTATTTTGACGATTGACCAGTTTTTGACGAATATCTCGGAACCTAAAAGAGATAGAAAATTTTTTGTCACGACCTTTTTTGTAGAGCCAATTGAGGGTTATAAAAAAGGTCCGTATCTCTTAGATTCCAAGATATTCATAAAAAATTAGCCAAAAGTCAAAATCGACTTAACCCGATTTACCGCTTCGCTACTGAAATGTAGATTTTAGATCCCATCGAAATCTCCACATTTTCGTAGGCAGTGGTTGGATTTTATTGGTATTCAAGATCTGAACCCGGTAAGGGGTTTATGCGAGAATCATTTCACTTCCGAGCAAATAATTTAATTAGTGAAAGTGAATCTACAGGTAAATGATTTTATCCTATGGCTCCACCTAATATGATACAACAGCCTAAACAGATAAAAATGAATACACACTGGTTTCATATGACAAAAATTAATTAGAGCGAGGTTGAAGACTCACGCTGTTCCTACGATAAAAGTTCGTTCAAAAATGTATTACTATTACCTACATAGTCAAAGATGAACAAACATGATTTCGCCTCAACCGCCATAGCATTGGCTATTTATAGGGGCGAGTGGGGTAAAATGGACACCTTATAGACTTTTGTTTTAATTACTCATAACTCAGAAACAAATTTATCAATTGAACTCAGTTTAGGATCATCACAAAGGGAAAGAATTGTTCTTTCCAACGAACAAAAAAATTATCAAATATTATTAATATTTCAATCCGCCATTAACATTTTTAAAAAAAGTCGAAAGTGTCCATTTTACACCCCAATCTCCCGCCAAAAAAATCTCTGTCGGTAGCGCTATGGCGCCCTCTGCATTGAGTTTGATAAAAACAACAAATTTTGTGATTGAAGTCGATGCGCGGAAACCCACCCTGAAGTTGGCTACGAGTCACGTGACCAGAAGAGATTTGTTTGTCGTTTGGCAGAAGTCATCAAAATTTGCGAATGTGTGGTAGGCAGCTGTTAGAAAATAACTGAAAATAACTTCATCGATTCCGCTGCTTTCGTTATTTTTCCTCCAATATTATTTAACATCACGTTGACTTTCGGCTTGTACTCGAGAATCTGATCGAGACTTTGAAAGGGTCAGGTGGTCACCGTTATACCTCGCAGCATCTCCCGTACATGTGTCAATGCCTACATAGTTGCCCTAGTCATCGGGCTCATGCCGGTGGTAATAACCTTGGCTTTATTTTTCAGGAGCAATAATGAGGGTGGAGTGGTAAGAAGGTCTGGCGTCTGGTTGTAACTTCACAGATTGGGGAACTGGTCCTGAGAGTCGAAATGACATGTATTTTAACGGGTGAGTGCTTCGTTAGACCTTTAAAATTTAGAATATTCGAGGGGCACATTTTGAAATCGATCAACCAAGCATTCAGTAATTCAAAATTGAATTTTTATTTGGAAAGTGTCTAATATCAATATATCGATTTTTTTAGATTGATATAGGGTGGGTGGGGCAATATGGACACCTGGGGTAAAATGAACACCCGAAAAAGTTGGTCCTGATCAACTTTTCATCAAGACAACTTTCGACATTTTCTAACGGAATCGTTTCGGTATCTTTTTGGGGAGAGAAATTAGAGTTGGAAGAGATAGGGGAGGTTGGGGGAAAATGGATACTTTTGACTTTTAAAAATGTTAGTGACGAGTTGAAATGTTGATAAAATTTAATAATTTTTTTTTTCAATACAAAGAGCAATTTTTGCCTTTGTGATAAGCCTAAACTGAGCTCTATTGATACATTTGTTTCTGAATTATGAATAATTTTAAAAAAGTCTAAAGTGTCCATTTTACCTTACCCTCCCTTATTAACAAATACACTTCAATTCTATTAAGTTTTACACCAAAGTTTGAAATATTAGAGTAGCTTTGGATTTCCTGTTTTTCTACGGAAATCACTTTGAAATTATTTTTTTTTTCAATGAACAGTTCCACGTTGTACATAACTGACCTTTTGTCCACTTGCGAAATTTGTGAGATGACTATTTTCCACTTACAAGGAAATCACCATAAAATAATGGGGGGGAGAGGATAAATGAGCAAAGAAAAATTTGGTTTACCATCCCTCTTTCAGGGGAACATAATTTTCGGCAGAACAAATTTTTTTCTTCCCTTAAGGGACTTCCACAGTAATCAAAGAGGAGTAGAACGAAATACTCTATTTAGCTGAAACTTTGAGGATATATTCTTTCAGTGATTAGAGATATCCTCCCGAAGTCCGAACACGCTGAACCACGTAGATTATTAAGGAGAAAATATCAAAGATATGGTATTAACATAGAGCCTTATGGCAGTACTTTTTCAAAAATCGCGGAAAAATAATCGACAATACTAGAAAAATCAAAACTCTTCACAAATAGAACCGCATATATCTCAGGAACATTTTCTCACAATTTCATTATCCGTAACCACACGGATTATTTTCAATTATTAAAAATGTATGGCATGGTTCGGGATTCTGGTTGAGCTAGGGGAAAATGATGGCTGAACACGACGTTTTTTTTCTAACAATTTTTTTATTCAATATTACAACATTATTTACAATTATTTAGAGTCTTTACATCATAAAAAAACAGGTATATAAAAAATTAACGGTTTATATTTAAATTTCTTAAACTATGGTCTCATTCAGACGCTCGAATTTAAATATTGTATTTTTATTTTAATGTTTCCATCAAAATATCGATCTTTTTTTTTAAATAGTGCTCCAACTAGTAGCATTTAATAACTGTCAAGTTTTGCGCCCAAAAAAAAAAAGGTTATCTCGTACTTAAAGTTGAAAAAAAAGGCGCTCAAGTAATTGCAATTTAAGGGGTGAAAATAAATTATTTAAGGCCCGGGTGTCCTATCTTTCGAATGTTATCTGGATTTTTTTTATCTTTCGTAATCCAAAATTGTCAATTGAGTGGTACATCATGTAGAAATACCCAAAAATTATGATAGAGTGATGAAAAAAAAATAGAAAAAATTCTGAACTTTTTCAAAGGGCGTTTTTAATTGAGATTCAAAATGATTTGAAAAAAGTGGAAATTACAAATATCTGATTCGCTGTGGCAAATTATCTATTAGCTGTCATTTTCCATGGTGGATAACAAAACACTAATTCCTCATGGGAAGTGACAGCTAGGTATCTCAATTTTCAAAACAGTGGTATGTAGTCATCTGCCATTTTTATGTGATAAAAGTGTGATTAAAAAATTCTCCAAAATATTACAACTTTTTTCAAAGAGCCTTTTCCGTAAAAAATGTCTGTGCAGTGTGAGAAAAGATTTACGAAATCGGTCTTTCCCCTGCATGATATTGGGTGACATTGATACAGGCAGCTATTTGTCACCCTAAATCAGATACATTTTTCAATTTCTTGTTATTCAACTTATTTTGTATATAAATAAAAAATGCCCTTTGAAAAAATTAAGAATTTCTTCTACTTTTTTTTCATTATTCATTCATAATTTTTCAAAACTTCTGCATGATGCACGACTCAATTGACAATTTCAGATGACGAAAGATAAAAAAAAAACATCGAGATAACGTTCGAAAGATAGTACACCCGGGCCTTAAATAATTTTTATCTATCTGAGGACATCATTGAGATGTTTATTAATGTATTTTTCGTTGAGATCATTAAAGATTTTTGGAATTAATGAGTAATGAGCATTAATCTGTTCTTCTCAGTTATTAGCGCTACATTTGCGCTCAATTAGTGAAAAAAAAGAGAAAAAAGGAACTGTCCTAGAGTGGACGGAAGTTGCCTCTAGCAACTCTGTTGTTACCTCTATATCTGTTTTTGTTTTGTTCTTTGTATATTTGTTCTCTGGCTTTGAGCTCGAGAATGTATTTATCTGTGTCTTCTAGCCGCCAGTATTTTTTTCTTACTCAGTAAAAGTCGTTTATGTCATCTGAAGGGATTTCTCTGGAATATTTTAACTCTCTTTCCAGGAAATCGTCAATTGGGATTTTGGTGTTTTTTTATGTCTGGGAATATGGAATAGAATTGGTCTATTCATTTCGTCTTGGAACTTTCCTTGTTTATCGAAGGATGTAAAATACTGTGGTTTGATATTGCCAGCGCGGGCTCTGCCAATGGCTTCTTCATTGTTAACAAGTGAGAATGAGTTAATGACATCGTTTTTGATGTGCTTTACGTTCTCACAATAATTTCTTGTGAGTTTTAGCATAAAATGATCTATTCTGGGTATTTCAGCTTGTTCATAAAGATATTTGTTACTAATTTGGTGTTGAAAGTTTGAGTGCTCGGATCTATATAGGAATATTAATGTTCTCAAACATTTCTTTTCGAAAACTCTAAGGCATTCTGCTTGATGAGCGCCCAAGTTCCAGAGGATTTTGGCTCCATAGGTCAGAAGAGCGAGAATAATATGTGGGATCTCGTAATATCGTCATATTACTCTCGCTCTTTTGTTAATGCGTTTGTTATGGAAAAGAAAGCCCAGAGATTTATCTCTTTCGTGCTTTTTCAATTTGGGTGTCTGTGTGATTGGAACAACTGACTAAATTGTCAGTGTTTATCCCCAAGTATTTAACAAGATTCTTGTGTGGGATACTTGTTTCTTCGTTGGTTTCCTCATTTGTCATTTTTATTTCAAAGTTTTTTATGCTAGTTTTGTGGATCTTAGACATATTTTTTATTGGGTTTCTGAATAAAATCGTTTCACTCTTACAGATAAGAGGTTGACCTTAAGATCCCACGCTGAGTACATGGCGTTTACTTTATTTACGAGAATATTTAATGATTCACAAATGACATCAACATTCTTGCCTGAGACATAGATAATTCTGTCATCAGCATATGCAATTGAATTTGTTCCGTTACCACTATTCAGGCCGAACGCGTCCATTATGTGTGCGGTAAATATTGAGAATAGGTACGGGGAATTTATCGTGCCCTGTTGTAGACCTCCTTTAATTAAGAATGAGGAGCTCAATGTGTTGTTATGATTGATTACCCTGAATTTTTTTTCATGAACCAGGTTCCAATTGGTGCGAATTAATGGAATCGGAAATTCATTTTTTATGAGTAAGTAGGTGAGTCCGTTTAGCCAAACGGAGTCGAATGCTTTCTCAAGATCTAAGAGAAATGCTCCTACCATTCTATTGTGGGATAATTCTTCATTAACATCAGAAATAAGTTTATTCACGGCATGCAGTGTTGAGTGATGGTATCTGAAACCATATTGGTTATCGGCAATGATTTTTGTTTGTTTTTCAAAGTATGATATTGAGTTATTGGTAATGGCTTCCTATACTTGACTTATGGATGGTGTTATGCTCATTGGACGGTAGCTCACTGTTTCATTAAGGCTCTTTCTTTTTTTATGAATGGGGATGACTATTGCTGTTTTCCATTGATCGGGAAAATAGTAATTGTTCAGTGCGTTGTTTATTATTTATTTTAGTGAGGTTGAACACGACAACGTCGGCGGAGGTTAGAGTGCGTGCGCCGAAGGCCATCACGTGAGCTGTCATTCAAACTGAATACTACACTTGTAGGTTATTCCCGGTATAAAACATTGACTTTATCATGTTTTTATTTTATAATTTATTTAATTCATAGAAAACTCGAAATAATGCATTATGGTTGATCAAACAATATATAAACTCATTAAATTTCTCTTCATATTAGCACAAGAGAGAAAAAAAAAGATTTATAATTATTTGTTTGACTCATTTGATTCCTCCATTGCGTTAGATATTCAGTTTTTCCTGTAGAATCATTCACAGTATAAGCCAAGTTAACCTCGCTAACTTCACATGTTGTTTACATCGGTTCCCTCCGTCGAGGCGTGTACTTAGTACACTGTACTATAGATTTTACAGTACAGTATAGGATTTTCTAGGGAGACAAGAATACCAGCTGCGTCGAACGAAAATACGTGGTTGTCAGATCTCTCGTGACAATTTTTATTTATTAAAAAAATCATGTAAATTTTATTTCGGAATAGAAATGATTGATAATTGATTAGTCCTAAATAATACACGAGAAGAAACCCAATCAACGGAATTTGGATAGTCATGACTTTTTTGCAATTTCATTATTTTTTTTCTAACGATGCAGCGGACTATCGGAACTGTGGAAGTTTCTTAATCCCTAATTGAAAATGTATGAACATGGAGATGAACAACAAAATTGATTCTAATTTTTTCTCTCAGTGATGTATGAGTGATGCATTCCCCAAAAGTTTCTAGAATTTTCCAGAAAATTCTAGAAAGCTTGAGATATTCTCCAATATTTCCAAAAAACCCCCAAATGTTTTAAGAAACCAGAGAATATTCTCAAATTCTGTAGCACCTCGGGAGTTTTGTTAAATTCTTCCCCTCGCTTGAGAATTTCCTAAACTTCTCCAGAAAGTCTTAAAATAGTGTTGAAGTTCCTATTGTTGCAGAGCAAAAAATACTCTTGGGATCCATTCATTCTATTCAAAAAATAATATTCAGTTAGGGGAGAGTGGGGGAAATTGAAACAACGGGGCAAAATGAAACAGTCGAAAAATGACTGTTTGACGTAATTCAAGCACAAAATTTTTTTTTGTTAAATTTTCTTTTATCAACTTTTGTTTATCAATTTTTGTTTATTCTTGAAAGTACCAATGTGAATAATAATTTTCCATTTATTAATATGAAAAATTATTGAGAAGTTTTGACGGGAGCTTTTGTCAATGGATTAATTGAAAACAAAACGATACAGAAAAATCCAAAGTCCTGAGGAAGACCCAGAGGGAGAAAAGGAAAATGTGATGCTGAATTTGAAACAAATGGAAAAAGAAAGTTGTAATCGACCTAAGCTAATCGCTTAAATCATAATCAATTGAATTATAAGACGAATAGAAAGTGATTATTCTCATCAGTACTCCCAATTATAAAAAAAAATTAACAAAAAAAATTAGTTTTACTTGAATTGCATCAAACATTCATTTTTCGACTGTTTCATTTTGCCCCGCTGTTTCATTTCTCCCACCCTCCCACCAATTATTTAACTGCCATCAACCGCCCCGCGCCTCATCTCCTCACACCCTCCGACTCAAAATCTGATTTACCTTCTAGAAGAAGAAGAATCACCCAACGGCCTTCCCACTCGACGCTATCGGTACTGAATTACTTCAGTGACGCCTACCCCCTCCCGAAGAAGGGCGCCACCCCCCGAAAAATGCTGATCGAAGGGGACAAGCACCCCTTCCGGTGGTTGCCGTCCCTCCAGCACATGGCGAGTGTGAAAATAATCGAAGCCTTGTGGAGAAATTCCGAGGACAAAGGGCTGATAATAGAAGCCTGCAAGAACACATGTGTCGACCACACGCCCGCAGGTTGGGCAGCCCTGGGGGTTTCCATCATCAACAAGATTGGAAGAACAGTGGACGAACTGTCCCTCCCCATATCGATAAAAATCTCGCTGAAGAGCTTCCTCCTGCCAATGGTAGCGAGGGCCACAAAGTGGCTAGTGGAAACTGGAACAGACGCTGCTCTGCGACCGCGAAACGACTGGCTCGAGCCAATAAGCTATCTCGTAAACAACTTCTGCTGGTCCAATGTTGGTTACGTCGATGGTGGTAAAATGTTCAAGTCCTACGTCGCCAACAGAGAAACCATTGACTTTGGAATCTGGGAGCAACTGTGCTTCTACTGCGTCGAAGACGAAATCATAAAGTTTTCCAAGACCATTGATTGGGACAATTGCAGAGAATTTTATCGCTCGCATTATCCCATTTACTGGTACTGGAAGATCTACGGAAAATTCCCGACAGAGACAATGTTCATTTCACCATTCTATCTTGACTTCAAGAAGTTGCTTGATCAGGGCCTGTATGACGAGGAGAATATCCTACGGACAATGTTCAAGTACAGCGTCAGCTGGGAATTGCGTCTCGATCAGATGGAGAGGACGTACATATCAGCGATGAAGTACTTTTGGAATCGCGTCAAGGACGACGAAGGGGTGGCCGATTTAATCTCAGACGCACTCTCAGGACATCCATCCACCGAGGGCTCTGTTTATCTTCTTACTGTTATGAAGGAGGAGGCTCTCCTCGAGGGCATCACCACCACCTTTGGCACTTACAATCGCACGCACTTACTGCGATGGCCTTGGATTCTCTTCATTGACGATTGGATAGGTGTTTTCGAGGCTGTTGATGCGCCTTTCTTCATGCGGTTTTTCAATAATATGGAGCCGAAGAAGAGGGACAACGAAGGATTCAACGAGAAAACCCTCTACGAACCCTTCGTCAAGGTCTGGAGAATCTTCCATCAGAGATTCATTTCTGATAATGAAGCTATGAATCAAGCTTTTTGGAGGATTCTCGACCGGAAAGATCATACTCTGTGCAGGCTCATGGTCAGCGGAATGGACAGCCATCAGAAGGATAATTTTATAGAATGTCTCAAGGATTACGCTAGGTTCAAATGTCATAATGAATTCTCTGTTCAATTCGCTGAGCAAGTTCTTAATGAGGTTGAACAGAGAGAATCTATTTGGGGATTGAGACTATGTTTTTAAAAATTATGCCTCATTTTTGTGATAATTGTATATAATTTTGGAAATTTGTCATATTATTCGAATAGAATTGTATTTTTTTTATCCCTTTTCGGACACTTTGGAAAATAAATCTCGTTTAGTTGAGGTATGAGTTGATACATCTGAGTGGCTGGGGGTGGAACTCCAGTCGTTTGCGTGCCAGACAAGTAACTATTCAATACACAAATTGTATGGGACTCGTCCCTTTTATTCTGCACTAGGGATATGCCACACATTTTTTAGTGATGAAACACAATTTCTCAATTTAGTTCGATGGAGATAGATGATAAATTCAATTAACAATCCAGTGACGAAGCCGTGATGAATCAAACCCAGAGTTAACTCTGGGCTGTGTTGCCAGATATTTTGGCGACAAGTCGCCGCATCTGACAACTATGATATTTGTGAATCAATTTCGGAAAAAATTGAGGATTGCCCGAGCGTGGTTTGAGCTCGTGACCTTCAGATTGCCGGTCTGGGAGTCAATTCTCCAGTCGGTGAGTGACTCAGCGTATAAGCTCGTCTCATCTACACAACACGAGCTGAGCGTATACGCGGAGCTACTCACCGACTCGAGAATGGACTCCCTGGTGCTCTACCTACTGGGCTACCGGGAGTTCCGTCACCTTCCGTCGAATTTGATTCACTTTCACGGATGACCCACCGCCGCCCTTCTATGACTCTGGGTTCATGGAAATTTTCCAGAGTTTCTCACTTTCTTCGCTGGGTTTGATCTATCAGGGAGTGATAAAACGGTTTAAGTCGACTCATCTCCCAGTTGAGTTTTTGAGCAATATTCCCGAATCTAAAGGGGATAGCGAAATTTTCGTAATCACATTTGTTGTAGCTCTCAATCGGCTCTGCAAAAAAAATTATAGCAAAACTTTTGTTATCTCCCTTAGATTCGTAGAACTTAGAAAAAAAGTTAGAAAAAAAAGCAGCCATTTTTTTCTTTTTTTTTTTTTACGTATTCTTTAAATGATACGTAAAAGTTTCAGACTGCTGAGGAGCATGGTTAATTTATAATGAATTTTTGAAAAAGTGGTCATTTAACCCGTGATCTTATGGAAATCACAAAAAAAACTGAAAAACCCAAGGAAAAAATGCAGCCAAAGTCATGAAACTGTAGACACATTTAGAACATGTGATCAATGATTTTTGGGTGAAAAAGATTGTCGCTTAGGAGCATTTTTTATTAATAATAGCGGAAAAAGTACTGAAAAATGAAATTTCTACGCATACAGCCCAAACGAGCAGCAACGTCTGAAGTACCGATCGGGTGGGGGTAGCGCAGTCAATTTAAACGTCTCTTGAGAGAGAGCGATGAAGCATTGTGATTGGAGCTCCCTCGAGCCAGTGGTACCAGCTCCTGGTGAAAAAAAAACTACCGACGATGTTGCCACTTTTTCGCATGGATTAATATTTTTTCATTTATTAAAAAAAAACAATCTGAAAACCACTCAATGCGTGGAACAGATACAAATAAATTTGATCAGCTCAAAAAATAATTTTTAACCGGAGATACTTCCTAATATTGCCTGAATTTTGAATCCGAATGGGAAACTTTTTTTTTTCAACGATTGGTTATCTGCAGGAAAACAATAGAAACCCAATTACTCCTCGCCCGATTATCCTTAAAAACTGGTCAATAGTCAGAATTGACTTGTACGTTTTACCACTTCGCTACGGAATTCAACTCAACTTCACCTTCAAAAATTAATCCTTCTGATGTCTTCATTCAAAATTGATATTCAATTTCAGTCCACTTAGACAACACATTTTAATTATAATCGGATGGTCGATTAACAGTAATCCAGTTGAGCGAATCGAATTGAGACATAATTTGAGAAGAGAATTTGAGTGATTTTTTTTCAATTTTATAATCTCAAGTTTGGTACCTGAATAATTTATTTTTCATTCATAAACGTTCAAAATATTGCTCATTAATTAAGAATTAATTGTTAAAAGTTGAAGATTTCAAACGCTTTGAAATCTCTAATGACGTCACACAGACGGTCCAGTGCAGGACCAATCACAGAATGGCTCGGACCGACCTAACCCAATCTTGTTGAGGTTTGCCTCGGCCAATGGAGGACGCCAACTCCCCACTCTCTTCTTTTTTGACCAATGAACCGTTACCTGATCGTCTTCGTGAGGTCATGACCGAAAAATTGGCCTCAAAAACGACTAATTTCCAATTAATTATCATAATAAGACATCTAGGCAATATTTCTCAATAATTTTCGCCGTTCAGATATCTATGTATTACGAGGAATTTATGAATAGGGGAATTAGAAAGAATTGGGCTTCATGCAAGTTCCCTATTATCGAGTAATAAAAAAAATTTCAGCAGTAATACCCCAAGAGGTTCAGAATTATCGGGTATTTCCCGATAGCTTCGTTGCAAATAAATGAGGGTGTCAAGTTTTGCAGATTAAAAAATTTCGGATTTTTCTGCACAACTTGGCAGGATGGTTTGTTTGCAGGGGAGCTTGAGGGAAATACCCGATTAATTTTGAATCTCGACGGGTATTTGTCGGATTATTTTTCCCAATCGGATTTTGGCCAAGCAGAGTGCAGTGGACAATATCAGAAGGTGAATTGGGGAAGATTTGAACAAATTATGTTAATAGAATAAATCGATTTCCATAGACCGTCAAATATAAGATTCTATCTGAAATGAGCCAAAAAAATAGAGAGCTACTGCGGAATATTCAGATAAAAGAAATGAAGAACTACTGCGAAATATTCAAAAGCTAGGCGGAAATATCAGAAATAAAACTGTCGGATAGTCTCAAATACTGCGCTCTGATTGGTCGAAATCCGATTGGGAAAAATAATCAGTTGTAAGACCACGAGACCTCCAAAATTATCGGATATTTACCGATTGTTTTGTTGCGTAGCAACGAGAGGGAAAAGTTTTGAAGATTAAAATCCCGAGCGCGCAGCGCGAGAGGGATTTTTGTGCAAAACTTATTCCGATTGTTGATACGCAGTAAAACATGAGGGAAATGTTCGATTAATTTTGTAGGTCGAGTGGTATTCGACGGATTATTTTTGGAAATCGGATCCTCCCCAAACCGACTCATTTTGACTTTCTTCATGACTTTCTTTCACTCCACAGGATAATATTTTACAGTTATTTGGTTAGAGAAACAATTGCAAAGCTAGAGGGAAATTATCAAAAGCTAGGGGGAAATAACCACTGTAATTTTAATTGGGAAGTACTTCGTGTTATTGAATACTGAACTCTGATTGGCCCAGGGAAGGCCAGATCCGATTACCAAAAATAATCTGAAATATTTTTATTCAGCCATCGTTTTAAATTCAGCCGCTCTTTATGGGGCATGTTGTCATGAAAACTCGCCCTATGGTTTTCATGAAGTCACATAACCTCTCAAATGTTTGTTGACGTTTGACGAGCCGATTAAAAATATTTATTGAAGGGTGGAAAGTTGAATAATCATGCAGCGAGATGAGAAACAACTGGATGCTGCCCTCGAGGCGATTATCATGAGGGTCAATGATTTGAAGACTGCAATAGCCTCGATGATCTTCAAATTGGAGCATGAGTATGAAACACTCAATTGGCCGAGTTTTCTGGACAATTTTGCACTCATTGCAGGACATGTGAGCGGATTTTTCACATTCAACAATTAATTTTGGATTGATTTTAGTGGAAAAAAAAATTATCAGTAAATTCTGTTTTTTTAGCTAACGAGTCTGTCGAAAATCCTAGCACACGACAAGGCCCCAAACCTTCGTAATTTAACAGTTCTACCTCTTCTCCTGAGCCCTGAAAAGGATGAGGAGCTGATGAGAATGACAGAGGGAAGAATCTCAACTTTTGCTCACGATCTCGTGCCTGATTACTTGAGGACAAAACCAGAACCTCAGGCTGAGCAGAAGATGATGCAGCTAGAGGTGAAAGCTGCCAATTTGAGCTATGATGCATCACACGTAAGAATTTTTGACATTTTTTTACAATCAATTCCAATATATTAGCGTCAAATTAATGTATTTTTAACGTCTTCCAATATTTAGACAATGATTTTAGTCTTCAAAAGCATAATTTTCACCCATTAAATATTTTTCGAGATTTAGATGTTTTTTTTCTAAAATTGAATTTTATTGTTTTATGATATTTAATACAAAATTTCTCTTTCAAACTGCAAACAACATCACAGGACTGCAATGTAAGCAAAATCCTTCAGTTTTCATCGACAATTGTTATAAAATAATTTTCAATATTTCAGAAACAAGTTGCCCAGTACAACAAAGTGATAAATCACGTCTGGGATATTGCGAATAAGGCGAGGGAGGAGTGGGAGAGTGAGGCTGGTGCTAGAACAGCCCAGGCACAGACCAGCAGTCCTGCTGATACAAATATCCTTGTTGCAGCTGTTGGAATGGGAAAAGGACTGAAAGTAAAACCTCAATCAGTTATCTCATTTTGAATTTTTTTCTAATTAAAAATTGTTTTCAGTCCGATGCTGTGCAAATGGTGCAATCTGGAGTAAATAATGTCCCCTCGGGGATGATCGTGGGACGTCCAGGGAGTCAACCTGGAGCTGGAGGACAGGGACCAATGGGAAATCCTCAAAGTAAGAAAATAAAATTGTCATTTAAATGAGGAGATTTGAAGTAAAATATTTTCAGACTTTTTTGGAGTGAATTAAATTTCCTCTTAAGGCCCGGGTGTACTATCTTTCGAATGTTATCTGGATTTTTTTATCTTTCGTAATTCAAAATTGTCAATTGAGTGGTACATCATGTAGAAATTCCCAAAAATTACGATAGAAGGATAAAAACAAATAGAAAAAATTCTCAACTTTTTCAAAGAGTGTTTTTAATTAAGATTCAGAATGAGTTGAAAAAAGTGGAAATTACAAATATCTGATCGCGCTGTGGCAAATTATCTATTAGCTGTCATTTTCCATGGTGGAACACCAACTCCTCATGGGAAGTGACAGCTAGGTATCTCAATTTTCAAAACAGTGGTATGTAGTCATCTGCCATTTTTATGTGATAAAAGTGTGATTAAAAAATTCTCCAAAATATTACAACTTTTTTCAAAGAGCCTTTTCCGTAATAAATGTCTCTGTGCAGTGTGGGAAAAGATTTACGAAATCAGTCTTCCCCCTGCATGATATTGGGTGACAGGCCGCCATTTGTCACCGTAAATCAGATACATTTTTCAATTTCTTGTTATTCAACTTATTCTGAATATAAATAAAAAATGCTCTTTGAAAAAATTAAGAATTTTTTCTACTTCTTTTTGATTATTCATTCATAATTTTTCAAAACTTCTGCATGATGCAGGACTTAATTGACAATTTCAGATGAAAAAAAACATCGAGATAACGTTCGAACGATAGAACACACGGACGTTAAATTGAAAAAATTCTGTTTTCATCTCTTCTGTTTTGATTAATTAATGAAATTATCCTACACCTGTAATTGTTTTTTTATGGTACTGATTTCTAACATCTGAAATCTAGTGGAATAAAGAGATAAATTAATTTTAGGAGAAAATATTTCTTGATATGAATCCAATTTCGTTTTCATTCTTTTAAAAAATCCTCTTGTTTTGTTTTTATTGATGATTAAATAATTTTATTGTCTTTCTTATTTACAGTGGGACAAATGGGGAAGGCCCCAAGTGCCATAAAAACGAACATCAAGGCCGCATCACAGATTCACCCCTACGGAAGATAAACTTCTCCTCAAATTGAAAAAATATTTAGACAGTTATTGGATTTGTCTTCGACGAAACGATTGCGTGAGACCTGGGAGACAATTTTCTATCAAGAACTGACAGTATCTTCGTTTCAGAAAAACCCTGCTCCTCCAGCCAACATCTCCTGTCATTCAATACCAAATATTCTGCTGGTGCCTGCAGGAGGAGCTGAAGTCCTGTATAAACTTCGGATAATTTTAATTTAGGCGTGTTCTCCTCCCACAGTTGATTAATCTCCTCGTAGTATTTTTTGTCCAGTTGTTGTCCATTGAAATTGTAACGGCGGGTGAAATTCTGGAAATAAGCCTCGAAATTTCGGCATTTTGATGATCTCACTGATTTTCTTCTCGTTTTTGTTAGTTTAATTTGATCTGCGAAATTAATTGCAAAGAAATGTTAGTGAATAAATTTATTGGTAAATTGAGAATTTTCATTTTTGCATCCTAATGGAAGCTTTGTAATCGTTCAAATTTGAGTTTTGAATTTTTTGTGTGATTACAATTAGCTTCATCGTCTCAGTTATTTGATTATTATACTATTGTTGAAAATCATGAATAAATCGCAATGAATTTTAGTCAGATAATCATAATCAATTGCAGAAAAAAATGATTAACTCCTGGAACATGATAACCCCCCAAGGACACTGAGTTGTACATTTGCTATTACAATATTATTAAAAGTCATGAATAATCACAGCAAATTCTAGTCAGATTACAGAAAAAATAGATGTGCGGAGACGAAGATCTATGATTGTTCTCATCTCCATGATGTCAATTAATAATAAGAGGGTCAAGGGATATTAGAGAAATAATTGCTACTTTGATTAAAATGTCATAGTGCGACGTTTCGCTAAATTATTTTAGCTTCACAAATTTTGCTAAATTATTTTAGAGATGAAGATTTTCTTTGTGAGAAACTAATGGTTCGATTTCATAAAAATCCTTACTTTTATGACAAAATAATTCTAGGACTCCTCTAGCCATCAAACAAATGGAATGCACCTCGTGATCCTCTCTCGCCATTTTTTCCCACCTCTCCGCAGGCTCCTGACACGCGAGTCTCATGAACGTCCGCCCTAGGACATCCCCTACCCCCTCAGGATTTCCAATCCCTTCGCACTCCCTTCCAAGCCCTCGAGACATCGGAAAATTCTTGAAGCCCTTTTTACCCTCGAGGCACTCGATCTTGTGATAACAACAGGACATCATGATCAGGAGACTCGCGTTCTCCATGTCCCTGAAGAGTCTCAGGGCGTTTGCGCTCAGGTCGCCACAGGAATGAAGACCGATCAGACAGAATTTCTCATTTTCATTATTTGTGAAGGACTTCAAGAGTTCTTCAATCTCGGCTGCCGAATCCTCCGTGACTTTTAGACAGAAGTATTGAACCGAGGGGCGAGAGAGCGGGTGGAGGGTGTCCCGACGATGGCTCGCGGTGGCTGTGATACTGGGGTTGGACTCCAGGCCCAGGACTCGGTAGTTGAAGAGGTGGTGGAGAAGCTGACACACGTAGCCCTGGGGAATCCACCTTATTTTGAGGATATGTCTGCAGGGAAGGGATTTTTTGAAAAATGTCATACGACATTTTTCGTGGAGAATTTAATTTTCTATAAAAAAGGTTTAGAGACATTTCTTAATAGATCCACTCGTTAACGAGAAAAATAAAAAATTCAGAATAAAGGTGAATTTTCGGAGATGAAAATAATGTGAATATAATTCATTTAAAATATAATCAATTTAAAATTGAAATAAATATTTACCAATCCAGCTCCTAAATCCACGATGACCTCCAGCCCTTCCCTCGCACACATTTCATGAGTCAATTGCGCTAGGTAAAACGCCTCATGTTGTTTTTTTTCGTTCAATCCGAGAGTCAATTGTTTCGGAATTTTTGAAAAATCATTTTTCACTTTTGAATTAATAACGAAAATATTTTTCGAAAGCTCTCTTCTGATTTTTATGCATATTTTGATAAACTGAAGAAGACTCGAGGGCCAATCTTCACGGATAAATCCCCCAATCACCAAACTATTGAGTTCTTCAATATTCAACGACTCCAAAGCGTCAATCCAACCATCAGGGAATTGATCCATCACTTTATCAACAAGAATCTCAGTGACAGGAGACTGGAACAACCAGCGATGCTCCAGCAGTAGCTGTAGGGTCTCTTTAAACGCTGTCATCTGATGAGATAATAATTAAATGAACAAATTGATTATTGTTACCAGGGAGCCAGGGAAATTTCCGTTTCAAACTCATCCTGAAAATTTCCCTCGCTCTCCGAGCCTTTCTTCTCTCCTCCGGAATAAATGAAAAAACACAATTTTTGTTTCAGCAATCGATTTAATTCCTAAAAATTTTATATACATAATTTTCATCTCCATCATCTTCATCTCCCTGATCTGCATCATCACAATCAGCTCTATCTTGTCCACCACTCTCGTCATCTGCATTATCAACTTTCTCTCCATCATCATCTCCATCTCCCTCTCCATCAAAATCCTTATCTTCATCTTCATGGCCATCATCTCCCTAACCTCCATTGTCACCATCTCCCCCTTCATCTTCATCCATTTCAGCTCTAACGCATCATCTTCATCCCACCGCCCTCATTGTCATCTTCATCTTTCTCATCGTCCCCTTCGCCTGCCTAAACTACATTATCATCATCACCCTCTCCATCAACATCCTTGTCATCCTTATCTTCATCTTCTTCATCATCATCTTCATCTCCCTAACCTCTATCGTCACCATCTCCCTCTCCACCAAAATCGTTATCATATCTTCATCATCTTTATCTTCATCTTCCCCATTATCATCTCTCTAACTTCTATCATCACCATCTCCCCCTTCATCTTCATCCACCTCAGCTCTAACGCATCATCGCCATCCTACCGCCCTCATTGTCATCTTCATTTTTTTCATCGTCCCCTTCATCTCCCTAAACTTCATTATCATCATCTCCCTCTCCATCAACATCCTCGTCATCCTTATCTTCATCTTTTTCATCATCATCTTCATCTCATTAACTTCAGTCGTCACAATCTCCCTCTCCACCAAAATCTTCATCATATCTCCATCATCTTTATCTTCATCTTCTCCATCGTCATCTTCATCTCCCTAATCTTCGTCACCTCCCTCTCCAAGCTTATCTTTATCTTCCTCATCATCATCATAATCATTACCCAGCAGCCTGAACCTTCTCCTCCTCCTCCTCCTGATCCACGACCCTCCAGTTCTCCCCCCTCCTCTCCAACAACTCTTTATTAACCCCCCCAATAATAGCCCTCCCGACTCTTGCGCCCTCCTTCCCCGGTCTCAAATACCTCTCCGCGACATTGACCACATCCTCCTTGCTAACAGCTTTCAGCAACACCCTCTGCCTCTGCACATCATCCTCAGTGATGCCATGAGTGAACCTCAACAGGCCCCTGTTCCCAGGCGCGACAGGAGCGTCGATCTGCTGGAAGACACCCAGCTTGGCTTCGTCCAAATAATTATCCTTGAAGTCAAAGGTCTTCAGGAAGTCGCAGGTCCTATCAAAAGTATCAAACGTCTTCGTGCTGTTGGGGTCCCTGAAGCTGTAGAACATGAAGACCCCCTCGGGGGACAACGAGGCGCCAGAGCCATAAGCCCCCTCCTTCTCCCTAACTTCCGGTAGCAGATAGACCGAAGAGATCAGCTTACCGAGGATTCTCAGTGCGGGGTAGTCAGGATGTGCATAGGGCACCGTCAGGATGGCTTTTGACGTGTAGTTGGTGGTGTACGGCATCACATGATGAACCCCTGACACCTTCCCCTGGGTGGCATTCAAGTCTTCATCGCCGAAGATCGAGTTTTCGTTTTGGCTGAAAGAACCAGAAGCCTTCAACGGATCATAGAAGTCCCTCTGAAGGCTGTTAACCACATTCTGGCCGTCCTGATCCTCAGAGTAATTGACAGCTGACCTCAGACGGCTCTTATCAATGACCTGCGCCCTGATCTCCCGCATCTTGTCAAGAACCGGAGACAAGTCCTTCAGCTGCGACAGCTTCTTCATCCGCGAGACGAACTCAAGACCGGATAGCTTCTCCTTCAGTTCAGCAGAAGACGACACGAGACTGGCAGCCGAACTCATCGCGTAGTGATGACCCGAGTCAGCTATCCCGCAGGACAGATCAACAGCCGAGTTTCTGATGAGAGTCTCGAAGCGTTTGAGATCGTCAAGCTTTCCCTTGTTGAACAGCTCCTCCCAGAGTTTCCACATGTCCGAGGTGTTCCTCAACAAGCAGTAAGAAGATATCAGAATGCCCTCGCTGAAATTGTTCATCCTGCTCTTGTCCTCACTGATGTGCGCCGAGAAAGCCAAGCCCCCGGACTTCAAGGAACAGAGACGATCGAAGGTCCTGTAATCGTGGTCTTCCGTTCCCATTTTGGCGACGACGTCGTTGAAGATGGGAACCAGCTCCTTCAGATCCGCCGGCAGGTGCTTCGTGTCAAGGATGCCCCTGTAGTAGAGGACCCCATTGGTCGGCTGGATCGACACCTGGAGGGGAACCCCCGAGATGGTGACATCAGACAACTGGTAACGATCAACGTCCGCCTTCAGGTCTTCGATCTTCAACGTCGGCAAGATGTTCAAGTCCTCCTTCTTTTCCTGGTCCTTCCTGAGAATCTGCCCAGTCTCGAAGATCTTGTCTAGGTCTTCCGGCGTCTGCTCTTCGATCTTCCGTTTTATGAGATTCTCCTCGGCCTCGGACGTCCTCCTATCGTAGTCCTCCTCCGGGCTCATAGTGAGGACCAATCTGTGCTTGTTCTTGAGAAGATACTTCTCCGTGAGTTTGTTTAAGTACTTGGGGTCCTGTTGAAGTTTCTCCTTGAACTTCGCGAGGGAGGAGTTCAGCCTGAGGCTCTCGACGATATCCCCCTCGTGGTTCCACAGCGGAAAGACACTAAAGAGTAAGTTCATCCCGAAGTTGGAGGACTGATGCTTGTTACTCAACTCGATCGAGTGGATAACAGCCTCCACGTGATCTTTGTCGAATCCTTTGGAGATGACGTCCTCCAAGATGTTGTCGAAGGTCTTCTCGATCTTGTGGAAGTCCTCGGGGTCGACCCCTTGGAGGGACACGACGAAGATGGCATCCCGGCACTGAGAGTCGTAGCCCGTGAAGGGACCGAATCCGCTTCCCAGGTTCGTCTCGATGAAGCCTTTGTAGAAGGCGCTGGTGGGGCCCTTCAGGAGCAGTTCCGACAGGATATGCAGTTCCAAGGTTGTCTGGATGTCCTTGATGTCATTGCAGAGGTGTCCAACAGCGATTGAACTCTGTTTAGCGGCATCCGGAGCCATCGGATCGATCTTGCAACCGATGTGCTCTCGTCGGGGTGCCTCCCATCGTTTCTCAGAGGGCACCAACGACCCGGACGTATCAATCCTCCCACCAGAAGACAGATAGTTCTCATCCATGAACTTCAGATGCTCCTCAAACGGAAAATTCCCGTAGGAGAAGATCTTGGAGTTGGAGGGGTGATAGAATTTGGAATGAAAGCCCTTCAAGAAATCGTGGGTCAGGTTGGGGATCTCCAGGGGAAGACCCCCGGAGCAGACGCCGTAGGTGTGACTCGGGAGGATTGAGTTCAGGAGCTTCTCCGCGAAGATGGTTTGGTTCTCGTTGAAGACACCTTTCATCTCGTTGTAGACCACTCCCTTGATCACTATCGGCGATGACTTGGAGGTCAAGTTCGAGTGCTCGAGCCTCCAGCCCTCCTGGAGGAAGTCCAGGTGGCGCAAGCGGGGGGAGAATACCGCGTCCGCGTAAATCGATTGAAGATTTTGGAAGTCTTTCGGATTTTGCGTGGAGAACGGGTAGATGGTGTAGTCAGCGCCGGTCATGGCGTTGAGGAAGGTCGCGAGGGAACGGTAGAGCATCTTCATGAAGGGATCTCTGATCGGGTATTTGTCGCTACCGCAGAGGGTCATGTGCTCGAGGATGTGGGGGACACCGGTCGAGTCGAGGGGAGTTGTTCGAAAGCCGATGCAGAAGACGTTGTTCAGGTCGTCGCGGTTCAAGTGGAGGTATTGGGCACCGGAGGGGGTGTGGGTCAGGCGGATTGCCTCGACGTGCATCTCCGGGACTCTTGAGACTTCGGTTACTTTGAAGTTTGAGATGTCGTCTCCTGGAGCGTAACGCAGGGGGGCCGCAAGGGTGGACGAAGGGGGGGTGGTGGCGAATGCGCGGGAGAGGGGGAGGAGAGCGCGACGGGCGAGGGAGAAGCGGTGAAACATTTTCTGGAAATTTCAAAAGATTTTTTGTTTTTCCGTGATTGACTAGGGGGAGAGTTCGCGATTGCAACATGGATGTGAGATCCACCAAGTGGGCCCTAAACTAACTACTCTTGAGGGCTAGCCAATGAAATCACTGGGAGCGAACCAATGATAGGGGTCAACCAATGAGATCACTGGGTTCCCCTTGATCTCATTGGTTCGTCCCCAAGAGTATTTAGTTTAGAGACCACTTGATGGCTCCCACATCTACGTTGCGATTGCGAATTGCTATTCAAGAATTACTTATTTTTGTGAAAGGAAAATAGGAAGAATTGAAGGTTTTCTTGTTCATCTCGTGTTTTTTCGAGGGAAATGAAGAATGAGCTTGAAATTGGAAATTCATCCGGCTTTGGAGGAAAATTTTCTCCAATCTTTGGCATTTTTTGGGGTTTCGAAGCAACTGTCGGCTCCTCGTGTGTACTGTAGGACTGGCGAAATTGTTGCACTGAGATGAATGGTGAGGGAATGGGAGTTCAATGCATAACCTATAATTCCCAGTGGAACTCTTTCCCCAGTCCTACTTTTATGTATTCTACAGGTGTACTGGCGAGATTCTAATCTTTGGGCTCCATTTTATAACATAATGGTGGGGGATAGGAATCAAGGGCTGTAATTTCTCCAGTACGAGTTTTCAAACTAACCTCAAAAAATATTTCAAAATTGTTGACTTACGTTTATATTCGATGATTCGTGGAGTTTCAACCCTTACTAACACTCTCTCACTGTGTATTTACGGTGATAAATATTTTTAATCCTCAAATATTGTCATTTCAGTCATTTTTCAGAGTTTTTAAATATGTGAATTTTGATGAACACGCACGGCAAACATACCACATATATAATTACATGAGCAGATGTAGTATGTACGTGCCTAGGTGACCGGTTGAGGCGTTTCACAGAAACTAATTTATGATTCCTGTTTTTTTACATGTTTTTTGTTCATCTCGAAATGTAAATTTATTTATGTTGAATCAATTTTAATACTAAATTATTGGGAAGCAAATGGAGCTAAAATATATGCGGAAGGAATAATCAATGTGACTAAATATCAACAAGACAAAGCATTGAATGGGATTTGAACTCTTAACCTTCAGATTACCAATGAGCTTCAACCATTTGAGCTATTCAGAGTTACCACATTTTACCATTGATTTTTATCCTCCTTAAAAAATGCTGATATTTTTCACTCAATCTAAAGGAGTTGAAAAAAATCAATTTATGAATTTGGAGAATAGTCATATCAATCGTAATCGGGAAAACTTCTGTGTGAGGGATTCATTACTTTATACAAAAAAAACAATCTTTGATCTCAGATGGGATTTGAACCTTCAACCTCCATTACCTCTTTTTTCTTTTTTCAATAAATATTTATTAACGATTGATATATCTTTATACATATGTTGCTTACGTCTATATATATAAAAAATGTTCATTGTCTTTTGTTGGTGCGTAGTCCCCACTTGTATAATTAACAAGTTTAACCTACTGTTTTATATTTTACTGGTACATTTTGAGGTAAGATGTGTTTACATTTATTGGTGGTAAAATTAGTTGATGACTCGTGTGCGACGATGTGATTATGAATGTGTTTTTTGTTGGAAAAGTTTTAATAAAAACCAACTTGTGGGAAGTCAGTTCTTCAACTATTTGAGCTATTGAGAGTTACCACATTTACCATTGATTTTATCCTCCTTAAAAAAATGCTGATATTTTTCACTCAATCTAAAGGAGTTAAAAAAAATAAATTTATGAATTTGGAGAAGTCATATTATAATCAGGAGGAGCGTCTGTGTGAGAGCTTCATTACTTTATACAGAAAAAAAATTTTCTGGCCTCAGATGGGATTTGAACCTTCAACCTCCAGATTACCAGTCAGTTCTTCAACCATTTGAGCTATAAATATCAACTAATCTACCAACAATAATAATTAAAAAATGAAAATAAACAATGCCGAACCCTTCAAAAAATCCTTTTCAAATTCCTTAATCCTCATCCCCAACTGACCTCCCATAAAAATCCCCAGGCCCGCTGCCAGCGCCCCCGCCCGAAAATCCCCAAAGCCCCCCCGAGAACTCACAAATGGAGCATCTTCCCGAGTTGCTTCAACCATTTACACCGAAAAATCCAAGAAAAGCCTCCGAAAACCGTCAATTCCGAGTGACTCTCTCCCCCAGTGCATAATCCCCCCGGGTGGTCCCTCGCGCTTAATAAACCCCCCCTGAAAATCCTGAAAATCCTAAAAACCTCGGAGAAGTCCTCACCTTAACCCCCCCGAGTGCCCTAAAACAAAAACCGGGAGTGCTTCACCCAGGAGATGCCAACAAGTAGTTCACCAGTGCACCTGCTAAAAATGTCCGTCCCCCTGGCCGCGAGCAAGCCCCCCCAGGTCGTCAGCACCTGCACCTAATCCCCTCTGAAAAGGAAAAACCTCGATAAAAAAAAGGTGAAAAATTCGGAAAATTGATTAACTACCCTGGAGGGGTAAGGATCGACCTGAGGGGGTCAGTCGTGCCCCTGAAGATGAGCAAGGGTCACAAGGACGAGGTTTGCACATTTGAGACACGAAGAATAAAGAAGGAGAGAACGGAGCCACATGAGAATGGCAGCAGAATCATTGTCTCAGGGGGTCAGGATGCACCTGGTGTTGCACCTGCGATCAATGATCCCCACCAGAGGGTGCCCAATGGATTTCACACGTCGGACCTCCTCCAGGACCTAATCTCCACGAAATTCAGTGGTGGAATGAATTCTAATCATGGCAAGCAGGAGAAAATTCGGATGATCATTGAGGAAGCCATTGGGGAGGAGTCCAAGGTGAAGGTGCAGGAGGTATTCCTCAGGGTGGAGCAGCTCAGGGTCGAGGAGAAGCTCCTCCTGTACCTCAAGCTGCCCTCCTGCCTGACCAATGGCGCAGGGACGGTGGATCCTCTCCGGCAGCCCCTCAATCCCCTGGGGAACAGGTACGAAATTCATCAGACCATCATGTGGATCAGGACACATCTCGAGGAGGATCCTGATGTCTCGCTGCCCAAGCAAGAGGTGTACGACGAGTACAATACCTTCTGCCACATCAACTCGATGAAACCGTTGAGCACTGCGGATTTTGGCAAGGTCATGAAGCAGGTGTATCCCAGGGTCAGGCCCAGGAGGCTTGGGGTCAGGGGACAGTCGAGGTATTGTTATGCTGGCATGAGGAAGAGGGTGAAACTGGCGGTGCCGGCGTTGCCGAGTGTTAAGGAGATTCAGGTGAGTTTTTTTGTAATCCTCTTTTAAAAAAAGAATGTAACTTTTTTTGTCAGCAATCTGTTCCGCCATGCCTATGCTTAGGAATATTTCCATCTTAAACTCGAATACCTTTTTATTTAATTTCTTTCAAATTATCTATATTAATTATCTATTATATATATTATAATAAAGAAAAAAATAATATATGATATAACAAAAATTATATTTACATTTTTATTTTTCTCATTCATTTCATTTTTTTTAATATAATTTTTATATTATACATATTATCGATATCTTTATTTTCTTTTTAATAATTATATTATTATATTATATATATGAAATATAAGCATATTATATATATAATATCATAAAAATTTTCAAGTCCACATCCCATTAAAATTCTAATTATGTTAAAAAGTGAATCGTTTTAAAAAATGTCGACAAAAAATATGCCATTTTTTTTTGAATAGGGAAAACGATCCTTAAAGAGAAGTATGGACCATAAGTAAATATTAATCATCTATGATAATAACTTAGCTTAACTCGAAAGCCATGAATTAAATGCGTGCGTGGAGCGCGCGCCCTTTTCCCTAGTCCTTAAAAAAAATCCAGTGTAACGATTTTTGAAGCCAGTCTATTTGGCGTATTGTGTCATTAGATTTTTCATAAATGATGATAGTATACATTGAAGATATTACGACAATACTTTATTATATTCTATACTATACTATATTGTAATACACTATGCATATTATTATTATCGGTTTATTATTTTATTTTTTTTATTATGCACATTATATTTTATAATACATATAGTACTCTATTATATATTGTATATTATATATAGTATATATTGTGTGGTATAGTATAGTATTATCGTAATATCTTCAATGTATGCTATCATAATTTATAAAAAATTTAATGACACAATACGCCGAATAGATTGGCTTTAACAAAAGTCACACTGGATGTATTATATATAAAAAAATAGAATACATTCCTGAAACTTTTCCTTAAGAAACGTTGATATTAACTTCAGAAATCTAACGTAAGTATAAGATTATTCACTACAATTGACATACGTTAATCCCCATGGAGTAGGGAATACGCGCGCGGACTAATCTAGTTTCATGAAATTTTTCAATTTTTTAATCCGATTGTTCATTTCAAATGATGAAATTCGAGTTTTTTTTTTCATTTAAAAAATGGTTGATAAATGATAAATGCAAAATACCGAGATGACCTTGAAAAACGATGAAAATTTTGCGCCACGAATTCCCGGTCAAAGTGGGATGAAAAAATTTGAAGAGTGGCTTGATAAATTTGGTCATTTTTTAGGGACTGAATGGGACGAGTTGAAGGTGAAATTAAGTGAATTAATAATTTTAATGAATGTTCAAAAATACGAGGTGGTTGGCAGGTGTAGGCGCCGCCACCTTGTTTGGATATCCCCTCCCTCTGTCACAAGGGGCTTTAAAGACAGGGAGGGGGTACCCAAGATGGCGGCGCCTCCACCTCCTACTTGTAAACATTCTTTAAAATTATTTATCCCCTTGAGGTCACCCCCAACTCATTTCATCCGGTTTCTCCAAAATGAGCATTTTTCTAAAGTCATCTTTCAGATTTTTTTCGCATCTCAGTAGTTTTGATCTTAACCTCACTCTATTCTCGTCACCGGAGCAGAGGTGGCGTCTCAGAATGGAAAATGTAAGAAACACCTTGAAAAGAAAATCTAATTCTCAGGAAGCTGAAGAGTTTGACGAGTCAATAACCGAGGAGATGTTGGGAGCAGCTTCGACCTTGATCAGAGAGTGGGCGGAAGGAGTCCTCGGCCTGAAGTTTCCAAACCTGGCTGCCCTGGCTCGCCACCTCGTCGAGAATATTTGTGTCGATACACAATCGCTGGCAGCTGTCTGTATTCTAAGTGCCACTGGTGACGTTCTCCCCTCGACACCAAAAGGTACCTTAAAAAAAAAATTTACCTTTCGAAAAAAACACGCCCTAAAACCGATGAATCCCCTCAGTTCCAGAGACGCCGCCGAGCCTATCCGTAACTCCAGTAGCTGGAAAACCCGGAAAGCTTCGTGAGGCCCAACTCCAGCTCCAGAAGAAGCTCCAGCAGCGTGAGCACACACGGGATCAAAAGCACCAGGGTAAAATTGAAAAAATCGACCAAGGTACAACAAAGCCACTCCCCCAAAAATCCAAAAAACAAAGAACACCAATTTCTCCAGTTATAACAACAACCCCAAAATCCACGCATCCACCACAGCCTCCAGCTACCTCAAATCGGTCTAGAAAACTGCCGAGATCATCGAATCAGCAGTCGGTCTCACTACAATTAAACTGTGATAATAAGAATTCAATTAACAACGACGATTTGTCCTTGAATGGCATCTCTCCCGTAGACGATAGGGCCCCAAAGCCGGCCCCAAAAAATTCCAGAAAACGTCCAAGTCTCGATGACAATCAGAATCCTGATGCAAGTCCCGAGAAACTCCAGAAAACGGAAAAATCCCCCAAAACGGATGATAAAGTTCTCCAGAATTGCAAAAACACAAGAGCCCCTGGAAAAATTTCTGTGGTAGCTCCAAATATATTGAAATCGAAACTCCAAAAAATCGATCTTGACACATTGAAGCCTCTCCAGCCCTCGAGAAAGACGAATGGCAAAGCTCCAGCAGAGGCTCCAGAGGTCTTAATAAAGGACGAAATCTCACTCCTGGAGAACTCAAAACTCTGTACAATAGATCCAGGTGCTCTAGACGACTACTTGAACGGGGGCAACAATTCTCAGGAACCAGAGGAGGAGCTTCTCCAGTATTTCCAGCAGTCGAGTTCCTCCAGCTCAGACGCTGAGGTTCCAATACCAGAGATACCACTGCCATCGAGATCAGACAAGGTGTCACAATTGCGTTTGATTCTCCAGCAGAATCTCAAAAATTCCACTATTCCAGGGCCCTCCAGCGAGCTTCCAGGTGAGACCCCAAGGGCCCTGAACTGTCAGCAAGCCCTGGAGCAGGGCCTTGAGGCCCAAAAGGAGGAGAAGATCTTGCCATCGTTGTTGAGCCAAACAAACCACTCCAGGAGGCGTGTGAGCTTCGAGACAAATGTCATTGAGCATTCTCCTGTAGTGACCTTGCCAACAATCCCTCAGTCCCCAAACACACGGAGAAGAATCTTCAACTTCACTCCAATATCACCAGGCCCTCACTCACCCATTAACATAACGCCTAATGGTCGTGCAGCATCAAAGCCAAATTCAGCTAATGCATCGCCATTTGTCTCTCCTCGAAATACTCCAGTGCCACGTTCCAGAAGTACAATGGCGCCCTGTCGTTCCTCCAGATCCTCCAGTAATGGGCCCAATATCATTCAGAAGCCCTTCAACAGATCTGCCAGCTGCTCAGCGAGCTATTCATCCAGAAATGACGACACGACATTCGTCGTTCCAACGTCTGGAACATCTGGAATTTCTGGAAAGTCCTCAGCTGAGGTTCAAGTGGGGCCAGCTGGTAAGGCCCTCTGCTCGACCTTCCTCTCCAGTGACCTCAATCCCCAGAAACAATTGTTGATCAATTATCCTAGTCAGGAGAATCTCCAGGAGATCAAGAATATCCATAAAAGGGCCAAACCCGATGATCAGGAGATCAGTGATTATTTCAATGGTGTTAAAGCTCATTTTGGAGATAATTTCTCCAGATCGCAGTCTGTTCCACTTCACAGAATGGTTAATCCCACATTGATGTCACCTATATCGTTGACATCAACTCCCTATCCAGGGCTCTATCATTTCAATGCCTCCAGTTGTTCGTCAGTGGCACCGACTCCAGTCCCAAGTGAATTCAATGATTTTGGGTCCACTTGCTTGCTGGACGAAGTTGACGCTAATTTCATGGGTGAGGATCAGGGGTTCCTCATGGAGGATAAGGAAATCTCCAGTGAAAATATCACGAAAATTCTGGATCTACTGGACGAGGATTCTGGAAAGGGCCTCAACATCATGGACAATGGGTCTGACGACATTATTACGGGTTCTGGAATAATGCTGGATAGCCAGGGGGAGGGGCTAGGGTTGAATACAGGGATAGGGGAGGCTTCACTGGAGCAGGATCAGGTGGAGGAGATTCAGAGGAGCATTAGCACGAGGAGTTATCCGAATACTCCATTGTCTGGAGGCAGTCAGATTCTGGTGGATGTCACTGCTGGCGTTGCTGGAGGGGGCGTGGCTTATCCTGGAGGTTATGATGACAGCAGTGGGTCAAGGTCATTCCCGAATACACCGCAGGTTTATAGGGAGAGCAATGAGCCTATGCTGTCGAGTCCCACTTTGAACTCGTTGAATCTTAGGGGTGAGAGTAGGGGGAGTGGTAGGGGAGTCAGTGATCTGCTGGAGACGAATTTTCTGGAGGCTGAGGGGGGCGAGGAGGAGCTGGATCCACTGGAGAATTTCGAGGGGGAGTTCCAGGATGACGAGGTACTGGGACCATTGTTTATTGGGGTGGATGGTAATCGTTGAGGACAGCCAGTGTAATTAGAGTGATAGTAGGGGAAATCTAGGGGGGGGGGAAGGGGATTGAAGGTGATCAGTGTGTTGGGATGATTAAGAAAGCTGGTTATTGCGTGGGGGAAGGGTATTTTCGGGGCTGGAGACAACTTCTCTAACTATTGGATAGGAGGGGAAATTTTGATTTTTGAGGATATAGGGGAGTTTTATAGGGGTGGGCGTAGAAGGGTCGTCAGCCTCTTTTTAGATCGGTAATTTCCCTGGCTAACACGACAAGAAAATTTTGGGAAAAGGGAGGTAGGGTTTCCTCTGTTATCACTCTAACTCGAAATTTTCGAAACGGATGATTTAGGAAAGGCAGGCTGTGAAAAAAAGGGTTTCACTACTACAAAAATATGATGAGGAATGTGATAGTTTCTCGTTAAATTGCTGTGCAAAACCACGTCGGGTTTATTTGTATTAAAATGATAAACATGACAACACTGCCAAATTTTGGGGGGAAAAAAATCTACTGGATTTTTGATTGATTTAGGGAGAGGGGGCAGTCCCGACGGATGTGGTGGAATTATTAAACATAATTATGTATTTTCACTTGGGTTTATAAGTGATGAAAAGTATTTTGGTCCCAAATCGATTGAGATGGAGAGAAATCAGAGATTCAGGGGTGAAGGGGTCACAAATAAAATATAATTTTTTTTCTTGTAATTCTACATCTATTTCGGTAATGAGTGCATTTGAAGGAAAATTGCACTCATTAACGAGATAATCAGGTATTTCACAGCATGTGAAAAATTGATCACTTCAGATCTGAATTCTGATTTCGATTTTTTTAACGGATTTTTGTTTTTTCGAAAGATTTAAAATTTGGAAAATAAGCAGAATTGATTTTTGTGATGATGTTAATGGACCAGCTTGGGACCTCGAGATTATTAAGGATTAATTAATATTTTTTTCATGTTTTTTAATGACTGCGCGTGAGACAGGGGCATTTCGTAATTATGATGATCATTAGATTTTCTTTCTTTTGTACAAATTAATTTTATAGAGTCATAAGGTAAGATGTCAGCGGTATTTCGAGTACTTTAGGTTCATTCTGTGCAATTAAATTTTTTTTTACTAAGGCGAAATGAAAATTTATCAAAATTGAGGGGCTTTTTTCGAGTTGACAAAATTCGGGGAGGAGATTAATTGTGGAGTAATTGGTATATTGTTCACAATTGTATTTTTCATGTATTAAAGTTGATTTTAATTATTCAAATCGATGAAAAATGTTTTTAATGAACGTTGTAACGTTAATTGGGCTCAAATGATTGAAGATATTGTAAATGTTGACGTTTGTAAAGTTTTTAAAAATTGTATTATTTTCATTGGCTTTGGTTTTAACGGTGGAATGGGGAGTTGAATTTTTTAATGAAGTATATAAATCAGATATTCACGATGACATATTGTTAATTAACAATTGAAATTAGTGGATAAGGGGCAGAACGTAACAGATCAGGGAAAATGGATTGAAAAATGTCGAGAGATTTTTTTCCTCTGAAAGTAATTCATCTCTTTATTCCACTGGATTCCAGAAATAAAAAATCATCACCATAAGAAAAAACACATGAAAAAATGATTTACCTACAGTTACACGCACAAACGTACTAGCTATATCTAATTGTAATCATATAATCGGGATTCGTCGCGAAAGACATAGTTGAATTTATCATAAACGAGGAAAAAAATAATATTAAAAAAATGTAAACGAAAGTGTGTCCAGTAGGTAGAACTGCATATCCCACAAACCATAGATCGATTTTGACTCAATGAACATCCAGAAATGTTAAACAATGACTACGAATTAATTAATCGAGCTTAAAACAAATTTTAACAAATCTTTTTATACGAATGGAAAAAAACGAAAATGAAATGAGTCTTAGGTAAATGAATTTTTGACAAATTTTTTAAATCTATCAATGAAAATGTTCTGTCGGTGATTTACATAGTGAATATGTAAAATTAATTACTTATTAAGTGAAATCAATAATTAATTAAATTTAACTTCGGAACGAGTATTTGAGGTCAATTCGATCGATGGTGAAAATGAAAAATTGAATAAATTGTGTTGCATGCAATAGAAAAATGATTAATCACAGGTGTAGGACAATTCCATTAATTAATCACAACAGGAAAGAGATGACAATTGTATTTTTTTAGTTTTTAGGTTTTTTGGTTGGCGATTATCTCCACAGGAAGTGGTTCTGGGAAAATAGGTCTCTAGACCTTTTTTGTGGAATATTTAATTCTCGACAAAAAAGTTCTGTAGACATTTGTTGATAGAATCACTCGTTATCGAGATAATTACGACAATTGCGTGACTGTTTCAGGAGACAACTTCAATCACCTTGGGAAACAGTATAACTTATTTCCGATTTATCTCGGTGGGGAGTGGTTTCATCGAAAAATGTATCTGAACCTTTTCTGTAGAGAATTCAATTTGCCACAAAAAAATCTCTTATCACATTTTTCCATAGAACCACTCCCCATCGAGATAGTTGAAGAATTGTCAGGAATAAAAAAAACTTGGGAAGTAATCGTTTGGTTAATTGTCGAATCCCGATGTCTGTATATTTGTAGATTTTTGTTAATTGTATAAATAATTAATTTGTATGCGATATGAGGAGAGACGATGCTTTTTTATGTTTAAACAATACATTTTTCAATATTAAAGAACAATTGAGAATTCAAGTTATTTTCGTATTGTTTTATTATTTATCCTGCTATTATTAATTCGTTAATTAATCGACTTATTTAATTATTCGTTGATCTGTGATATTTTCTCTCTATTTCACAAGTGTTTAGTAACAATCTGATTAAATTAAAATTTCCTCAAAATTGAAAAAATTAATTTCAGTTTTTTCTTGAATGAAATTCGTCGCATAATCATTTAACTATTAATTAACTATTAGTCGTTGATCTTTCAGTATCAAACCGAGTAATTGTTGGAGTGGAAATGCTTTTGGATGTTATTAATAATATATTAATTGTTCTAGTGAAAGAAGGATTTGAAAGACAAATTTTTGTCCTCTGAACGTCTTTAATTAAAAATCTATTCAAACAAATGATTAAATTCTTTAAATTGATATTAAAACATCTTCTAATGATTGTTTATTGAGTCAATTAATACTTTGGAAATTTTTTTAATGAACAAATTTGTTGATTTTTTTCTAATTGAAGATGGGATTTTTGGAGGTTTCCTCGTTTTTCTCTTTTTTCACTCGAATAAATTAACAAAAATCAATGAATTCATTAGTACGTGCACCAAGTGTTACCAAATTTGTACCACACTTAGTTAATTAATGATTGAAAAATCCAACAAGACCGAGTAAATGAGAGGAAACTCATGAAAATGGAAGATACGAGAATAGGTAGGGGAAACTAATGGATAAAATATAAATAAATATATATAATTTTGTATAATTTATAATTATCAATATTGAATGAAATAAACAGTTAACAATGGTATGGCCTAATGATTATCCAGTCACAGCGATTTATTTTCCCAGAACTAATTTTTCAATCGCATTTCCTATCACCATTCATTAATTGTTAATACAATTTATTTTTTATTAAAAAAAAAAGTAAAGAGACCGATGGGAAGACTTAAATCCTTTATTTCACAACAAAAGAAGCTGAAAACATAAATATTCTCATCTAAAATTAACATCAATATTCAATGTAAATATCCATAATTATTGTTTAATATTTATTTATTATTTACTGTACAAAATTTTCATTACTCTCATCACACAGAAAATGTCCCGCAAATTTTACAATTTTTTTCCAATTTTTCCCCTATCAAATCTCATATTAGATTGGATATAAGTCGAAAAAACTGCGAAAATCTCAAGAACTATTGATCCTATCGAAAAACATGTCAAGATCATTTTTGTCGGAAATTAAATTTCCAGCAAAAAGTATTCGAGAAATATTTCTCTAAAACTTTTTCGTTTCGAGATATTCTCGAAACAATGAAACTTAATTTTTCAACTCGTCCCCTTTAACGAATTTCCTCAGCTTTTTTGTCAACCAATCATGTCATAGCTTTGCAAAATTCACCTCAGGGCCTCCCCCACGTACTCTCGACGACAATAAACCGTCCTGATATTTTTATTCATTAATTTCTTCAGGAGATGTAATTTTCTATTTTTTTATCAATTCGATTTTTATCTATTCCCAGGAGTAAATCTTCAGTCTTAGGATTACATGACGTTACCTGAGACATCGATTATCGATGATGGTCTTTTTTCGGGATTAGCTGGCTCTGCTTTCGGTTTTTTACCATTTATAACGGCTTTTATATCTTCAACGTCTAGTGTTTCGTATTTCAAAAGGGCTTCAGCCAGTAATTTATGCTCTTTAGCGTGAGTTTTGAGAATATTTTTAGCTCTGTCATACGATTCCTGTAAAGGAAAGATTAAAATAAATTTTTTCAATCATGAAAATATTTTTTTCCACCAATCAAAAGGATTTCCTCATATGTTAACAACCGAAAAATGGAATTTTCAAGCGAATTCAATCGGAATTCAACTAAATGCATCTTCTTAAGCATCAAAATTACTTTTGGTTGATTAAAATTATTTTTAATCTCAAGAAAATGACTTTTCAATTAATAAAAACCGAATGTTTAATAATTAAATGTCGATTTTTCATTTTTTATACTATTTAAAATTTTAGAAAATCATTCTGGCCTTCGAAATAATATTAATAGCACATTACATGCCCGAGTCTTGGAAAACAGATCACCGTCCCCCACGTGCAAGGCAAACACGTGGGTGATGTGTTTTCCATGGCGAGGTGTGTATATTAATTTTCAAGTCCCGTGACACGAAAAAATAGTTTCTGAAGGTTTGAAAGACGTTTGCCTTTACGAGAAAATTTTTTTCACTCCCTATAAAATTCAAAATCAACGAAAATGTACCTGTAGCAGTCGTTTCACCTCTCCATCAATGACTTCATTCGTGTTGGGGCTATACTCAGGTTTCTCCTCATACTGAGATCTAAATCCAGCCTTTTCACTCATCCCATAATGCTTGACCATGCTGGCAGCGATTTCACTGGCTCTCTGGAGATCAGAAGCAGATCCAGTTGTGATTTTTTCCGGTCCAAAAATCAACTCCTCAGCAACTCGTCCACCAAACGAGGAGTCCATTGAGGCTAGTAACTGGCTCTTGGTGTTGTGGAACACATCCTTGGCGGGAACGTAACTCGTGTGTCCTAGTGATCCCGCTCTGGGAATTATGGTGACCTTGAACAGGACAATAGAATTACGAAATATTGACAAAAATCATTGATCATAGCCAATTCCGAGATTTTTTAAAAATAAAATCTCCAGGTGAGTTTATGAGGGTTTGACAATTTATTTAAGGCCCGGATGTACTATCTTTCGAATGTTATCTCGATGTTTTTTTTTATCTTTCGTCATCTGAAACTGTCAATTAAGTCCTGCATCATGCAGAAGTTTTGAAAAATTATGAATGAATAAGCAAAAAAAAGTAGAAAAAATTCTTAATTTTTTCAAAGAGCTTTTTTAATTTATATTCAGAATAAGTTGAATACCAAGAAATTGAAGAATGTATTTGATTTACGGTGACAAATGGCGGCCTGTCACGCAATATCATGCAGGGGAAGACTAATTTCATAAATCTTTTCCCACACTGTACAGAGACATTTATTACGGAAAAGGCTCTTTGAAAAAAGTTGTAATATTTTGGAGAATTTTTTAATCACACTTTTATCACATAAAAATGGCGGATGTCTACATACCACTGTTTAGAAAATTGAGATACCTAGCTGTCACTTCCCATGAGGAGTTAGTGTTTTGTTATTCACCATGGCAAAATGACAGCTAATAGATAATTTGCCACAGCGAATCAGATATTTGTAATTTCCCCTTTTTTTCAACTCATTCTGGATCTCAATTAAAAACGCTCTTTGAAAAAGTTCAGAATGTTTTCAATTTTTTTTTTTCATTCTCTCGTAATTTTTAGGAATTTCTACATGATGTACCACTCAATTGACAATTTTGGATTACGAAAGATAGAAAAAATCCAGATAACATTCGAAAGATAGTACACCCGGGCCTTAACTAAATGAATAAATGAATAAATGAATGAATCAATGAATAAATTAATTTTCCTCACTTTAGAAAGTGGCATAGAGTCCTTCGTATAATATGAAACAATAGCATGTCCAGCTTCATGATAAGCAGTGATGGCATTCTCCTCGCTATCCGGCATCATTCCCTTGAGCTCCGGCCCCAAGATTACCTTCTCCATGGCCTTATGCAGGTGATCCATGGTGACGAATTCCGCCCCCTCCACTGCAGCCCTCAGAGCTGCCTGATTGACCATAGTCTCGATGTCAGCCCCAGTCAACCCAGTGGTTGCTCTCGCCAGGATCTCAATGTCAATCGACTTCGCCAATATCTGTGAGAATTAAAAATTGAAAAAACCCTGGGATTTTCAGAATTAAAAAAATTGATTTCAGTTTTTTCTTCAATGAATTTCATCGCCTAATTATTTAAAAATTAATTGATGGTCGTTGATCTTTCAGTTTCAAACCGAGCAATTGTTGGAGTCAAAATGCTTTCGAATGTTATTAATAATATATTAATTGTTCGGGAGAATGAAGGACTTGAAAGAGATATTTTTGTTCTCGGCGTCTTTTTAGCTAAAAATTTTTTAATCATTTTTTTGGATAACTTTTAAATTTAAAAATAAAATTCAATTGAAAGATTTAAAAAATATATTTTAATTTTTAAAAATTTATGTAAAAAAATGATTAACATTTTACTTGATATTGATACATAATTAAAAAGAATTTTAGACTTTTGCAGTTTCGTTGAATTATTCTAGAAAAATAACCAAAAATAAATGAATTATTTTGAACCCACCTTGGACAGGTACAGCTCCAGGATCTCTCGCCTCCCCTTGATGTCAGGTTTGTGGACATAAACCTCGACGTCGAACCTCCCAGGTCGCAGAAGCGCCTTATCCAGGTCGTTTTTACGATTGGTCGCCCCCAGGACGATGACCCCCTCATTCGGGTGAAAGCCATCCATCTCCGAGAGCAGCTGATTGATCGTCTGATTAGCGTAGGGATGGATCACCGAGGATGTCCTCTTGCCCCCGACGGCGTCGATCTCATCAATGAAAACGACGCAGGGCGCGCGGTCCTTGGCCGCTTTGAAGAGATCCCTGACCCTTCGTGCTCCCTGTCCCACAAGGATTTCATCGAACTCGGAGCCTGCTGCGTGGAAAAAGGGGACTTTGGCCTCACCTGCAACAGCCCGGGCCAGCAGGGTCTTCCCCGTGCCTGGGGGACCCACCAGGAGCACCCCCTTGGGGAGACGACCCCCCAGTGTCGAGAATTTCTCTGGATTCTTCAGGAATTCCACTATGTCTTCGAGCTCCTGCTTCGCCTCGGCGACACCTTTCACGTCGGCGAAGGTCACGGAGATCTCCTCGGGGTTCACTGCTGAGTGAGAGCCCAGCTGGATGCGGAAGACACTGCCGTTGGTGCTCGCTGCAGGGGGAATTCGAGATTTTAATGCGCGTGGAGGTGGGACGACGTGGAATTGGACTTGTTTTTTGTCTCGGGGTTTTTGGAAATTATCTCGGGATCGGGGGGAGGTAGGGGGATTTTTGAAAAGAGATTTTTTGTGGGGAATTTCAAGAGCTACAAAAATAGTTCTGAGAAGAATTCACGTATCTCTTTCAAATTACGAGATATTTTAAAAAAACTTATGAGGGGAATTGAGTTGCATTTAGGCTCGACATTTAAAATGTTTTCTAGGGGATGTTTTCTAGGGGATATTTCCGAATCTAGAGGGAGAAGAAAATTTTTTGAAAAAAACCTTTTTGTAGAGAATTTCAAGTACTACAAAAAATTTTATGAGAAGAATGTATGGATTCGTCTTCAATTACGAGATATTTGAAAAAAAAAACTGATTACTATTTTTTTTTTTTTCATTTTGTTTCTGTATAAACTTATTGGTTGAGTTGAATTGAGGTTCAAAATGAGTTTAAAATATTCTAGGGGGACAATGATGAATAATTGTGATAGGGCAGACGGATATGTTAGCCTGGCTCATACTTTTCGAGGGAGAGAAAATAAAGCTGAGATCACTCATCAGAAAATGATTGACCTAAACTAGCTCTTGACTTCAGGAGAAAATCTTCTCACATCCACAAAAAATGTAGAATAATAAAATAATAAAAATAATGCAAATAACAAAATGGTGAAGAATCTACGGATGATTAACAAATCATAAAATTAACTGAAAGCTTCAAATCCCTTCTCCTCAATTTTTTTTATTGCGTAAAAAAATCTCGTCATCTTTTCGATGAAAATCACGTGAATAAAATTGACGAATGGATTTGAAGACTGTATGAACCAGTAGGAATACAAAACAATAGTTAATGCGTGTGATACTAACATTTGTACGTACCCATGATCGAGCCGAGGATGAGGAGACCCACGGCTGTCATTACCACCTGCTGAATCGTCTTCAACCACTTGAATTTACGATCCGGTGATTTCCTCTCGTTTCCAGCGACGTAGCCCTCAGCAAATGCAATCTTCACGCGTTGTTTGTCGTCCAGAGGTAGATCCGTGTCATTCAGAATGTTCTTGAGGTTCTCCAGGTCTGTACCGTCTATCGCACCCTTTGCCTTTCCCTCCTGCTGACGAAAAACGAAAAACTGAAGAATTATGAATTTTCGCTTTTTTGCTCGCGTTGTAAAATTTTCGATATGTCGATGAATAATTCAGTAGCAAAGCGGCAAACCGGGTTAAGTCGATTTCCACTATTGACCAGTTTTTGACGAATACCTCAGAATCTAAAAGAGATAGAAAATTTTTTGTCATCACCTTTTTTGTAGAGCCAATTGAGAGTTATAAAAAAGGTCATGAGAACAATTTTGCTGTCTCTCTTAGATTCCGAGATATTCATCAAAAATTGGCCAAACATAAAAATCGACTTAACCCGGTTCACCGCTTCGCTACTGAATTGAGATGAATATATTTATAACCAGGGATTAAGATCGGAAATTTTATTAGCTTTCTAACGTGTTTTAATTTGTTAAAAAATTAGGTATAGGGGGGGGGGGGAAACGGAAACTTTTGACTTTTTTAAAAATGTTAATGAGGTGTTGAAATGTTGATGGAATTCAATAATTTTTTTTTCAATGCAAAGACCAGTTTTTTCCCTTGTGACGAGCCTAAACTGAGCTCAATTAATAAATTTGTTTCTGAGTTATGAATAATTTTTAAAAAGTCTAAAGTGTCCATTTTACCCCACCCTCCCCTAGATCACAAAAAATTTAGGTTTTTGTTAAAAGGTAACAGAATGACGCGAATTTTCAACATTTTTTAACAAATTTCCTGCCGAAAATTATCGATATTTTTATAAAGCAAAGCACATTAATCTCCAGGAGGTGATGATGAAGATCAATGTGTTTTGGGTTTAGATAATATTAATAACTTTGAGCAGGAAATTTGTTTGAAAATCTCGAGGAAACGTGGCCTTCTGTTACCCCTTAAGATGATTTTTTTATTCCAGTGATTTTCTTCCATTCAAGAAAAATTTTTGTCTTCTTAAAGTCATTGATATCGGGATCAATAATCAATAAAAAATATTCATAACCAGAGGTTGAGATCGGAAATTTTCCCAGCTTTCTATCAAATTTTGATTTGCTGAAAAATAGGTTATAGATTCCGAGATATTGAGCATTGTCTTACGCTAGTTTTGGAAAGTCCAATCCAAGTCCTGAGTCTTCGAAAAAGTGAGGGATTCCTCTCGATTTCCGTTTTGACATTTCGATCAGTCTTGAAGCCACGCACTAGGATGTCCCTGGATGTGGGTATAGCCAGCAGGAGAACATTTCTATGCAGCTGATCGTAAGTGCAGGATAAGCCTCGTTTGTTGTCTGAAAATGACGAGCCCGAGACGTAGGAGATCCTCCAGCCATCGTGGGGGTCCTCCAGAGCCCTGGAGACCCTGTTGACCCTTTTGAGAACCCTCTGGGCGTCTGTTTTCAGGAGTCTCGAGGCCTCGGAGATGGCTCGGATGTTCAGATTCTCCAGGGGAAGCTCTGTGCAGTTCTTAACAGCCTCCAGGAGACTCTCTTCACAGATTATCTCTGGGGGAGACGGGGTCGATGATTTTGGCTGGGCCTTCAGACGTGTGGAGTAGGAGGTTCTGGGGGTGACGGCTGAAGTCAACTGGGTCAGGTGGTACAACACCTAAAATGTGAAGGAGTTGAAGTAAAAAATGTAAATTACAAAGAGAGCTTCAGAAATGGCGAGTTTCGTATGGGATTTTTCTCGGGAGTGAGTGGGTTTACGAGGAAATGTCATAAAACATTTTTTGTAGGAAATTTAATTTTGTAGAGAAAAGGTCTAGAGACATTTCCTGCTAAACCCACTCATTAACGAGATTATTCAACATTTATAACTCTTTGTCCATAAAAAAAATGAAAAATGCGTCCGACAACTGCGCAATTATTGCAGAAACTGCAGAGCTCATCAAATATTCCTTCAAAACTTTTTTGTTGGGAATGAAATTGAAAAAAAATGCCAGGAGAAACTCCTCGATGATCTCCCACTCATTTGCATAGTTAGGTCTTAATTAAATGAGAAATAATCAACAATTCCTCTGTCTGTCATTGATTCTATCCTTCACTGGTGAAGACAGGAGATTTTTTGGTTATGTCAGGCAACCCCCAACGATTTTCCATGAATAAGTAGCCGAATCAATAATCAAAATCCCAAGACAAATGAAAAAAGCCCCAATTTCTTATCTACTCACAACGAAAACAATAAATATGTGAACAATAGACCTTCAATGACGAAATAAAGCCCAAAAAATTATGGCACACGTCTCTTGCATCACTCACCTGATTATGCGACTGCAACGAAATCATTGGTAACGTCGATAATGCACGGATAAAATCCAACAATCACTCGGGGTAATTTGATAAACCGAAAAAACTAAACAAGAGACCTCGGACTTGTATTTTTCAGACGATTCTGATGGACAAGAAGGACGATTTCAGTGGATTTCAGGGTGTCAGCTGGTCCACGCTAAGTATATATATATATATATGTACTAGTAAGTATATATGTAGTAACTCATCTAAAAAAGCTTTAGTCACCGCACCGGCCGCTAGTTTCGCCACTCTCCTCATCCCCCCGCCCCTGAGGACCGGCGTACAGTCGTCAAAAAAGTTCGTGAACGGTGTGAATTGCATCCTGTGTAATTCTAGGTTAGGTGGTATGTAATTTCACGTTTTTTACGAACTTCTTTTGATGATTGTACATGTCTGATAATCGAGGGTTGAGTTCGATTTAGGGATGGGCGATATTGTAAAAAACATCGATTATCGAATAATTGATGTTTTTCAAAAACATCGATGTTGTGAATCGATTTTTCAGGAAAACCATCGATTATTTAAAAAATTGATTTTTTTCCATTACACAGGAGCAAAAACAAATTGTTAAAAACAATTTTTTTCTTGTCGTTTTTGTTGAAAAATATATATTTAAAAAATATAACCCGAGGAATTTAAGTTTTAATGATAAGTACTGCTGGAGAGTTAAATTTTGAATCTCGAAACAGGGTTTTTGATTAATTTTAAAAAATATATTGAACATTTTCCGTTAGCTGCAATCATTGTTAGAAATTTAAATTGAAAAAAAATTGAAAAATTTAAATTTAAAAGAGATAACAGATGACTGGAGTTGTTCACTTATTATTTATAACATACATACCGTAGAAAATAATTACTTCTGATTGCGGATTAATTATTATTCTGTTCATTTTCAATCAATCAACATTATTCTTCGACAAAAAAAAATGAAAAATTTTGGTAGTCCGGTCAGAAACATCGATGTTTGGAAAACAAATCGAAAATCGATTAATCGGCCGTTGAAGACATCGAATGAAAAATATCGCTGTGTGGGAATGAAAAATCGATATTTTCGATTAATCGACAAACATCGCCCATCCCTAGTTCGATGTGGAATCCTCCATCGATCTCCGAAACTTCGACTCTGAGCCAACTTCACGCTCGTCGTCGATTGGGAGCAACGTGCGCGCCGGTTTCACGTAATTTTCCACCGGGATTTCATAATTATTGTTAATAACCGAAGAAATAGTGGTTTTTTACGATTTCTTCGGATCGTTAATTCATCGATTAACCGGGAATAATGGCGCAGAGTAAGTTGAATGACTTGGCTGGACGATTCAGCAAGACTCCCGGGGGCATGAACATGGGGTTCAAGTTCCTGGCGGCCGCTGGAGCTGCTGTCTATGGGGTTTCTCAGTCCATGTACACAGGTCTGCATTTATCGTTAATTTTTCCTATTACTCATCAATTCAATGTTGCACTTTGAATTATTGTCGAGGATAATTATTCGGTTTTTGAACCTCGACGACACCCATAACCCCCAAAATCATGGAGAAATCATTTTTTCCGGTAATTAACAAGAAATTTATGGAGATGATTACGTAATTTCGTTTTCAGTTGAAAAATCAGGTATTGTACTCGGTTTTTCATGAATATCTCGAAAACTAAGGGATTTGACGAAAAATATCACAAGAGCTTTTCTGTAGCCCGTGAAATTCCCCCCAAAAAATTTCGTCTCATAATTTCTCCTCAACTCAGTAGTTTCCGAGATATTCACGAATTACTAACGCCAAAATGTTTCCACTTTCAATATTTTTCGTCGTAATTCGGGATCTTTTGGGGTAACATAGTTTTTTAAATCTCAGGAATATTCTGATATTCTGATCTATTGGGGCCATTATCCACCCCAGCTAATCAGCATATTCTGTAAAGGGAAAAAATGAACAAAAGAATTCTTTGATTCTAAGAAAAAGGGGAAATTATGTTTTGAGAGTCGGAGAATTGCTGCAGAATTTGTATTTTCAAATGAATTTTTGGGTTTTCAGTTGATGGTGGTCATCGTGCCATAATCTTTTCCCGCTTGGGAGGAATCCAGAAGGACATATTCACAGAGGGACTGCACTTCCGAATCCCCTGGTTCCAGTATCCAATTATCTATGACATCAGAAGCAGACCGAGAAAAATCTCATCACCAACAGGTTCCAAGGATCTGCAGATGGTTAACATCTCACTGAGGGTTCTCTCACGTCCGGACGCCAGCATGTTGCCGACTATGTACCGACAGTTGGGTCAGGATTACGACGAAAAGGTTAAAATTATGACGAATTCTTCATTTTTTTCCCTTTCTCTTCACAGGTCACGAGATTACTTCAGGAATATCTTGGAGAAGATGACGTTTAGGGGAAAATTCCTTCAGACATTTTTTGTGGAGAATTTAATTCTCTACAAAAAATGTCTAGTCATATTTTTCGCTGAAGTGAATACTTTTCGAGATATTCCCAAGATCGTAAATACTGAAATTTCATAATTTTCATTAAGTCATGTTATTGGCTTTTATTTACAGTTTTTCGTTTGCATTTATTGAATTTTTGGGCAAAATTTTCTTCCAGGTCTTGCCCAGCATCTGCAATGAAGTCCTGAAGTCAGTTGTCGCCAAGTTCAATGCATCCCAGCTGATCACAATGCGTCAGCAAGTGTCAACACTTGTGAGGAAAGAATTGACGGAGAGAGCTAAAGATTGGAATATTGTGCTGGATGATGTGTCAATTACTGAGTTGAGTTTTGGAAAGGAGTACACAGCTGCTGTGGAGGCTAAACAGGTGGCCCAGCAGGAGGCCCAACGTGCTGCATTTGTCGTTGAACGTGCCAAACAGGAGAAACAGCAGAAGATTGTGCAGGCAGAGGGAGAGGCTGAAGCTGCCAAGATGATATCCTTTTTAGATGAATTTCGAGGGGAAAAATTTGTTTTTTTTTTCATAATGAAATTGCTCCCTATTCCCTAAACATGAAAGGGAAAGAAAATTTTTAAATGCTCATCATGATGAAATGCCATTAAAAATAGTGAAATAATCACCTTCAAATAGTAATTTCAAGGTGATTATGTTGGCTCAGTGAATAGTGCTCATTCATTTGTATTTATGAAACTAAAATTGAATAGATATTTGAAGCTATTCACACCCAAAATACATCAACAATTGAAAAATGATAAAATGTCAATTCAATATCAATGTTTCTGCTTCGAAAAATCATTTTATTTGATCATAATGTCCTTAACTCCTTTGCACTTGGGTCTAGCAGTCTCCCAGAATCCAGGATACCTGAAACTTCGAAAATTACGTGCTGCACAAAGTATTTCTCGCACGGTAATTAAAAAAAACTTCATTCAGCTGCATTTTTTTAAATTAAAAAATTGTTCATCTTCTCCTTTTGTCAATCTACGAATTTAATCCCCATGATTTTGACATTTGCAGATTGCTACTTCCCAAAACCGAGTATACCTCAATGGAAATAATCTCATGCTGAACATCCAGGATCCATCGTTCGACGTTGCATCAGAAAAATTGAAAAGTAAGGTTAAGAACTAAATAAAAAACAGTCACAGAAGTTCAAGATGAAACGAATTTACCTTAAGAATCAGTTGCATTTTAATTGTTACATCAATGTAGAGGTGGAGAGTCGAAGAACATTATTAAAAAACTGAAAAACTATTTTAAGTTTATTTCATCATCTCTTTTCTCCGTCATTTTCATTTTTTCTCCAATTGACGATATTCCCTCTGCGTTATTTCGTGAATGTCTCTGCACGGAAGGAGTCTAGGAAAAAATCTCATAAAACATTTTTTTAAGAGGATTGAATTTCTTACAAAAAATGTTTTATGATAGTTTTCAATCGAACCAACGGTTTCTGAGATATTCGCAAAATGATACAAAAATAATTTCCTCGCAAAATGCCATTTCAATCTGTTTTACATGTGAAAAATGATTGAAAAGTTTCTCTTTTATTTCACGATCATTTTTAAGCTGACAAGGTACGCTCGCAAATTTTCGAGTCATTTTACTTTCAGGTAACGAAGAAAAGCGCCCAAATTTATTGGAAAATGCCGTCACGAGCAGTTTTAAATTGACCGAAAAATCCAGGGATCAATCGATAAAATTTGATAGTTCAACTGATACGAATGAAGAGAATCCCCTGCAATCCCCGGATGTCCTGGGATTGGCATCTCACAGTGCCAAGCGGATCCTTTCGTGAATAAATAATCGTAAACAATTATTTTTGTAATGAAATGTGCGAGCCTGCCTTGTCTCATTTTTTATTTTCCGTTTCTTCCAACTGAATAGATGATTCCACAGTTGTAAATTAATCGTCCAGTGTCGAGAATACCCAATTATAAACCATGAAAAAAATGAAAAACGAAATGTAGACGTAGAAATCAGCTTTTAAATCGAGAAAAAATACTCCACATTTTATTTTTCAGATGACTGAATCGTTTCAACTTCTCAATTGATGAATACATCACTATGTAATGAAATGTATTAGACGATTGTTTAGTCCTTGAGAATGTTGATGGAACAGTTGAATTTTTTTTCACAACTTTTTTTCTGAAGTGAAAAAATTGATTTTTCAAATAAAAATTAGGAACACAATGTTTTTCTGTTGTTCTGGTTGAATAAATCATTTTTATTCCTTAATTAATAAATAAATGATTGATGAAATGGATTGAAAAATTAATTAATCCTTGAGAATGTTAGAAATGTGTTGAGAATTTTTTTTTGTTGATATTTTGTCACTATTTTTTTGAAACGAAAAAAATTATTTTTCCAATAAAAAAAAAGGAATGCACCATTTTCCCCTTGTTCTGGATGAATAAATCATTTAAATTACTCAAGTAATCAATAAATGGATTGAAAAATTGATTAATCCTTGAGAACGTTAAAAATGTGTTGAGAAGTTTTTTAGAAGATTGTGTAGTCCCTGAAAATGTTTATAAACAGTTGAATTTTTTTTTCACAATTTTTTTGAAGCGAAAAAATCATTTTCGAAAATAAAAAAAATAAAACGCAATATTTTCCTCTTGATCTGGATGAATAAATTATTCAAATTACTCAATTAATCAATAAGTGATCGATAAAATGAGGTGAAAAATTGTTTAATCCTTGGGAGTGTTAATAAAGCGTTGAGAATTTTTTTTAGTAAAAAAAAATGCACTGGTGGATTTTTAAAAATTTATTGGGAACACAGGCGTGATCTACTGCGCCATCCAGCAGTTACAGCTGGATTCCCACCTCCGGCTCCTTCCTGAGAGTGCATAAGTCAGGAATATCAATCGTCAAGGCATCAGAATTATCAAAAACTCAGTGACGAAATAGTAATCGTCAGATTTGAATCGTAAGTAGATCGAATCCTTTTAATTTCACTAGTTTATTTGTCTTTTTCGGTGCCACGTGGGGGTCGTCAAAACTATTTTTAACCTCAAAAAATTGTCTCGAGTTTCTTATCACGAAGGGATGGATCGCCATGAATTCTTGGGGGAAAATAACAAATAATTCTCTGAATTTTTTAGGGGAAAAGTGTTTTTTTGGGATTTTGGGGATTTTTTTGAGGAATTTCCGGACCATATTTTTGAGCAATTTTGGAGAATTTCATGATGAAATTGTTGATGGTGATTACAGATGAGTGCGACAGAGGCTGTTATCAATGGGGAGGGGTATGTACTCCATTGTTATCAATTTATTTTTCATTTTCATCTTTTTCAATGACTATTTGAAGTTTTTGTGATGAATTGGATTTTTGGAGTAATCAAACATTACGAATGAAACGGTATTTGGTCATTTAATATTTTTCAGTGAGATAGTTGCTGGAAGATGATTGAAATGACTGAATTTCCTTATTGGAAAAACATTGAAAAATTTCGTCACCAGGGAATTTCAATTTTTTCAATATTCACAAGTGAAAAACATTTTTTCTCCGGCTTAATCTTCAAAATAATCGAGTTCTGAAATGAGTTTCATAAATACAAATGAATGAACTAGTGTTCAGTCAGCAGGAATAATCAACTTGACATAACTATTTCAAATAATATTTCATCATGATGAGCTATTTAAAATATGAAGCTGAAACTAGCGAAAGATTCGACAGCAGAAGATTTGTCTTAGGCGAATCTAGGGGTGTACAAATGTTTTTAAGTAATGCACAAACTCTTTTGCACTTAAAAAACATTTGTACATATGATTATTTGACTCTCCTACACTTAAATATCTCCGCAATTGAATTTTCAGCTGACGAATATTCTGTTCGTTTCAGCCGCATATTTAAAATCGTATTTCCATTTGATTTTTACGAAATAGTGAATTACTATTACGATTTGAAATATTTATAACTACTTGGTATTTGAGAGTCATAAAACATGACAAATAAAACAGTAGGGGAGGTTGGGTTAAAACGGCCGATTTTTACATTTTAAAAATGTTAATGAGGGGTTGAAATGTGATGAAATTCAATCTTTTTTTTTTCAATGCAAAGAACAATTCTTTCCCTTTGAGACGAGCCTAAACTGAGTTCAATTGATAAATTTGTTTCTGAGTTATGAATAATTTTAAGAAAGTCTAGTGTCCATTTTACCCCATCCTCTCCTATTTGAAAATTTTGAATCAGAGAGATACTATTTGAAATAATTGATAAAAGTTTCCGGTAATAATTGTATTTCATGATTTGAAATAGATAACGAAATTCGATTAAACTCTTATGCAAGTTCACTAGAGACGAGTAAATTTTCATTTTTTAATAATCACACTAACAATAAATAAATATCGCAAATATCGTTAAATATCGCGAGCTATTGGAATGAGACTTCTCATACATTGAAGATCGATTATACATGTCTAAAAACGAATAATTAGTGCGAAAAAACTAATTGTTTATTGTTCGTTTACCCCGCAAACGCCTAAAATGTTAAAAACAGTCCAGGGCCTCCAATTTTTGAGCTACAGAGATTTTTTTTTGCAAATTTTTTTGAAAAATATATGCAATAACAATTACGAATTAGTTTTTTGAAATTCAACTCCTACACAGCTAATTTCGCTATTATTTTAATAAAAAATTGCACCATCCATTAAAATGGTCCGAAAAATATTTCTGAAAGAATCGAGAATATATTTTTAATATTTTAACGATAATTTTTCTACCTATTTTACATGAATGACGCAATTTTTTATAATAAACAAAACGAAATTATCTGTGTACATAGGAGGCGAATCTCAAAAAGCTAATTCGTAATTGTTATTGTACACATTTTGTCAGAAATTTTGAAAAAAAAACACCTCTGTAGCTCAAAAATTGGAAGCCCTGGACAATTTTAAACATTTTAAGCGTCTGCGGAGCAAACGAACAATAAACAATTAATTTTTTTGTACTAATTATTCGTTTTCAGACACATATAATCGATTTTCAATGCATGAGAAATTTCACTCCAACATCCCACGAATTTAAAATTCATAGTAGTCTCCCTTAAGGTTTTTGTTGTGAATAACAAATTATTCCATTTCGTATTCACCCGCAAAAGCCATTTAATTTTCATGGATTAGCTGCATAATTCCGCATTTTCCCAACGCATTGAATCCACTTTCAATCCTCCCACCAATCACAATGCGTTCACAACATTTTTTCCTCCAGTATGACCTCCACAATTAGCAGAGGCCACAGCATCGTCAACGCAATAAATTCTCTCATTTCCCTCTGAACGTTCATCCACCCGCGAGACCGGGAGATAAATTCCGATAGAGAAAACTGAAATAAAATGAATGAGAAACTGCGCAGAAAATCCCCTAATCGATTAATTAATTTTCCCCATCAATTTTCATCGATAAAAGTACAATAATTCAGGACAAATCAGGGGTCGGGGGTCAGTTTAGTCGAGATTGGAGTGCATGGCATTCGAGTTCTGCTCCATTTTTATCTATTGAAGACGGTATCGCGGGGGTGAATGGTGTCCACAGACGATTAGTTTATTTAACAGCGCAGAAGTGATCGGTTCGAGTGCCTCCACACTCTCTTGACATGGATACCGTGAGATTTGACGTTTATGATGATTTCATGACTCATTTCGTTAAGAAATACAATTATTATCGGTGAGACAAAGCAGTTATACACAAATATTTGAAGATTTTTTTTTGCTCTTGGAAATGTGGAATTATCTCAGTAAATTATAGAGTTTAGAAAAAAAAGTCAAAAATTCATTTTGTGGGGAATAAAAATTGAGAGGCCTTAAGAGTCAAAAATAACTGGTGAATTGCAGGGAACACTTTTGGGAATTCTCAGGCAAAAGGGAATAACAAAATCTGAGGGATAGCTTGAAAAATTTTATTTCAATACCGAAAGAGAATAAATCAATAGCGAAGTGGTAAAACGGTTTAAGTCGACTCATCTCCCAGTTGAATTTGAGAGGAATATTTCGGAATCTAAGGGATATAGCGAAATTTACGTAATTACATTTGTTGTAGCTCTCAATCGGCTCTTCAAACGAGGAAATAACAAAAATTTTGCTATTTCCCTTAGATTCCGAGATATTCATTGAAAACTGGTCAATAGTCAAAATTGACTTGTACCGCTTTACCACTTCGCTATTGATTTATTCTCTTCAGATCATTCTCATCTCGTTTGACAAGTTTTCTACAGAATGAACAAATTTTTTGAGTCATCTTTCGGATTTTTCTGGCCCCTTTTGGCTGAGAATTCATAATCCAAATTTCTCTCTGTATTTTAGTGGCTTTTTGCCTCCGAATGGAAGTATTGTAATCGTTCAAATTAAAATTTTGGATTTTTTGTGTTATGTCGATCCATTGTGATCCGAAAAGTCCGAAAATGCATTTTTTAGACCGTATCAGTATGTGTGTATGTGACAAAGTTTTTCGTCAATTTCTCGCTAATGAATCGATGGAATTGAATCATTTTTTTTCTTAAATGAAGGTATTGCTAAGCTTTATCCATCGTCATTACTTAAAATTTAATTCATTGATTCATTTTTTTAATTTTCGAATTTGTTCAAAATTCAGTTGTAACACGATAACTAGAAAAATGTTCTAAATTCATTGAATGACGGCTTAAAAAAATCGTTGGGATGTCTTTTTGACCGAATTTCATTAAGTGGGAGATCTAAAACAATTAGTTGGAAAGAAATGAATTCAATTCAAGAAAATAAAATAGGCTATGAATAATAGACAATGGAAAAACATAAGCAAAATGACCATTCGCAAGCATATTCCTAACTTATTAGGAAAAATAACTATACTATACGCAATACAGGAGCAATTTCCCACTTGTTTTTACTCCCGAGGCATCTTAATTCTCTACAACAAAAGAGTAAAAATATTGTTCTATAAAACCTGTCACTTTCACTTATCCATCTTCCACGTATTTTCGAATACTCAGGATGATAATTTGATTGATTTATCGAACATTAGGCCTGAACCCTCGAAGAAGGCGCTGAAGAAGCAGCAAAAGGAGGCGGAAAAAGCAGCCAAAAAAGCGGCTCACAAATCACAAACCGTAAATAATTATCAAATTTAAATAATTAATTTAACTAAATAATTAAATAAATTTTTCAAATTTAAATAACGAAAAAAACAAACGGAAAATAACCTTTCTCATCAATTTTCGTCGTTTTCGAAGGCACAAGAACCTGTAGAGGATGCTGAAGACATTTCCCTGGGTCGTTATGGACAACTGGGTCTCATTCGGAGTTCTGAGATCCACGAGGACCGAAAGTTCGTCGATGTCAAGGACTTGGAGCCCAGAATTAAGGAACAAACTGTGTGGTTGAGGGGTAGATTGCATACAAGCAGAGCAAAAGGTGAAAATCATCATTCCATAATTAACAAAAATCAAACGAATGAGTCAAACATTTTTTTTTAATAGGAAAGCAGTGTTTCATCGTCATCAGACAACAGTCCTCCACTGTCCAGGGTCTAGCAGCTGTCAACGAGAGGATCAGTAAGCAGATGATAAAGTTCATCTCGAAGTGAGTGAATAATCCAAAAAAAGGAGGAGTAAAAACTTAATTCACACTACTTTGCGAATATTTTCTAAAAGAAGAAGTTTATCGAAAAATGTCGGATGAACTTTTTTGCAGGAAATTGAATTCCCTACAAAAAAGGTCTGATGTAATTTCCGTCTGAATCCAGTAGTTTTCGAGATATTTACGGAATTTATCTACTGAAACTGATGGATGACTGATTTTTCAGCATTTCGAAGGAGTCTATTATCGACGTGAAAGCAATTGTCAAGACAGTTCCATCGAAAATAGAGTCTTGCACTCAGAAAGATGTGGAGGTTCATATTGATGAACTCTATGTGGTCAGTGCATCGAAACCTCAACTCCCTCTGCAGATCGAGGACGCAGCTCGGCCAGAGAATGACGAAACTGGGATTAATATCAAAGTTAATCAGGACACGAGGCTTGACAACCGGATTCTGGACCTTCGTACCCCTGCTAATCAGGCGATTTTCAGGGTTGAAGCTGGTGTTTGTAAATTGTTTCGTGATATACTGACGAATAAGGTGAATTTATTTTGTAAAAACAATTTATTTCGATGAAAAAATGGGTTTCAAGTCTTCTTTCAATTGATGGGAAGATAAATTCGGAAATTTTTGATCGTTTTTGTTAAATAAATCAGATTAAATTGAGGAATTTCTCACGTATTGAGCTTCCATCAGTCCAAAAGATCTACTTGAATAATGTCTTCATTAAAAAAAATTGAATATTTCTGTTGTTCGAAAATTACAGATGTATTCTTGTTATTCCAGGGTTTTGTTGAGATTCACACCCCAAAAATAATCTCCGCAGCCAGTGAAGGTGGTGCCAATGTCTTCACAGTCTCCTATTTCAAGGGTTCAGCTTATCTAGCACAGTCTCCTCAACTTTACAAGCAAATGGCAATTGCTGCTGATTTTGACAAAGTTTTTACTGTTGGGGCAGGTAACCACCCAATTTTCACCCCCAACTAAATTAATCAAATTCCGTTCAGGGTCAAATGGGGCTCAGATGAGAGCTCTCATGTCCGACTGTAGAATTAGAAAAGCATTTCACTGGAAAAAACAAGTTGATATCTCCATTTTTGCACAAGCTAGAGTGTTTACAAAGTTTTTCTATAAAAAACGAAAAAACGGGAATATCTCGAAAACTTTGTATGAACGGGTATATATGTTTTGATTGATTTAGACAGAAGGCGATGAAATGAATGTTTTGGAAAAAGAAAAAGTGAAATCGGTTGCGTAGTTTTGAAGATATACCATGTAAAACATTTTCAGAAAAAATCGAATATCTCCGAAACTACTGATGCGATTGAACCCATCTTCAATACGAAACATTGTTATCAAGCGATGAAGATTCTGTCCAAATTTCAAGTTGATATCTCAATTTTTGCACAAGCTAGAGAATTTACAAAGTTTGTTTATGAAAAAACGGAAAAATACGAATATCTCGAAAACTTTGTATTAACGGTATATATGTTTTGATTAATTTACACAGAAGGCATCGAAATGAATATTTTGAGAACAAAAAAATCGAAATCGGTCCACTAGTTTTAAAGATATTTGCGGAAAACGATTTAAAAACGAATGGCTTTTTCTAAAAAACTATTAGCTCGATCGAGCTGAAATTTTGCACAGAGTTAGTCCTCATTAAGACCTATAACCTGGCAAAATTTCAGATTTTTTGGAATTGCTTTAGCCACTTAATTACTCAATTTTCTAAAAATTCACCACCTGGAAGGGGACGGTAGACGTCGTCACATACAGACATGGTCGCCAAACTTCTTATTTTTACGTTTCAGACTATTCTACATCATTCCCAATCAAAATTAGAGAATGTGAAAATCAAAGGATTGCAATGCTTCCATTCGGAAGCAACAATAGCCAAAGTACTTGAGATATTGTCCATTGTTCAATGAAAAAAAAAACATTTCTTTAGTTTTTAGAGCTGAAGACTCGAATACTCACAGACACCTGACAGAATTCGTGGGACTCGACCTGGAGATGGCATTCAAGTATCACTACCACGAGGTAGTGGACACAATAGGTCAAATGTTCACTGAATTATTCAGAGGGCTTCAGAATAATTACGCTGATGAGATAGCCGCTGTTCGTCAGCAGTATAAGGTCGAGCCCTTCAGGTTCTTGGACCCTCCACTGAAGCTGGAATTCCCGCAGGCGATAAAACTGCTGGCAGAAGCTGGGGTTATCCTAGGAGAAGAGGATGATCTGTCGACTCCTGATGAGAAACTACTGGGGAAACTGGTCAAAGCCAAATATGATACTGATTTCTACATTCTGGATAAATATCCTCTGGCTGTGAGACCGTTCTATACGATGCCTGATCCTAGTAATCCTGTGAGACATTTGATTAATTTTTTTAAATGAGTTGTTGAGCGGTTTTTATTGGATTTTTCGGTCTTCCCGTTGCAGAAAGCCTCCAACTCGTACGATATGTTCATGAGGGGAGAGGAAATAATATCTGGGGCTCAACGTATTCATGATCCTGAGTTTTTGACTGAGAGAGCTAAACATCACGGAATTGGTAAGGACCTTGTTTTTGATGGAATTGATAAGAGCTTTCAATTCTGTAAATATCTCGAAAACCACTGGGTTCAGGGGGAAATTGCATCATACCTTTCTTGTGGGGAATTCAATTACTTCTTCTGATATTTTTCGATAAACCTTTTCCTTTAGAAGATATTCACGAAATAGTCGTAAAAATAGTAAAATAATTAATAATCTAATTAATAATCTAATAGTAAAATAATTAATAATCTAAATTTCCAATTGATGAATTAAATATTTAAAAATATGGAACTATAAATTTTCTATTAAGGAGATAATACTTAATTTCTTGTGAGGGATTTCTGAATATCCAAATAATCGTCAATCTTCCTACCTCGATTACTGATTGATGAATAATTCAAAATTTGACTATTAAAATTGATGATTATTTCAATAATTAAAATTTAAAAGTGATATCAACTAATTGACAATTTAATAATTTAAGGCCTGGGTGGAGTATCTTTCGAATGTGATCTTGATTATTTTCTTCATCTTGATAATTTGAAATACTCTCCGATTACTATTCAGTTTTCATAGCCCTGAAGTCTCCAAAAATTATGATTGTAGAATGAAAAAAACGTTGAAAAAAAGCTGAAAATTTTCAAAGAGCGTTTTTGAATAATATTGAGAAATAAGCCCAATAAGGAGAAAATTGCAAATTAATAATTTGATGTATCTAATGGCTGTTAGGTCGTCATTTGTCACAGTAGTCAATGGCTGTCAGATCGCTGGGTACCATGATAAATTATCCATTCACAATTTCCTCTGCAACGAACTTATTTCTTAATCTTTATTAAAAACGCTCTTTGAAAGTGTTCAATTGATCTTCTACTTTTTTTTGATTGTCTAATCGTAATTTTTAGGGACTCCTACGTGATGTAAAATTCAATGGAAATTGTGGTACATTTTACATTATGAAGATGGAAAAACAATCGAGATAATGTTCGAAAGATAGTCCACCCAGGCCTTAACAGTAATTATAATTAATGGATATGGCTATCCCTATTTTACTCCTTAATTTCGTGGCTCCAAGTCCTTTACATTGATGAACTTACGCGAGAATTGAAGACTATTTTTATTCCCCCAGATATCGAGAAGATAAAGGCATACATCGACGCCTTCAGATACGGATGTCCACCCCACGCAGGTGGTGGAATTGGAATGGAACGAGTGGTGATGCTTTATCTGGGCCTCGACAACATCAGGAAGGTTTCCATGTTCCCTCGTGACCCTAAACGCATCACTCCTTAACTGATCATTAAAAAATATAAAAAAGTACATTTTTATTATTATACACGCGTCAATGTACTAATCCGTGAATATCAATGAAAATGTTGTTGCAAAGAAATATTAATAAAATGAATTTCTACCGAATGTTCTTCCCAATTTCCTTCTTTTTGAATTTACGTGGTTTAGGCCCGGTTGCACCAGCTCCGGGTAACGAAAACGTCAGGTAAGAAAAAGTAAATTTGGATGTTCGATGGATTATTTTACCCGGGAGAGTATCTCATATTTATCACAGGAACAAAAAATGAAATTTAATCCCAAGGTTAATCCAGTGTTAATTCAAATGGGACTACAGGATAAATAAACAAGCAGGGGTTCGAGCCTTTTTGGCCGAAGCCATCTGACCGTTACTTTATGTGTTATAACTCTTTCTTTCTTTCATTTCTACCAATTCCATTGGTAGTAAGCGTCCGAATGGAATAGAAGGCATCGAAACAAATATTTTGAAAAAAAAATTGAAATCGGTTGCGTAGTTTTTAAGCTATTGCACATAAAAGGTTTTCAGAGAAAGTCGAATATCTCGGAAACTACCCATACGATTGAGTTTATATTCAATAGGAAGGATTGTAATCATGAGAGGAAGATTCTGTCCAAATTTCAAGTTGATATCTCAATTTTTGTACAAGCTAGAGTGATTACAGGGATTTTTATGAAAAAACAGAAAAACGTTAATATCTCGAAAACTTTGTATGAACGGGTATCTATGTTTTGATTGATTCGGATAGAAGGCATCGAAACGAATATTTTGAAAAAAAAATTGAAATCGGTTGACTAGGTTCGAAGCAGAGATAGGCATAATCATAAATTATCATTACCATTAATTTCATAAATACGCAATCAAGTAATAAAATTTAACAATTTTCAATTATTAAATTAATCAACAATTAAATATTTAAATTCCTAATTATTTTACCAATCAATAATCGAAATTGGAAGAATGACCATTATTTGATAATCTCTAATATTTTTTGACGTGACGAATATTCTTTTGGTCTTTGTAACTAGCATTTAGTCTCCTAGAGAGATCCGTAGAGAGCAGACGTTTCTTCCTCGTGTAATTTGAATAAAGACAAGAAATTGAAGTTCAATCCACTGCATTGCATATTCATTTATATATCCCATTTCCAATAGGGTTTGTTTGGATAACAGGGCTTAGTGCAACCGGACCTTACATAGTCAACTTAATTTATTTATTTATAATTTATTTATTTATAAACAACGAATGTTTGAAAGAATAATAATTCCGGGCAAAATGTAATTTGAATGAGGCTGAATATTTATGATTTTCTTTCAAATTTTTCTCACAATTTGTAAGGAATTCTGGGAAATTCCTTGTGCCATCCAGAGACAACGGAAAGAATTTCCATATTCATGAGTCAGACAAAGATCCACAACCTTAGTTCTATTAAATTAAAAAAAAAAGATAACGTTGAGTAATTTTAGCGTCTGTAGAGTCAGGGTTGACCCGATCGCATTTCGGTGATTTCCGTTAATTTTAGGTAATTTATAATTTTAGATTTTGTAGGTCCGTTCTAGTGAATTTTCGTTTAATTTTAGTGAGCTTTAATAGTGTTTCTTTTTTTTGTACCAATCGTGCGTTAGGGATTTCATAAATTTAACTATACGGGACCGATACGATTTTCGCGATATAGGCCGAGATATTAACGAACTGCGCGATTATTGTTTGAGGGTTGTCACTTATTTGATACTTTGAAGAAACGTTTAGGTGCAGTTGAAATACTGCCGCTCAATAGATGGGTTAATTAGGAAGAGATAGGTCAGTTTTGGGATTTCGGTGGAAGGTCACACGACCAATGATGGTCGTTGTACGCGTGTGAATTGCCAAGGCCATTTACGTTTAGGGATAATGTTTTATGATGTATCGTGATAATTGAATGTTCTGCGTTTTCGCTTAGTGATTAGTTTATACATCTCTATCCCAAGAATCCTAGAGAATACAGCTTCAGAGAGAAAATGATAGTTAAAAAAATTCATCTGTCCGAATAACTGCCGAAAAATCCCGTATAATATTTGAGTTTATTGTTAGATTAGTCGTTAATCACACGCCTACGAATTGTCGAGTTTGCGTGCTCGTTATGATTATTATTATTTCTTTCCTCTGCGCTCAGCGCTGGACAGTTGCTATGTCATAACCTGCGATCTCTCCCTACGTGTCATCACGTGACGAGTATAGTATTCTCGTTCTATCATACGCATTCGACTTTCGCTCTCTGTCCATTTCACACCTTTTGGGAAGCTATAAATTCGGAAGTTTTCGCGTTAAAAGAGAGTCCGTTGCGAGTCGTCAACCGATGACTAGCCTCGTGCTCACCTTTGCCTCTGGCCAATGCTCATAGTGAGCCTATACCGTTGCCTTCTAGTTGTGAAGCTTTCGCTTATGCGACTTATCTCGTTTTGAGAAATTAATTTGTTTCTATGCCGTATTTTGCCAACAATTATTGTATTATTTAGCCGACAGGTTTTCGATTTGCGTATCGTCTAGAGTCATTGTGTATTATTTCTTGGGAAATTATGCTGGTTATATCATTAGTGTTTAATACTTCGGCTTTGACGTTCGATTCCATTTGCGTACAGTTACGTCTCGTTCTCTTTAGATTTGTGACTCGTTAAGTTGTATTTTTTTTTGCTAGTTACGCCATTCGTTCTCAAGCCTTGGTTTTGTGGATTAATTGTGCTTTTTTCCAATGGTTTTGAAAGTATTAGAGTGTTCGTGTCGCCTTAGTAAAATCAGATGTCGGAATTTTGAGCCGTTCTGGCCGTTAGGGACTCAAGGTCAAGTACCGTTGAGTATAGAGTGCCGTATTTGGCGTATTCGATATTTCGAGTGTTGACTGCGTATGCTTTCGTTAAAGCAAATCCCAATTTATTGTGTTAGGAATGCGAGTACAATTTCGACACGTATATCGCGCCTTATTCGGATTCCTTTCGGGTTTATTAATTGCGTTCAACTCGGGATTTGATCAGAATCAATTCATTCGACAGGGATGGTTGTTTATACTGATCTTGGCCTAGTTACCGTGTTCTCAGTTTTTCGGTATTATTTTTCTTGCGTCTACTGTCGCGTTTTCAGTCATTCTTATAGGGATAGAAGTAGAGAATTAATTTGATTTTGGCTCTATTTCTGGTTCTTTGTCTACTCAAAATTGATCGAGTCAATTTTGCATTCTTTTATTGCCATTGTTGAATCTTGTATTTCTCTCTCTTAGGCGAAAATTTGTTCTTTTTATTGAGTTCAGTATTATATGGATTATTATTTAGTGTTGATTTCTTTTGCGGTGAATTTGAGTAGATATCTTTTCTGTAAATTTACGAACAATATAGCCATCTACATTTCAGCATTAAAATTCAGCTTTCGTGTTTCCTTTTTTGAGAATAAGAGCCCGATAACCTGTTTCCACCTCGACCTACCCCTCTCTCCACAACCGACCCCCTGAGCAGCGCGAGCACCCTGTCACTTTTCCCTTGGCCCCTTAATTTTAAGTTTTCTTTTGTGTTTTTGAATCTTGGGTTTTCGTTGTATTTTTCCGCTTCGTTCTAATTTCGGTTTGTTGTTTCCGTCGAGACAAAGGACAACTGGCGCCCACAATCATCGAACTTCAGTTTTCTGACTTTATCAAGGGAAAAGGGCGGGATAACGTTCATTTTTGTCCCAGCAAAAATTTGAACACGTTACAAATTTAATTAACAAATTTGATGATTGAAAATGGTTGAATCTGTAGTGTGGTCTGTACCAAAAAATTACTGTCATCTATACTTGAAAAATGTAGCCAACTTCACTTCATTCGAGATGATTGAACCCCACGTGATTAAAAATGTCCTCGAGACTCCCTTTTCACTCCCCCTTGGAGTGGCAAGTGCCTTCGTAAGACAAAAAGTGAAGATAGAACGAAAATTGTAAATTAAAAAAATTGAAAATGTCGACTTTTGTGTATTTCGCTTATGGAAGTAATTTGTTAGCTAAAAGAATTCATATTAATAATCCCACTGCTGTCAGGAGAGGCATTGGACGTCTGAAGGTAAACAAAAATCTCTCATTTGTGGAAAATCCGTGAAAAAATTTCCGAATTTAAAAAATCAAAAATTGTCATTTGCGAAAATTGAAATGCAAAAACTGAAAACTAAATTTTACGATGTTCTTTTAGGACTTTAGACTTGATTTTACGAGATATTCTGAGAGGTGGAGGGGGGCTTCGGCGACAATAGTCCCGACTCCGGATGCCCACGTGTGGGGGGCCATTTGGGAAATTGATCTGAGTAATTTGGACGATTTGGATCGCCAGGAGGGAGTTGATGATGCAATTTATTTTCCACTTGACGTCGATGTGGAGAGCGCTGCGGGAGAGACTGTCAAGTGTCGGGTTTATCAGCAGTGTAATAATCCGAGGGAGTATGTCCATGTAGCGGAATTGCCGGAGGAACGACAGCCTTCATTGGTTTATCTGTAATCAACTTTTTTTTACTTCAAAGTTTGATTTTTTTGTCTCTAATTTTCATTCATTCGTATTGCTGAGACTGAAATTCAAAACTAAATATCAAATGCTACACACTGAGAAAAAAACAAACACGTTGTCAAACAACTCTTGTTTGGGCCACAAAATCGCTAGTTGAAAATTTCCAAAAAAGAATTTGTTTGGTTTGATTTTGAAAGTCTCAAACATGAATAATTGTTCTGCTTTCGACAGCAATGAAATATTTGGCTCAAGAGGCGAATAATTCACACCAGACGGTGCCTTTTCAGGATGAAAATATCTCATACAGAGGAAAATTCATCAACTAATATTTTATCCCTAAGTTGTAAGTTTGCTATCATATCATTATTATTATTTCATTTGAGGGTTCATTTGTTGTCTGTGATTATTAGACAGCCGGAACGAAAAACTACTATCCCTTGTTTCGCATAAAACAAAGATTTTTCGGGAGCAAAATACGTATGGGAGTATTGAATAACGAAGGAGTAGTGCTAAAAATGACATTTCTTGCGTGTACAGAGAATGCAATTTTATTTGAACTACTAAATCTATTTTTGCGACAAAAATTTTCCATTCCGGCGCACTCTCTGCATGTTTGGCACGAAAAAATCCTTTTTTGAGAATTTTCAAAAAACTATTTCCTTAGCACAAGTAAGACTTGTTTGAGAACGTTGTCGTTTTTCTCTCAGTGTATATTGGTATTTTACTCTGTCAAGGTGAAAAATTAAATACTATTTCCTATTTTACAAAGACAAAAATTGAAGATCGACATTCTATTTCAGAACGACAATATTCAAAGGCGCCGAAGAAAGTGGAATTCCCACCCCCTACATAGATTATCTGAAGTCTATCAGGCATAACGGATACGCAGGCGAAATAGATATCGGGTAAATATTCGTAAAAAAAATCCCCTATTTTTTCTACAGTTTTTTCACCAATCAATCAATTGAATAAAAATTTAAAGTATTTACAAAACAAGTGGAATTCTCAAATGCCTCACGCGGTGCTCTCCACCTTCGGGAACTCCATTTTAACACTAAAGTATATGATTCTATCGCAGCCTGGCTCTGAATGAAATCTGAAGGAGTTGATGGGAGCATCTCCAGCAAACTCTCGATACTGAGGGCTTTCCGAGGCCAGTCGAGCCGCTTCCTCACCAGTGAGGGTGTCCAGTATTTCTCTGCGGACCTTGAGTTTGTCGAGAACGTTACCGTTCACCTAAAAATATTGACCATTCATTTATTTTTGTATCAATTAACGTAAATAGAATAATAAAATTTGAAAAATCATAAATTTCATTAAATCAGGAAAACTGATTTTTTCAATTGCTAATTTTTTGTCTTTATTTAAGGACCGGGAGGACTATCTTTCGAACGTTATCTCGATTTTTTTTTCCATCTTCATAATGTAAAATGTATCACAGTTTCCATTGGATTGGATTTTACATCACGCAGGAGTCCCTAAAAATTATGATTGTACAATAAAAAAAAAGTCGCAAAAAAAACTGAACATTTTCAAAGAGCGTTTTTAATAAAGATTAAGAAATAAGTCCGATAGAGAGGAAATAGTGAATGGATAATTTATCATGGTAACTAACGACCTGATAGCCATTGACTACTGTGACAAATGACGACCAAACGGCCATTAAATACATCAAATTATTAATTTGCAATTTCCTCCCAATTGGCTTTATTTCTCAATATTATTCAAAAATGCTCCTTGAAAATGTTCAGCTTTTTTTCAACTTTTTTTTGATTGTACAATCAATTTTTGGAGACTCCAGGGCTATGTAAAACTCAATAGCAATTGGAGATCATTTCAGATTATCAAAATAAAAAAAAACAACCAAAATCACGTTCGAGAGATAATCCACCCAGGCCTTAAAACAAAATTTTGAAATTCAATCATTTGTTCAGTAAATATTGGTGATTTACATGAGTTTATTAAACCAAGAAAGAAGAATTTTTTTGATGATTCGAACTGATTTATTTTACTTGAGTTGAGACTTACGATAATTGAGAGATCTAGTTCATAGTTCATATCTACTTCTGGCCAGTGTTGTTCGAGAACATCCTTGTCGATATTCAGTGTCTCATCGTCTTTGGCTAGATGATATTTAGCTGAGCAGAATCCAGCCCACAATTCAGAGGCGAATTGCGGCGCCATCGGGGCCAGCATGATTATTTGGACAGCAAGAGCTCTCTCGTACTCTCGTGAATGGGCCACACAATCCACATGTACCTGAGAGAACGAAAAAAATGTCGTTTTAAATAAATTTGTTGATAAACATGGAAAATAAAAGGGGAAATGCCATTCCATTTTTCGTTGTGATAAGATGAACTACCAAATGTCTATCCAATTCAATTCCCAAAAAAAGAAAAAATCAACACTATCCGTTAAACCAGAATAATCAACTCAAAATATGAAACGAAAAGTCCTATTCTCATTTAAGGGGTGTGGCTATCTTTGGAAATTCAAAAAATCCATTTTTTGTTTTGTTCATAGTCTTATAGTCCTGAGTTTTATCTTCACGTAGAAATCAAATTTTTCTGAAAATTCCAATTTATTCATCCGAATCACTTCATCTCCAGACAGAGGACAGTTAATATCATTCTCCACCAAACCATCGAATGGTTTTCCAATATGTTTATGCATTTGTTAATAACAAATTCTTTAAGGCCCCGGGTGGATAACCTTCCAAACGTGATCTTGGTTGTTTTGTTTATTTTGATAATCTGAAATGATCTCCAATTGCTATTCAGTTTTACATAGCCCTGGAGTCTCCAAAAATTATGATTGTAGAATGAAAAAAACGTTGAAAAAAAGCTGAACATTGTCGAAGAGCGTTTCTGACTAATATTGGGAAATAAAGCCAATAGGAAGGAAATTGCAAATTAATAATGTGATGTATCTAATGGCTGTTAGGTCGTCATTTGTCAAAGTAGTCAATGGCTGTCAGGTCGTTAGTTACCATGATAAATTATCCATTCACTATTTTCTCTTTATTGGACTCATTTCTTAATCTTTATTAAAAACGCTCTTTGAAAATGTTCAGTTTTTTTCAACTTTTTTTGATTGTACAATTATAATTTTTAGGGAGCACTGCGTTATGTAAAATCCCATGGAAATTATGACATTTTTTTACATTATGAAGATGGAAAAACAATCGAGATAACGTTCGAAAGATGATCCATCCGGGCCTTAAGGATGTTTATCCAAAATCGCAAGTACTTGAAAAAAATTTGATTTTTTTTTCTGAGAGATGAAGATATTCCCTTCACTTTGATACAAATTTCAATCCACCGACGCATGTTCATTATTTAGAAATAAAATAGACAAATGCACCAAATGCATGCGCTAACATGCGCTTATATGGGATAGAATCATTCAAATATTTCCTCTTTTTGCCCGGGTACCCCAGATTTTTCTCTGGCCATTGGATTCAGTATGATTTTACACATTAGCTTCTACTTTTATTTCTATTTTTAGAGCCTTCTAGTAGGCGAATTATCAATTTGAACATAAATTTCATAAGAGCCCGTGTATAAGGAAAAATTAGTTTATTCATTTCTGCCGAGACTATTGCGATTAATTTTTTTTTCAACGTTAGAAAAGTTGGTTTTATATGTTCTGCTGTCAGCCGAAAAAATTACAGAATTTTCCTTGAACATGAAAAAAAAACATTTACCGACACTTTACCGACACTGGCTAAACATCCTTAAGTCGTTTTTTTTGTCGAAAATTGACTTTTTTCTTCCACAGCTTGTCATTTTCGCAATTTTCTTAATTTCGAAAAATTATCCGACTATTGGCTAGGTCAATCCTTGATCTTCTGTAGAAATAATAATTTTATTGTTCATCAATATTTCTCAATAAAAAAAAACTAGCTAAAAAACACGAGATCGTAGTTGTGTAAAATTTCAAGCTCGTTCTTCCAAAATTCCCTCCACGGAAAAATACTAAAAATTGGCCTGATTTCTCCTGAACCTCCATGAAAAAATCCTTCCCCCCCCCCTGACAACTCACCTTCCTAATACTATTCGTCAGCCCCTGCATCTTGGAAATGGCCACACTGAGCTGTTGGCTCTCGACAATATTGAAGTTCACCCCCTTGACATAAAAGTTCCTGCTGTCGAACAGGTACTCGTCATCCTTCCTCAGTCTCTCCTCATCCTTCACGACCCCCACCATCCCCTCGTCGACGCCCCTCCTGATCTCAAGGAATTTCCCAACGGTCAGCCACAGCCTCTTCTGCCAGTTAAAAACCCCCTGGAAGGTGTCCTCACTCCAGTTTCTGCTGGAAATCGGTGCAACATCAGCCAGGATAATGAGCCTTGTGGTGTCAGCCCCAAACCTCCTGAACATGTCGTCAGGGTCGACTCCATTATGCTTGGACTTGCTCATCTTCTCCCAGGAGGCGATCACAGGTGTCTTCGTCTCCTTCTCCACCCAGGTCTTCCCCTTCTTCTCGACTTCGTCGGGCCTCAGGTACTTTCCACTCGACTTAATTCTGAACGACCTCCCCATCACCATCCCCTGGACCAGGAGCTGCCTGAAGGGCTCCTGGGTGGGCACCAGACCCTCAGAGTGGAGGAAGTGGTTGATGAATCTGGCGTAGTACAGGTGGAGGGCTGCGTGCTCCTTGCCACCGATGTAGAGGTCCACTGGGAGGAAGCCTTCAGCTTTCTCCTTGGAGAACATCTCCTGGGGGTTGTGGGGGTCGATGTATCTGAGGAAGTACCAGGAGGAGTCGACGAAGGTGTCCATGGTGTCGCTTTCGCGGAGGGCGGGGGCCCTGCATGTGGGGCAGGGCGTGTTCAGCCAGGCCAGGGAGTCCTTCAGGCTCTGGAACTCGAAGTTTTCGGTGCTGTGGGCAGGGTGGCCGTCAATATTACATTTTTTCAATATTCAAAGGCTTCCGACTTTGATGAAGGTTTAAATCAGGAGCGAAGCGGTAAACCGGGTCAAGTCGATTTTGATTTTTGGTCAGTTTTTAATGAATATCTTGGAATCTAAGAGAGATGGCAAAATTTTTGTCCTGACCTTTTTTATAAACCTCAATTGGCTCTACAAGATAGGTCATAACAAAAATTTTCCTATCTCTTTTAGATTTCGAGAGATTCGTAAAAAACTGGCCACTGGTCAAAATCGACTTAAATTGGTTTACCGCTTCGTTGCTGAAATGTATCCATCAAAATTTTTAAATATTAACAATTTATATTTATATATTAACAATTTATAAAGAAAAAAAATTAATAATTTACATTTCCGATTGGTGATGAATTGAATATTTGTTAACATGGAACTGTTAATTTGCCATTAAGTAAACAGTTCCAATTGCGTAAAAGGGATTTTCGATTATCCAAATAATTATCCAAATAATCGTCAATGTTTCTACCTAAATTATTGATTAATAAAATGATTCAGAATTTGAATTCTTAAATTGATGATTACTTAAATAATTAAAAATTTTAGAGCGACGTTAACTAATTGACGGTTTCAAAATTTAACGGTAAGTATGATTTATGAATATGGCTATCCCTGGCTGTTGGAGAGAAGTGTGTTAAGTTGCTTAAGGGGTAACAGAATGCAGCCAATTTTCCAAATTTTTCAACAAATTTCCTGCCCAAAGTTATCAATATTTTGACAAATCAAAGCACATTAATCTTCAGGAGGCGATGATGAAGGTCAATGTCCTTTGGGTTAACAAAATACTAACTTTGAGCAGGAAATTTGTTTGAAAATTGCGAGGAAATGGTGACCTTCTATTACCCCTTGAGGGAAAATGTCTCTAAATATTTTTCAATAAACCTCTTACTTCCCGAAATTTTTCTTAAGTAATACGAGAATGAATATCTGAAATTGAATCGATAATTTATATTTAAAAAAAATGAAAAATTTTCTCCAATTTCATTTCAACCCCTTTCATAAAAAAATAATCTGAAGAATAATAATAATACTACTTCATCACAAATATTATTCCCTGAATTGAACCCCAAAAAAGTCTCAAATTAACAAAACCAGAAACGACTAAAAAATCCAGTAAAAAACCATCAGCAACAATTGTACCCACTTTTCAATCTCCGGCAGGACCACAGGAAGCTCCTCCTCAGGAACAGGCACAACCCCACACTCCGGACAATGGACAACCGGAATAGGCGTTCCCCAGTACCTCTGCCTGGACACCAGCCAGTCTCTCAAGTTGGAGCTCACCCTGAACCCCCCAATCCCCATCTCCCTGGCCTGCGCCATCACCTCCTCCCGCTTCCTCAGCACTTCATCACCCTGACACCCCTGAATCTCCCCATAATCCAACTTCACAACGTCAGCGAAGTTTCTGGAGACCTCGCAGGCCCCAGGAATCCCCACGAAATTATCCCTGGACCTGGGGAACTCTATCATATTCGTGAGAAAAATCGGAATTTCCCTCGAGGTGAAGGGGTTAACGACTTTTGCCTCCAGACGCCTCCAGAAGGGTTCAGGCTCTCCTGGGGGTGATGGAGATGCTGATGGGGTTGAGGATTTAGCGAGAAAACTGTCCTTGGAGACTGCGATGAACTCCACATGGTGGATGTGCTCGGGGATCTCCGTCCAGAGGGAGAGGATCTTCGGGGTTTCCTGGGGGAGGGAGGTGGAGCTGGGGGAGGGAGGGATCAGGGGGAAGTCGATGGAGGTGCCCGTGGGGGACCCTATCCAGTGCTTCTGGATCTTTATTATGTCCCGCCACTCCTTCAGAATTGGGGAGTCCAGTCCTGAGTAGAGGGACGAGGCGAAGGCTGTCGTTCGGATGAACCACTGCTTCAGCAGTTTTTTCTCTACTTTAGCACCTGATCTCCAGGAGAGACCATTCTGGTCGACCTGCAAGGTGAAAAATCGCGGTTTGGGAATTGAAGAATGGTTTTTTATTCATTTCAGTAGCGAGTTGGTAAAGCGGGTTAAGTAGATTTGGATTATTGGCCAGTTTTTGAGGAATATCTCGGAATCTAAGAGAGATAGAAAAATTTTTGTCACGACCTTTTTTGTAGATCCAATTAAGGGTTATAAAAAAGGCTATGAGAAAAATTTAGCTATCTCTCTTAGATTCCGAGATATTCATCAAATACTAGCCAAAAGTCGAAATCGACTTAACCCGGTTTACCGCTTCGCGACTGATTTTTGAATTTTTTTATTTTCAGTTATTTGTAATTATTTTAAGCGACTGATTGATTGATTGATTTATTTTTGACAGAAAACGAGTTTTTATGAATTATAAAATGATTGGCTTTCCTTGTAATAACTATTTTGAGGAATTTATTGATTGATTGCGATTGATTCTCAAGGGAAAGAGAGTTGTATGAATGGAAAACGTATCTATTGTCTATTGGTTAATATTTTTTTGGGATTAAGACATTTTTGAAAATTTGAATGCGAAAATTCCTTTGTTCGGTGATTTTTATTGGGCTTTATTTATTTTAATCTTCATAAACAATTACGACCTCTTTGCTTTTTATGTTCACTATCTTGATCGTTCGAAATATCTAAATCTAAATCTTTATCGTTTTAAGAAAATTCAGTAGCGAAATAATAAAACGGTACAAGTTAATTTTGACTATCGACCAGTTTTCAATCAATATCTCGAAATCTAAGGAAGATAGCAAAATTTTTGTTATAACCTTTTTTGTAGAGCCGATTACAAGCTGCAACAAATATAATTGTGAAAATTTCGCTATCTCTTAGATTCGGAAATATTTTTTTAAAAACTCAACTGGGAGACAAGTCGACTTAAACCGTTTCACGACTTCGCTACTGAATTATTCTTCTTACAAAACAGATTTTTTAAAATTCCATACAAATTAAGGCCCGGGTGTACTATCCTTTGAATGTTATCTCGATTTTTTTTCTTTCGTAATCCACAATTGTCAATTGAGTGGTACATCATGTAGAAATTCCCAAAAATTATGGTAGAATGATAAAAAAAAAATAGACAAAATTCTCAACTTTCTTAAAGAGCGTTTTTAATTGAGATTCAGAATGAGTTGAAAAAAGTGGAAATTACAAATATCTGATTCGCTGTGGCAAATTATGTATTAGCTGTCATTTTCCATGGTGGATAACAAAACACTAACCCCTCATGGGAAATGACAACTAGGTATCTCAATTTTCAAAACAGTGGTATGTATTCATCTGTCGTTTTTATGTGATAAAAAAGTGATTAAAAAACTCTCCAAAATATTACTTTTTTCAAAGAGTCTTTTCCGTATAATGAATGCCTCTGTGCAGTGTGGGAAAAGATTTACGAAATCAGTCTTTCCCCTGCATGATATTGGGTGGCTNTCATTTTCCATGGTGGATAACAAAACACTAACCCCTCATGGGAAATGACAACTAGGTATCTCAATTTTCAAAACAGTGGTATGTATTCATCTGTCGTTTTTATGTGATAAAAAAGTGATTAAAAAACTCTCCAAAATATTACTTTTTTCAAAGAGTCTTTTCCGTATAATGAATGCCTCTGTGCAGTGTGGGAAAAGATTTACGAAATCAGTCTTTCCCCTGCATGATATTGGGTGGCTGGCCGCCATTTGTCACCGTAAATCAGATAAATTTTTCAATTTCTTGTTATTCAACTTATTCTGAATATAAATAAAAAATGCTCTTTGAAAAAATGAAGAATTGATTCTACTTTTTTTTAAATTATTCATTCATAATTTTTCAAAACTTCTGCATGATGTAGGACTTAATTGGCAATTTCAGATGACGAAAGATGAAAAAAAAACATCGAGATAACGTTCGAAAGATAGTACACTCGGGCCTTAAGTTAAATTTTTGCATTTTCGATTTAATTGTACTGGAAAAAAAAAAAAAATTTCACCTGTCGTTTTTACTTTTTACCTGTTCGTCAGCAAGTACTGTCCTGTCCACAGGATCCCAATTAACAAAAGACTCTTTCTGATAAGCCAGGGACTTCTTATAAAGCTTGAGGAACAGCATTTGCGTCCATTTGTAATAATCAGGATCGCAAGTCTTGAGTTCTCGATCCCAATCGAAGTCACAGCCCATCTGCGTAAACTGTGACTTCATTCGACTGATGTTGGAGAGGGTCCACGAGGAGGGGGATATCTTGCGCTCGAGGGCAGCATTCTCAGCAGGAAGGCCAAAGGCATCCCAGCCCATGGGGTGGAGCACATTTTTTCCCCTCATTTTGTGGAATCGAGAGACGGAGTCGCTGATGGAGTAGACCCTCACGTGGCCCATGTGGAGGGCTCCTGAGGGGTATGGGAACATCGACAGGACGTAGTGGTTCTCAGGTTTCTTCGAGGTTCTCGCCGGCTTTTGGGAGCTTATCTTGGACTTCCAATAGTTCTCTATTGAGAGACGAATCTCGTCCGTGAGGATTTTGTCCTGAATGGGAAAATAAATGAATTAATTAAAGAATTAATTAATTCCTTCATCAATTAATTCATTCATTCATCAATTTATTCATTAATTCATCACGGATTAATTTTTTTTTTGTTTTTTTTTGTGGATTAATTGTTTTAATATTTTTTTGAGAATTCTTTGAGCAGAAAAAAATGTAAAAAATTCGTAAATTCAGCTTTTTAAAAAGAAAAGCGGATTAAAATTGGCCTAGAAATAATAATTAATGAATTTGTGAGGCTATAAAATAATTTTGGTCTGTAATTAGTTATTTAATTCGTAATTATGCGTCATTAAATTTATATCATGATGAAAGATTGTACATGAAGAAAATATTTTACTCCTATTTTTTTCCAGGGAAATTTGTAATGAAAAATGGAGAGAAATGGCAAAATAATATTTGTTCTTCACATAATCATCCACTATTCAATTATTTCAAGTAGTTTCTCCCTCTAAACATAACCAACAAATAAAACTCCACACTCACCCACAATCCCAGGCCACTGGAGGCATAACACCTCACGAAACCTCTCTGAAAATCCCCATCAGCACCCCCAAAACGCGACCTGAAAACCCTCCCCGTGCAGTACCTCATCGTCGACGCATTAACAATTAACAATTCCCCGAAAAATATCAAAACATTAGCCAAACACCGGTGGCACGTCCCAAGTTCCTGGCCCTCGCCATTTTTATTATTTCTCCCGCCACTCGTCAAGTGGAACCCAAACCATTCAAATTTCCCGCCTTTCCCCTCCCCCTGCCGCTAAATTAATCGCCAATAAATAATTATTATCATCAATGAAAATATTCTTTCAGTCATAATAAAATATTGTGATGTCATTCTCGTTCAGTTTCAACCGAAACGATTCAAATGTCCCGCCTATATCACAAAATTAATTAGTTATTAACAAAAAAATATTTTAATCAATGAACAAAATTTTTCATAATTATTTGAGGTCGTAAAAAGTATAAACATGTCAATTTTATTAAAATTTTATGGAAACAATTTGAATTAATTATTGAAAAAATTTATATTTCAATAAAATTAATTATTAATTATTGAAAAAATTTATATTTCAATAATTAAAATTATTTTTTGAAGCATAAAAACCACTTCTAAAGTCATTTTCGTTCAGTGCCACCCAAAACTATTCGAATTTCCCGCCTCTCTCCCCTTGCCGCTCATAAAATTAATTAATTATGAAGAAAACAAAATACTTCAATCATTACTAATATTTTTTGAGGCATGAAAAGCTGTTTGGAAGTGGATTTAACCGATTTAAACTTCAAATTCCGCGGTTTTGTTGAGAATAAATCTCTGGGGGCGAGTGGAGGGGATAGACGGGGGGAACGCGGGGCGTGCGGTGCCGCAACGCCAGTCGCTTTGTGCGAGCGAGACGAGAAGGTTGAAGTGCGTGCATCCGAGTGAAACCAACGCCCCGGGGCAATTATCGGAATTTAATTACTCCGAAAGTGTCGAGTGAAGTGTAATTATCATCAAGTTGACAATTAGGGGATGAAATACTGAACAAAATGGTGGAATTTCGTGGAAATTGTTGTTATTTTCAAGGTCGAGGGGTAGACAACAAAGAAACATACGCTAATATCACATGCTAAGGACTCCAATCACGCGGATTACTTTCGGAAGAGTAAAATAGTGAAAAAACATTAGTGCAATGATTTTCATTCGAAATAATCAACGAGTAATTGACTGTTTTGATGAGTGAGTTTTGAAGGTCAAGGGTAGACAACAAAGAAACGTGCGTTGATATCACGTGTTGAGGGCTTCAATCACGCGGATTACTCTCGTAAGAACGGCCGCAAGACAACTTAGTCAGTGCCACAAAAAATCATATCATCATCATCATTACTCTCGTAAGAGTAAAAAAGTGAAAAATCATTAGTGCAATGATTTTCTTTCGGAATAATTAACGAGTAATTGGCTGTTTTGATGAGTGAGTTTTGAAGGTCAAGGGTAGACAACAAAGAAACGTACGCTAATATCACATGCTAAGGACTCCAATCACGCGGATTACTTTCGTAAGAGTAAAATAGTGAAAAAACATTAGAGCAATGATTTTCATTCGGAATAATCAACGAGTAATTGACTGTTTTGATAAGTGAGTTTTGAAGGTCAAGGGTGGAGAACAAAGAAACGTACGTTGATATCACGTGTTGAAGGCTTCAATCACGCGGATTACTCTCGTTAAGAGTAAAAAAGTGAAAAATCATTAGTGCAATGATTTTCTTTCGGAATAATCAACGAGTAATTGACTGTTTTGATGATTGAATTTTGAACGTCAAGGGGTAGACAACAAAGAAACGTGAAAAATGTGATGTTTTGTGTGCTACAATCACGCGGATTTTGTAAACGATGGTGAAATATGAAAAACTGTCAGTGGAATTATTATTTTTGAGTAATTAACGATTAATTATCCATTTTAGTGATTGATTTTTTTATTTCGATTACTCTTGGGGTGGGGATGAATGAGGAGAGCCTGAAGCGTGTGATAACAATGCAACAAGTGTTTTCATGAGTTTAATCACATCCTCACCATGATTATTAGAACTAATCAACCAATTAATTATTTAATCAATTTAGCAACTGAGCAGTTAATTAACGAGGAAATTTTTTTTCTTTGTTTCGGCATTTTTTTTCACTTAAGCATGATTGAAGATTCAAGTGAGGTAAAAAATTTGGTAAAAAATTGATTAATTAATTAATTTTTTTTTCATAAAATTTTTTGTTCCGCGGCGGGGGGGCGTGCTCATGAGATTAGAAAAAGCGGGAAATTTCGATTTGAATTTTAAAAAAATATATTAATTTTTTTTTGTAATAATTTTTTTTTTAATTTGTGGCGTGAGTGGGGAAAATTGTGTAGTTTTAGTGATTCATTTTTTTTCAAAAACAGTGATTTAAAAATCTGTTATAAAGTTGGGAGATCAGTGTGCTTGAGAGTTCTGAAGTTGGTGAACATCATCAGTCGGAGGAGTGCAGTGTCACCGAGTCATCCCTCAGCCATCGGTAAGTCACCCCCAACGAGTCATTCAAGTAGAATAATTCGGCTCCAGTCAGATAGGTGTCACCACCTGTTCCAACTCATCCCGTAAATTTCAAATAGCGAATGCTCTTGCAGTAGATTGACAGCATCCTTCTCTCATGCAACTCCATACGCGAAGTCTCGAACAAAGAAAATTTTATTATCTCACTTTTCATTCCCTTCTCCATCTCCATCTGGAATGCCAAAAAAACATCATGAAATTCCCATCACTCACGTCCTCCTTCATCTTCACAGCGTGAAACAATAGTTGTCGAGACATATTGCAATTGAATAAAAAAGCATTTATTCAATTGCAATAAATGATCATATTTTTTATTCCTTTCCAACGAAAAGCATGGGCAATACCTCAAACCGAAAATGAGAACTCGAATTTGGCGGATATCTCGAACGATTGGAGAAAGTAAGGCGATTTTCATAAGTACAATCGTCTTGCGTCTAATTTTTACGAAGCCCGCCTGAGAAACCAAAGAGAATTGAATACCACTCTATGAAACATGAATAAACGTATCATCATTGTCCAAATAATTTAGATCAGAGAAACATAGAATAATTATACTTTATTAATAATGCGTTTACTAAGATTTTCTTCGAACAAAGTTGATTAGAATTAATAGCTAGAATTATGAGATTATCTCACATTGTTGACGTTAAGGATAGGAGAATCTAAATGCAATATCCTATTTACTAAAGATGAAAGAAACGTGAAGTTGTTTTATATCGAAATATTTCGAAACTGCCTGACCGCTAATCCTTAATTCTGATTGGTCAATATGTGACACGAAGTTATTCACAAAAAAAACACGCAGCATTTTCCCATTCTTCAGTGAGATAATTTCAAATTCTTCAGAGGTAAATTTTTTTTTCACGTCTTATATATATAATATATATATTTCACATGTATATATATTATCGGTGAATAAATTCTGTCCTTTTATGGAGACCGATTATTTAAAAAAATTGAAGATAATTAATTGAAAATGAAAATTTCTTTATAGATTCTTTTACTCTACTTCGCTATTCACTTCAATTATTAGTCGAATTCTCTTTGATTCATTATCAATATTTATAAGGTATTCATGAGAAAATGAAATTTAACGAATTCCATTTCTTCTTTTCAACAAATGAATAGATCAGCGCGCGCGAGAGCGCGCGCATAGATCTTGTAGTGCAAATGACGATCGATTTTTTCACTTTGAACAAATAATATTAATATCTAAATTCAAAATTTCTGATATGCATAGAAAGAAGCTGTGACCTAATACTCCGAATGAAGTTTGAATTTTTAATTGTGTGCTGAAAACACGAGATGACAATATTCTAAGCACGGAATAATAATGATAATAGTAATAATAATAATTTATTTCCTTTTTGTACAAAAATTTCTTTCTATGTACATTCAACGAACACATTATATTGCACCAGTCTTTAGTCTTTTGGTAGATTTTGCATTATCAATTGTAACAAATCACAATAGCATGGGGCTTTTAATTCCACTCGGGCCCCTACAAACCACGCAATTATATTAATGAGATGAACAACAGATGAATTGAATTACCGTGTGAATTAACTAAAAATTGATAACAGTGTGGGCACGCACTTTTACCAGAGTATCAACAAACATTGAATTCCCGAAATTCACACTCCAAAGTGTGTTCTGGAAGGAATTGAATTGTAATAATGACTAAAATCTTATTGAGTGAGCATAGGAATTAGAACATGAGCAAATAATTTGTTGTAATATGAAAATTTAACAGCTGACAAATTGGGACACATGATTCCCATCGGTCGTATTACTTTTTGCAATGAGAATCATTACAACCAATTAATCGAAAAAGGGCATAATGAAGAGGCATCAACAATAGACGAAGAATGCGTTTGAGTGGATGAAAAAAAAAACTTTTCTATCGCAAGAAAAATCTCGCTTCGACTCTCACCGTCACATTTTCCTTCCCTCATCGTCTTCCCATCTCCCCTCTCCTTTTTTGAACCCCTCTTTTTGGACATTGAGTCAACGACCGATACTTCTTAGACGATTGATCGATTTTTTTTCCTCATTGTTATTTTTTTTCTCATCGTTTTTTTTCGCGAATTCGAAGGGTCGTCTTCAGTGAGAAAAGGTGGGGGGGGGGGGGG